CCGCGGTGAGATCTGCGCGCGGTAACGGTCACTGTGAGGTTCAAACTAAAACTAGTTACTTACTTGGCGCATAGCTGTTACTTCCGATGTAGCTACTAAACTAGTCACAAAGTGAGTGTAGATCTACGTCTCTGATGGTACTGCACTGCATGCACTGCACAGTGGTAGTCTTGTACTTGCTCCGCACAGTACAGCCACAGGTTGGTGAAAAGAAGACTCATCGAGCCATGGTTGTGGGTTGGAACTCCAATCTTGACCTTTGTGGGGAGAGGGGAGTTTGTATATCAGCTCAGTATAAGCATAATAATTATAACCTACTCAGTTGATTATATGGAAAATATAAACCAATATACAAACCTCGGCTTCGCCTCGGATTGTATACAGGTTTATATTTCCCATATAATCAACTGGTTAGGTTATAATATATACATATTCACAACTTATGTAGATGGCCAATTGTATGTGGGTGAATATGGAATGAGGTATAATGTACTGTACTGTACTGTACTGTCTGTGCTGTTCCGCGCAAACACATCACGCTGGACCGAGTAGGGTAAAACTCAATTTGCAGCGAACCCAATACATGACACAGCTGTATGCTTCTCCAGTTTTGGCTGCTTGAAGAGAAGCTATCCGCTTGTAGAGCGACTCCGCGTGTTTGCCCAAACCACCAGTGGTAGAAAATATGGCCGGAACAAACGACAAATGCTCTATGTCGCGGACATGTTGCTCGTAGCAGCGCCGCTTCTCCTTCTCATGCTTGGTGTAGCAGGAAGCAATGGAGGTGGCACGGTTTGAGGAGGCATGAGGATCGAAAACCCTCACGTCGATGAAGGTGCGCTCAAACCAGCCACCCCAGATACCACTTGCCGCAACGTCAAGACGGGCCTGCTCAGTCTGGATAGCGGTGCGATACAGGAACTGCTGCCCAGTGACCGGCTGCAGGTGGGGCTCCACGGATACATTGTGAGCCACTCGCTTCAGCATACGGGCAGTGAGGTCACGCACCTCATTGTGCCGCACCGACGGAAACCCACCGGTGGAGCAAGACAAAGCGTGAGCGACTGAAAATGTGGCTCCACAGCTGCAAGAAAATGGCAGTCGCTGTGGAAGCCAGCTGTATCGCAGGTGAATTCCATTGCGGAACTCACCCTTGGTGAGGGTCAAGCCATGCCGCTTCAAGGGCCGACAGGTGAGCCAGGAAGAAGCTCCCTTCTCCGACACTAGAGCAATAACACGCTGCAGCTCAGCATCCACAGATGAAGACAGAAGCACAGCATTAGCCCAAACCGAGGCGTCAACTGTGTTCTTCACTTGCTTCTAGGCAGCGCACACATCGTGAATGGCGGCACTTAATTCCATATCTTGGACCAAGTGCAGCTTGTCAGGGGCGCAGTGATGTCTCGAGAAGACTGGTATTGGGAGGCTCGCGACGATGGGTGAGGCAGCCCGAGACCGCCGAAGCGACACAGAAGAGCAAGGAGGCTGGGATCTTGGGTATTCACCGGTCGTCCCAGAAGGGCAGGGATCAGCAAGTTCAGGGCTCACAGCCGGTATGCCAAAACCTCGATTACGTGGGAGGACATATTGGATCTGATCACCATAGAAACGGGCACGCATGACTGCTAAGCGCAGGCTAGGCGTAGCACTCACAGTCGCAAGGAGATTTTGACTTGCTTGGGCTGAGTTGCTGTGACAAGAACTGAGCCGTGGATGGTGAAGGAGAAGGAGACAGTTCTCCATTTGTTTCGGTTGTTATTGTTTCCTTCCGAGTGGACTATTTCGCGAGCATTGTTGGCCTCATCGGCCGAATTCTTCCTTCAGACTGTCCACACACGGAGTCCTGCGAGGAGTAGCCCCGAGCAGATTCCTGCATTCGTTGAACACGAAAGAGTTCAACATCTACTGCCCGGCAGCTACGCCGCTAATGCACAGGCGCGGGTGACGGGATCGGGAGAGGGAGAGGACATGCACTCCTTGATGTTGAAGGCATGGAGCAATGACTCACGTAGTGTTCTAGTTTTAGTTTCTCCGCCGTGAAGTCCTGTTGTGTCCAATGTAAATATACGCTGGTCCGCTGCGAAGAGCCGCGCAACGCACTAGTAGTGACGATGTGGAGTTGTGAATTATTTGATTCGCCACTCCGTTTCGTTGCAAGAGAACACGTCCAGTGGCTTCGCCGTTGTGCTGGCCATGTATTTCTTCAGTCGGCCATAACTCCTGAAGGACACAGCGATGAAGCGCCAGGCGAGTAGCAAAACATTTCGAAAATTTGCCTTGCTGTAGTGTTGTTTCCGCATTCACAACCGGTCCAGCGCGCGCGGTTCTTCCTCGCATCTGTACTGCAGATAGCGTCGCCTTTGAAATGTTCGTTTGTACCCGTCTCTTGCCCGATTTTGATGGCCAATAGCTTAAAATTTTCAGTAGGAAAATTAGAAGAATTTGTCCGAGAGACATTTCAATTTTAGGACAATAATTCATGTCAGAATTACGCCTGCACCAACTGATACTTTGGCCCCGTATGTACGCCAAACCGTATCGATTAAAACAAAAAACTCTCGGACAAATCCTTACAATGGGTATTGAGAGTATGTTCCTAGAGTTTGAAAGGCCTAGGAGAAAGCATCAGTACAAATGAACATTTTGAATGCACCCCACTTTCAAGCTTCGTGAGATATTTGCCCGATCGCATGTACACGATTCTGGCATACTGCCTGGCTCGCGTGACACTCGCGTGACAGCGGCCTGTCCAAAATGGCGCCCACGCTTTTGTACGCGGCTGTGAGCCCTGAAGTTGGACACAGCATCATCAAGTGGACGCAGGTGCTCATCCATAGCTGGCATGCCCCGGCAGAGAAAGGTCCACTTACTCTGTAAGCCACGGGTATACGCGGCATACGCAGCTTGAGGCTGAGAGAGGGGCATAGTAGTAGTAGTTAGGAGACTCCCTTCGATAGGCATCTATTTGCCTCTGGAGGATCCGTGAAATAAAAATCAATCAAAACTCAGCTGTTGGACCTGTGCAACCCACGCCTTGACCTTCTGCTGCACGTACTGCGTGGCAAACGCGGATGACCCGATGGCTGCACCAAGGTAGCGGCATCCATCTGCCTGGATAGAAACACCAGTACCAGCGAAAATCCGGATGGTCTCGTCGAGGAGTGGGGGCTTAACCACTAGGACGGACTTGGCTGGATTTGGGAAGTAACCATATTGGGGGCCCTTCTCCGTCAGCCGGTCCCACCACGCTCGGACGCTCCTCAGCTTGCCACCGGATCCGGCATCATCTGCATACCATGCCTGTACTGCTCCTTCCGTTGCAACAGCCTTCATAAGTGGGATGATGCCAATGACATACATCACCATGGCGACGGGGTCGCCCTGTGTGGTACCCTCGTATGACAAGATCTTCTCGCTGCCGACGAAGAGGCTAGCGGGCTGCCGGTAGGTGTTGATCACGAGCTTGGCGAGTGATGGGCAGAGGTGCTGGATGTTACGGAGGCACACTTCACGATTTAGACAGTTAAACGCGTTGGTGGTGTCGGCCAGAAGAATGGCTTCAGTGGAGGGGTTATCAAATACGTCGCACATCGCATGGATTGCCGCCTCTATGTCGCCATCTTGCCCCGCACATAGCTGGAGACTGCCAGCAGTTTCCATGACTTCGGGGCGGATCACCTCGAGGATGGCCTTCCCCACTATGCGCCGCAAGACATCCCCGATGCCTATAGGCCTGACTCCAGGGCATTTGTCGAGTGGAATCAGCCTGCATGCGGTGTAGGCATCTACTATAACTACTGTCTGTACTGTCTGTACTGTACTTTCTCAACTGTACTGTACTGTACTGTACTGTACTGTACTGTCTGTACTGTACTGTACTGTACTGTACTGTACTGTACTGTACTGTACTGTACTGTACTGTCTGTACTGTACTGTACTGTACTGTACTGTACTGTACTGTACTGCACTGTACTGTACTGTACTGTACTGTACTGTCTGTACTGTCTGTACTGTACTGTACTGTACTGTACTGTACTGTACAGTAGAGTACAGTACTGTACAGTACTGTACAGTACTGTCTGTACTGTACTGTACTGTACTGTACTGTACTGTACTGTACTGCACTGCACTGTACTGTACTGTACTGTACTGTACTGTACTGTACTGTACTGTACTGTACTGTCTGTACTGTCTGCACTGCACTGTACTGTCTGTACATTACTCGTGTAGATGTGAAAACTAGTGTGCGTGTCACCATTTTCGCAAGGAAACAAGAAAACGTGTGAAGTGCCAAGGCGCCATAGGGGCTTGACAATCGTGTGAACTGTCCTCTGACAGCACACACACTTTCTCCGATAACATGTCGCCCTGAAATAACCCGTGGAACACACACCCTAACAGCTATAACTTGCAACATGGCGGTTAATGAAAGATGGTCATAACACAGTGTGACAAACTAGCATTACATCACAGTGACAAGGACAAAGCAGACTGCCATACGAGTAGTTATCACCGTAAACGTACAGAAATAAAGCATAGTTAGCATACAAAGTTACTCTGGAGCTACGGCACATCAAAACGAAACAAAACAAAAACAAAACAAAAAAAACAAAAACAAAATCTAATCCTCGTACATGGAGACCGTTTCTGTGCCATGCAAAACAAGCTGGATAAGAAAGCCTGACACAACCCACATGTCAGCACAAGTTCTCCAGGTAGCTCAGTCTAACCCCTGAGTCCACAGGTTGTTGAGCAGTAACACCAGTCGATACTACAACTTACAAGCGCTGGAAGGAATACTGGTAGCAAGCTGATACGGAGAACAATCATGTATGTACCCCTTTAGGCCTTTACTCACCCTGGTCACATCTGGACCATGTTGTGCTCATACCCCCCCCCCCCCCCCATACACACACACACACACAAATGCATACACCACTGTGAGTAGACATACAATCTATACCAGGTACATGTACCGGTAAGTGATCACACTGACTCACAGTTCTACGGCAGGCTTGCTGATAACTGGGAACTCTTGCAGCATACTGACATCATTGCTCAGCTTGTTGATTGCTGTCGACATACACATGCAATGCAGTACAACACAGGACAATAGCTGATTATTAAAGACCTTGCCCAGGGCCATTCATTGCAAAGCTGCAATTTGACAATGGGTCACTGTAAACGGTCACATGCAAAAATGTGTACAGTGATAGAATAGTGTTGGGTGCAGAGTGTGTCGCTAAAGTGGGTCATCTCGAGACCATCTGGAACATTGATATCTCTCTCTCTCTCTCTCTCTCTCTCTCTCTCTCTCTCTCTCTCTCTCTCTCTCTCTCTCTCTCTCTCTCACACACACACACACACACACACACACACACACACACACACACACACACACACACACACACACACACACACACACACACATACAGAATACAGGATTCACTCCACTCCACACACAAACATCACAATCACAGAAGGACACTGACGTACACCATGGTGAGGAGACAATCAGGAGAGTAGGACCGTGGCCACCTTGCTTGTAGTCGCGCAGAGTGCGCTGCAATGTGCGGAATGCCTGACAACACAGACCAGAGCAGCACAGCAGTGCTCGAGGTTGGCGAGGGACAAGCTTGACACCATCTGGCAAACACTGGCAATAACACTTTCTGCAAAAGGCTACACTGTACGAGGTGAATAGCAATTTCTGGACATGAAAATAAAATAGAGGCCCACTGGCTGTGTGTTTTACATTTTTCATATCTTTTTGTATCTATTGTATGGCCTAATCCTTCATCTTTCCAAATATATGACAATTGCTCATGCTGTGATCCCAGAGACTTTATCGCAGGATGTTTTCGATAGGCCAATTTTTTGGCCTAAATTTCAGTGTATGGAATTCTGGACATGAAAGTAAAATAGCGTCAATAAGCATCCTATACTGCACCATTTTGGTTATTTTTTCTATTGGTGGACTGCAGTTGGCCTCTTCACACTTCCAGCCAACAGGTCCAAGACTATACAGCGTCTGAAGTGGAGTGCACATGGGGAAGCCAACGATTCGTCCATTACTTCTTATTTTACTCAAAATTCAAAATTCTCATGCGACATAGTACCACAAAACTCGTTGAAATGCCTCCCAAGAAAAGGCTATCAACAAGGCACCGACACGAGGAGAAACTACAACAGACCAGCTGTCAACCACAACAAGAAAAAAACTTCATCAACCTGACTGACTTGACCCTACACGCGACGAAAAATTATTTTACTCGAAATGTCCAGAAATGTACAATGTCGAGAAATAGCAATTCACCTCGTAGCAGTGATCTTTTAGTCACATGAACCACTGCCCTTACTGGGACACAAGCCACACGATATCAAGAGTACATAACCCCCCAGAGTGTGCAACGTCTGATCCAGCTCTGCATAGGGTCTTGGTCGGGCGTAATCGGATCTTTGCGTCATAATACCGTACACATCTGAGGGGAACGCGGGGAGTCGCGGGTACTCTCTGATCAAAAACAACAGCACCCTGCCTCGAGACCGGCGTTGCGCTGGTGTGAAGTGTACGCATGACATCAGAAGATCCGACTACGCTCGACCAAGACCCTATGCAGAGCTGGATCAGGCGTCGCACACTCTGGGGGGGGTTATGTACCGTACTGGCAATATATGTTGCCGCGTAACGCGTAACGCAGGGGGGTGCGGCGTAACGCGCGACCAGGCTAGTGCGACAAATTTTCGTTGAGTTCGTAACGCGCGTCCGGCGGGGTGCGGCGATCTTATTGCAGTTTGCACCGCAAAAAAAGGCTGAAAACTGTGAAAGCACGTGTACCGCGTGGTGAAAAGTAGTTTTTGGAGGAAGCGCTCTTCCCCTATGTCACTTTCCTTTTGATGATTTTTTTGTGACAGATCACTCTGATAGTTAAAATATACAGTCTTCTATTGATATCGTTGTCGCCCTTTGCCGTCGGGTTTGTAACAGTTGGATAGCAACTGAATTTCTGTGCCTTGGATGAAAAGAAAAAATGATGCGGCAAAAGCAAAAAAATGATGCGGCAATAGCAAAAAAGTGATACGGCAATAGCAAAAAAAGGACTGCGGCAATATAGAAACCTGTGTAACGGCTCCTGTGCGACTTTGCATGTAACGCCCTGCGTGCGGCAAACATGTGCCAATGTAACGCTTCGTGGCCTCACTGCGGCAACATATATTGCCAGTACGGTACTCTTGACGATATGCAACATGCACAAGCACATACACTCCCAGTAGTCAAGTACCTATCAATACTATCAAGAGTACATAAACCAGAGTGTGCAACTCAGGATGGTTCCTGTGGGAGCTTAATTCGTGCAGTACGTCATTTCTGATGGCATAGTAAGCCGCAGGTACGGTGAAAAGTTGCGTAACCAGTCACGGTGGTGCAGGTCACTGAGTTTGGCCTGATTTCGGTTTTTTTGATACAGATAGCCTGGTGACTTTACTTGTCGGTGGATGTACGCAGCGTACACAGTTGCACAAAACACCGAAATCCTGAAACAGGACGTCTAAAATCAAGCAAACTTGGCTGATTTCCGAGCTATGAAACATGAAAATTTGAGCTGTGCGCAAGTCACGGCTCGGCTGACCACATCAGGGTGACGTAGTGCACAAACTGGCTGTTTCAGATCTGATATGCACAGTTGCACACTCTGGTTTATGTACTCTTGATACTATGCCTACAACATTACAAGTAACGTACACACAGCTACTACAAAGTAGTACACACAAACATGTACACACAAACACCGCTTATTTTCCTCTTCAACACACGCTGGCTGTATTACTTCGTTCTTGCCCGTACAAGAGGCTCTCTAATTTAAAAAAAAAATGTACACACAACCATGTACACAACAACACATTCACCTTCACCTACTGTCCAAAGTTGCAACACCTGTTTTTTCTCGCTTCTCCCAACCTTGTAACCCTAGGCACGGACCATAAGTATCATCATTGCTGTCTGATGATTGGCCGAATACTCGTAGACATGAAACTCGGAGTAAGTTAACAACGGCATTCAGCCATGTTCCACCACAAACCTGTGTCATTTACCTCAGCCCTCACAGTATTGAGCACATTTACAAGAAATTAGCAACTTCGCTTTGACAAACATACACTGTGTAGCGTGTGTGTGTGTGTGTGTGTGTGTGTGTGTGTGTGTGTGTGTGTGTGTGTGTGTGTGTGTGTGTGTGTGTGTGTGTGTGTGTGTGTGTGTGCACACAATCGATCATACCGGCTGAACTGTGGCATCGACACGATTGTCAAATTCGCACGTCTTCGGCGGCAACAGCGACACATCCAGCCCTTCCTCTTCACACTGACGAGATCTGCACAAGAGTACAACAAAGATGTGAATCAGCGGATATGGGAACGGCAGGATCAGTATAAGCAGCAAGAAGACTCCTCTACGCCAATACAAGTACTGGTACTGCGGTTGCAGCCAATGAAACACACCCACTGCCACAAGGGGGCTACATCACGGTGGAGTTCAAGCCTAAGGGCCACTTTACAGCACGTGAAGATTAGACAATTATAGAAAGTTCTCAGCAGTGACTACTAAACTGATGAGAGGAACACACACACACACACACACACACACACACACACACACACACACACACACACACACACACACACATACACACACACACACACACACACACACACACACACACACACATATATATACCGCATTTTCTCTATTACAAGCGCAGTCTCTTGTAGAAGCCCAGTCTCTATCATAAGCGCACTCCAATAGGGCGTCGAAGATATACAAGCGCAGTCTCAAATAGGCGCAGGGGTCATAATGGAGGACTGTATGGATCATGTCCATGCATGTTTGACGTCACATATCACATAAACACATGCTGACTGCTGTGGTAAAAGTCTGTGATCCCGAGATCTAAAGTTCAGGCTCACTCAGTGTACCAGGAAGCACAAAACTGCAGTCCCGGTACCTGCTGGGAAAACATTGTGCTACTGATACAATGCAAAATAATAAGCCATGTGCATGTACTAGGTGGTTGAAAAAATATAAGCCCAGTCTCTTGTAGAAGCCCAGGGTCCGGTCTGGTTGAAAAATTATAAGCCCAGTCTCTTGTAGAAGCCCAGGGTCCGGTCTGGTTGAAAAATTATAAGCCCAGTCTCTTGTAGAAGCCCAGGGTCCGGTCTGGTTGAAAAATTATAAGCCCAGTCTCTTGTAGAAGCCCAGGGTCCGGTCTGGTTGAAAAAATATAAGCGCTGGGCTTATAATGGAGATAATACTGTACACACATACACAGCATGTCCCAAAGCTCACTTCTCGGTCAGTTGGGACTGGTACATGTTGCCAAGGTTGGGGAGACGATTCGTACGAGATGAGTCCACAATGAACACGGATGCCTATGAACAGAAGGAAGCACACAAACATGTATAGTAGAGTCGCACGCAACCGCAGTGCTTATGGCAGCAACCGCAGTGCTTATGGCAGCAACCGCAGTGCTTATGGCAGCAACCGCAGTGCTTATGGCAGCAACCGCAGTGCTTATGGCAGCACAAACCGATGTTATGTGAATATTATCGACACCAAGCTTCCGTCCAACGTGCAAGCTAAAGTATCATCGATATGCGAAGGCATGTTTATGTATGGGTCAACACAAATGAATGGTACGTGAAGCCATCCAAGTGAACCAAGTGGACGGGCAAAGCAAAGCTTTTCAAAATCTGCACAATCTGGCTTGGGAGTGCCCATGCAAACCAGATCGATGGGTGAGCAGTGTTAACAACTACTGTAAATATACAAATTTTCGGCAGCTATTTAATTTCGCCTATGTTCGGCACCGACCCAAAACGCCTAAATTAAAACGCCGATGAAATTTTTCACAGCATCTGTCGCACTATACCATGCCCTCTACCCCACGCCGAAAATAAATCGCCGCCGAAATGTCAAAAATCGTGAAGTGCCGAAATTTTGTATATTTACAGTACAGTGCTGCTGTACATGCGCCCACCTTCTTTGTTGCCTGGCTGAAGAGAACAAACATGGCACGATTCCCTGGCCTAAGGACAAGAGCAAACAAACAAACAAGACAACGACGTTAAGTACATGCACTTTCCGTAAGGATAGTGGCATGGCTATGGCACTGGTGGCCACTCCAGTGCATAAACTGTACCCACTCCAGTGCATAAACTGTACTGGAGTGGCCATTTCGAATGGGCTGTTGGTCTCCTTTTAGCTTGTATTTACTGCAGCCGTGTCGACATTAGCGTCTTGGGAACTTTGATAGAAATCCTTTATGCTCACAATACTTCTTGCTGTTGTTTGCAACTCCAAAGCTAATGTCTAGAAGGTATATTCTGTGTAATCAACTACCAAGAGTCCTATATATCCGAGTACAGTGAAACCTGCCTAAGGCAACCGCTCAAGGGACCATCGAAATGTGGTCTCCGTGTACAGGTGGTCTCCTTATCCAGGGTTATTTGACTGGAAGTAACATCTATCGGCTCAGGTTGCAGTGGTCCTCTAGGAAAGGACTGAGGTGGTCGCCTTATCAGCGTGATCGCTTTGACAGGCTCTACTACGTACGGTCAAAACAAAAACAGAGTCCATACAAATGTGTTACCCAATCAACTAAACAAGACAACACCACTGCACACCAGTACTAGTTGATAAAACGCAAAACTAAAGTATAATACTGATAAATAAACTGTATGTTGAACCCAATATGTGTGTCAATTGGCTGCTCTCAGCACACTGAAGTGACTGAACATCAGGCAAGGACATTTTATCGTCTTCAATGTGTGTTGAGCACGAGTTCCAAAACGAAACACAGTTGAACCAGGTACAGATCGATACATGAAGTGTCGATCAAAATCAAATAGCATTGTGACGATAATAACTGTAGTGCTAGTGATGGGCAAATCGAAAAAAATTGTCGTGCAAAACATTTTCTTCCCCGTCAAGTAGTTCAAGTTATCATGGATTTCGTTCACGTTTCGAGGACTGTGCGGAGTGGATAGGTGTTCAAACATTCTCTTTCACTTCTTGAGCACCGCAGACAGTTCTGAAAAGAGGATTGACCGCGCAGGGTTGCAGATTCGTGCCTATAGCAACTTCGACGCCTTTAAAAGTTATGAGAACTGATTTCAGCGACATAGCAGGTATGGTACTAGTACCCGTACTAGCCGGTTCGAATACGAATGTCATGAACTTCAAATTATCGGTGCTAATTTCTGTGCAGAAGGTATCGCCTGTGCTTGCGAAAACACCTCGAAATATGAGTATTGCTGTCCTTCGAATTATCAAACTCATTTTTATGGACGTTGTAGAGGCGGACATTGGTGCATGGAAAATGTTCGAAATAGGCAGGAACTTCACATTACACTATATTCGAATTATCAGTATTCTACTGTACCAAGCAAATTCAGAATTTTCGCTACCTGAACAGAAAAGCTATTAGGCTGAATAAGACTCAGTTACCAGAATATCTTACAGGATCATATGGATCAGGTACAATGTCTTCATGGCACCAGGTTCCAGGTAGGAGCACTCAGCTAGGTTCTTAAACTCCAGATACTGCACGTCAAACGTGTCCAATTCCTGTTGAAAGCATCCAGGCAAGGAAAAGAGAGAGAGGGGGAGGGGGGGGGGAGACGGAGAGAGAGAGAGAGAGAGAGAGAGAGAGAGAGAGAGAGAGAGAGAGAGAGAGAGAGAGAGAGAGAGAGAGAGAGAGAGAGAGAGAGAGACGGAGAGAGAGAGGGAGCTTAATTAAAGGCTCTTCACTCACTGCTTAGCTGACTCAAGACACAAGACAGTTTTAACATTCAGAATCCTCAAGACAAACAAGGACATCATGGTGCACATAGATAGCAGACTTACACCCTCGGCCAAGTGTCGAGCCACAGATGACTGGACAGCACAAACGCAGCCAAGACGGAGAATTGCCCTCAGCAGCAATGGAATCTGACAAAGAACATTGAAGAAAAAACGGTGGCAAAAAATTAATTTACAAGCGTATATTCTATTTGTACACAAGTCCTGTTCATGTGACACGGACATTAACTAAAATAGAACACAACAAAGGATGACTACAAAGTACCTGAATTCTATTTGTCAGCCAAGGAGAAGAGAGCAGGCAGAGTCAAGAAAATTGCTGACAATGTGTAGAGAAATATCAGAATGCCATGTATAGAAATGAGTTAGGAGACATTCCCCCAGGCCCACTACAAACATGGAGAGGCAATCAACATAAAAAAAGTATTCACCTGGGTTTCGTATGAGCCTTCAATATTAGGATTGGACAACTCGGCCGTCAGTCGCCTAGAGCAAACAACAACGTTGACAGCACCGGGGACAACAGCAGCAGCAGAAGGATCCTTTGCAAATCTACTACAACTTGTGTGTGTATACGCAGGTACTAGGTGGACTCCGCTCGCTGTAGGTACTAGGTGTGTAAGTACTCTAATTTCAGAAATTTTCAGTGCTCAATATTTTCGGTATGAAACTTTAGGTATGCAACAGATGCACCGAAAGTACCGAAAATAAAAGTTCACCGAAATTACAGTATGTGCGAAAGTATGTGTGTGTGTGTGTGTGTGTGTGTGTGTGTGTGTGTGCGCGCGCGCGCATGCACGAGTGTGCACTATTCATTGGGCGTGCTCGATTACACACAACTCGTCCATTCTACAACGCGTGCATCAGCCATACATGTTACACGTACCCCAAATGCTGCCGGTAGATCTCCTCCGGGAATGTGTACTCGTACAGGTGGAAGACAGGACAGGAGCGGGGCAAGGAGCGGGTAACTCGACGGACACCAGAACTGCTCAGGTCACGCTGCTGCCTAGAGTTGACGAAGAAGATGCGCGGGACATTCACCTTGAGAGCAAACAGTTCGTTATCAACTAGGGCCCAGGCTTTGAACTGACCCGGCACGGAAGTTTCTGCGAACTACAATAAGAGCCGTAGAAGATGAGCAGGGAGAGGGGGAACAAGAGTTGATAAACAAGGTCAGTCATGCAGAAAGGGACAATTCCAAATCAAATGCATGCAATCGCCAAAACAAGGTATTGTTACAATGACACTTAGTCTTTCCAAATAGGAGGCCAGGTGGTAAATGGTATGTGGTATGCAAGCAAGCACTGCAATGCCGAGTTACCATGAGGTTTGATAGTCGAACAGAGTATAAAAAGACCAATTGAGGTTTGATAGTCAAACACAGTATACAACGTAAGAAGCCCAATTGAGGTTTGATAGTACATCACAGTAGAAGAAGGGTTACTCAAGATCACAGTAGAAGAAGGGTTGCTCAAGAACCATGCCTGACGTAGTCAACACGCCACTCACCTGCACAATCTGCCAAGGCGTGGTCAGCAGCTGGATGTTGCGATGGCGGAAGAAAGTGGCCAGATCCGTGCTGGCACCAGTGGTGGCACTGCGGCGGATGGCCTGCAAATCCAGGCCGGGGGGACCTCTTCCGTTCGCACCGGCCTGCTGCTGAGTCTTCTTGGCTTGGCGTGCCGCTAACTGCAGGCGCCACTTCTCTTTGTGGTAACGCAGCCACTCACGTTTCGATTCCTGACCAGAAGCAGCAGTACACAATAGCAACACCACACGACCATGCAGTCATGACATGCAGCAAAGTTCTGCTTTCCTCTTTTCATCACATTAACACTCCATACGGTACACCAAACACCAGGAACACATGCAAGAAACAGCAATGATCTCTTTATTGACCATACCATAGTACATTATTAACACTCCGTATGGTATGCCAAACACCAGGAACACGTGAAAGAAACAATAACGGTCTCTCAATAGCGCATACTATAGTAGGTTAACACACCATACGGTATGCCTAACAACAGGAACACGTGACAGAGATAATAATGATCTATGCATAGTTCATACCGGTAGTCTAACCATGTTCAGGTCACCGTCTTACCGCAGAACTGCCTCTCTCTGGTGGAGGGCCGAGAGCCTCGCGCCAAGAGAGCGGCGGTTCATCGTGATTCGGTCTCCGGGGCACATTCAAACGCGCTCGTTTGCTAGCGCCGGACGCAGCTGTCGCCGTCGGCCGTGACATAGTCGTGCTGGAGTTTGATGTGCTCATCATGTCCTCCATGTCAACCGGTGGCGAGTTCTCATCCTCCTCTCGCACTGCGCTTGGAGACGGTGGTCTGGGTCGCTTCTACAACACGCAGCCAACACAGGCAAGCAGGACACAGCATACATGCATGGGTGTGTGTATAATCAGCTAAGTGCCACACTACAGCAGTAAGCATGGAGCGGGTTCTGGGCTAGGGGTGCCCTGCCCCGAAAATGGGGTATTATGGCTAGGGGTGCCCTGCCCCGAAAATGGGGTATTATGGCAAACATACACTGTAAAGTCCAAACACCTCGATGCCGGCCGCCTTGATGTGTTGTAGACGCGAGGAAAAGCGTTCCCGCGGGTCTGGCCCCACCGTAGTTTCCGTGCCAAAAAAAGGTCGAGTGGCAAAAGGATCTGTTGTTTCTCCGATTATTCCGTACTTCCCACATATAAGCGGCACATGGGCTTACAAGTGAAAATTTGAAGACGTTTTGCTGTGTGAACATGTTCGGGTAGAAGCCCATGCGCTTATACGTGCAATAAAGGTTTGTCTGTGTCCTAAACAACGGTGTTATCACAATGCTTAGCAGTATATTCAGCGCACACGCTTATAATTGGGGGAGGGGTGCGCTTATGTCCGGACATAAGCACATACGCTTATGTCCGGACATAAGCACATACGCTTATGTACGCTTATGTCCGGACATAAGCACATACGCTTATACGTGCAGAAGTACGGTAAACCGCACTCGGTTAAAAGTGGCACCCCCATTTTCAGGTTTGAGCCATGTTTTGATGTATTCACTTCAGTAGTAAGTCCTGCTCGGTTGTAAGTCGCACCCCCTTTTTTACCCTTGAACTTTAGTGCAAAAAGGTGCGACTTATATTCAGGGAAATACGGCACCCTGGTCAAATGTTTTCAGCAGGAAGTGCAGAAGTTGTCAAACGTTTAGCGGGAGATGAGTGGATTGGACACAAGTAATTAGGGAGGTTTCGCTCTACGGAATTACGTATGAAAATAACGTAGGAACTGCACGTAATGTTCAGACGTAAAAATCCGCGTTGTTGGGTTTCGCCCTACGTGATTTCTCCATGACTGCTGAGCATGTCTTGTTGCTTTGGAGATGTCTTGGCTGCATGCGCCCACTGCATGCACCACGAACTGAAACCGCGTTTTCCATTTTGCTTTCCACGTGGTGAGCACCTTGTGTTTCGCGAGGCTTGGATGTTGCCATGGATATTATTATTATTATTACGCACACACTCATGGCCAAGGCCAATCAAAGAGGAGGTGAGGGCGATTATAGCCAGCCATGGCAAAAAAGAAGAAAGAAAAACAAGTGCAAATCAGAGCAACAACAATAAAAGAAGAGATTGGTCTGCAAATCAAGTTGTATTATTAGGTTTACGGGAAATGGTCCGAGAGATCATGAACAAAGGCAGAAATGTTTTCACATGATTTCAGTTTTTGGGGAAGCGAGTCCCAGAGACAATAGCTAATGAAAACAGGCGAGAGACTCATTGAGTTATTTCTTGAAATAGGGAATCTTGGTTTATTACGACTTGACGAAGAGGAGTTAAACCAGTTAAGCGTATTTTGAATATGCATTGGGGCCTTCAGCAGTTTAATCTGATGGATAAATCTACAGCAGAGTCTGGCCTTCAGCAGTTTAATCTGATGGATAAATCTACAGCAGAGTCTGTTAATTATGGTTTGTAAAGGACAGGTTTTGCATTGGGAATACAGAATTGTCAATGGGGTGTCAAGTGGGAAGCGAAATATCGCTCTCAAAATCCTGCGATGCATTAGTTCAAGCCGCGTAAGTATTCCTGCTCCAGCACTGCACCCACACAATGCTACAGTATAAAATTATGGGTAAGATATAGGAGGCGTAGAAAGCCCGACGACATACTAGTGGTAAATGGCTCATGTGACTGTATAGAACACCAACAGCCAAACTTGTCCGGCGCTCGAGATACTCCAGATGGTGGGACCAACTCATGCCTGAGTCAAAGATGACTCCAAGGTGTTTGTGGTGGCTAACAATAAATCCGGAAAGTGGGAAAAATATTTCAAAAAGTCCTACAGAAGACCCAACGTAGGAAACAGCTTTCCTCCGGAAATCTGTGGAGATATTTACATATGAAAGTTGCCGTCGCTCCCCGGCGCGTACGACGTACGGATTTTCATATGTAATTACGTAGAGCGAAACCTCCCTAATAAACAACCTGGAACACGGAATTCAACCAATACAAATTCTATATAGACACGTAGTGACTTGCCAAGATGCTCTGTAACAAACAGAAAAAATGATCGCACGCTGAAACACAAAGCCTGCTTTGTCACGCTATTACCAATGCCACAAGTACCTTTGGTGCTGGCCGGAAATGTTCGCTGATTCGCTGCTGCTTGAAGACGTCATTTTTCTCCATGAGACGTTTGTGCAGCCAGTCAGGATGCAGCACACGAGGTACGGGGTTGCTAACCTGGGCGAGTGCAATGACAACATAGCACAACAGACATACATCAATTTCATTCATCAGCTAGTACAAACTGTACAGACCACATCCAGTTGCTGCCCAACACACTGCCAACTCGTATATCTGCATCAGAGGATGACAACACACTGCGCGTCAGCCCTGGGGAGTAGCATGCACGCACACACTCTCTTTCTCACATACATACATCCACACACACACACACACACACACACACAATAACCTGCTTATATTGCATACCTGCTGCATCGCTGCAGGGATCGTGACAATCTTCTGGATGGCACTATTCAGACGTTCAATGTAGTATTGCCAGTCAACAATCTACACAACAAAACAAACACACACACACACACACACACACACAACACGTGTACACAGTACATGGTATGGATAACAAGTAATGCAAGGATTGAATGGGAAATTAAGCTCTGATCTACACCAAATATTGTTCTGCCTTCGTTCAGGTTCCTAATCTTTGTATGGACACAGTCATTATTCTACATTTAGCCCTTTACGCACAGTGGTGCATTTCTCTGTACAGTAAATACAGAGCACGTACACATACTCTAATTTCAGAAATTTTCGGTGCTCAATATTTTCGGTATGAGGGCAAAAGGCCAGGTTAGGTGAACAGAAATTTTCGGTACAGAGAAGCAGTTCCCTATTTGATTATGTGTCTTAGTGTTTGTTCGGTGTATTGAAATTTTAGGTATGAAACAGACGCACCGAAAGTACCGAAAATAAAAGTACACCGAAAATTTGTGAAATTACAGTACACATGTCAAAACAAAAATCTACCAAAGCTAGGGCTCAAACGATTAGTCCGATTAACCGGTTGCAGACCGGTTACGAAGAATTAACGGTTAACCGATAAAGATAACGGTTACGCAGTAACTTTTCAGTCAATTTTTCAATTATCAGGTCGTTGCAAAGTGTGCACTTTCGCGGGCTGTCGCACGCGTACGCAATTTCTGGGCTGTCAACTCGGTCATATCTGGTCTCTTGGTGTGAGAGTATGTATGAATGAGCATGCAAGAGAATGTACAAGTGTGCGTTGTACTGAATAGGGTACATTTTTTGAATGAGTATAGTCATATATACGGTTAAAAAAGAGTCCGCAGGATTGCCGTGGCTTATAGGTTATAACCGGTTAACCGACCGTTAGCTTAGCAGTTAACCGTCAGGGGTAAAACCGTGACCGTTTGAGCCCTAACCAAAACAGCCCTGAACAGCATAGCCATGTGTACAGGAAGACATTACAACGATGATCACGATGATCGTGTTCAAGGTGGAACGCGCCCCACAGGACACTCGGCCTACTGCGCACTCCACCGTGCATCCTGGCCGAGAAGTAATTTTTCAACGGTCAGAAGACTGGAGTTGGCCTGCTATCAGAGTAAACTCTGGTGGGATAATCGGGTACAACACCAGAAATAAGAAGTGCCAAGTGCGTGACTCTGCTAAGTAGAAGGACACCAAACCATGTGCAAATGACTGTCGCCTCAACTGGGATGAAAGTGCGAAATCGACAAGGCATTACGGTGGCAGTGAAGCGAACGACTTCAGAGTTTCGGCCGCTGTATGCCAGAAAAATGCTGGTGGTGACAATGTGTCTGATGTCTGCCATAGCAGCGCACTGTCCCCTGGTAAGCACATAATCGGCCATGCTGATAAGCAGTCTGCTGCTATGAAACACCAGCTTGACTTCAAGTGCACACGAGCTGCCAAATGTCGACGGAACGGAGCTGAAGACTGCCCGGTGAGGCAAGACGACTCTGAGAAGCAGCTATATCATCTGGCTGCGACGTCAACAAAAACACCGGTCGGAAGATCCACTTTTCTGAGGTATGATGGGACTCCGTATATTGAGATGCGTTGACATTTTATTATTATCTTATTAGAACTCAGATGTTGAGCCAAAGTAATCAGATTGTTCATGCAGCTGCATTGGTGCAAAGCATGCGCCCACCCGAAAACACAAATATTGCCCGAGTCAAGAATAATTATAAATCGTGGCTGTCAGCTGTTTTCTACATTCTGCATGCACATGTACCAATGATTATGTGAACGTCAACCAGGCCAAGAAGCATTATCATCATCATCATCATGTCCAACTGCTTCCTCAAAGCCCCGGTGCGCATCTGCATTGGCTTCTGAGTACAGCTATTATTTTCTACTTTCATCTCATTACAAATTTCTGAACATTTTTCTCCATCTGCGCATAAAATCTAGACTGACAACCTGCTTGTTAAATCATGCACCTGCTTTCAGGCATAAAAAACACTGTTGTAGAGGTATCAGTCCTCAGTCCTCATATCTCTCTCTCTCTCTCTCTCTCTCTCTCTCTCTCTCTCTCTCTCTCTCTCTCTCTCTCTCTCTCTCTCTCTCTCTCTCTCTCTCTCTCTCTCTCTCTCTCTCTCGATCGGCACAATATCCTGCATTCCACACACACTTCATCACTTCACAGACAAATGCCAATACAACAGATTGCTGCTTCCCATCTAAACTACACCCCTACAAGTGGGGCATTCGCGGCCGTTTGCAACACGCAGTGACAATTGCACACGACAACTCACATCCCGAATGTCAAAGCTGTTCAAGTCGTTCTTTTTCAACCAGCGCCGTAGGAAGTGCCGCTTAACACTGGGTTCAGCTTGGAAAATTGCTAGTGGAATAGCTCTGTTCAACATACAAGCAAACACACACACACACACACACACACACACAAACGGGCAGTGGGCACACAAACAAAGCATCCAGAAAGGCAGCAAGACAAGAAGAACAAAAAAAGAAGAAGAAGACAATGACTGTGCTAATGTAGCACAAACTGGTAACAACAGAGAGACACGCATGGACATGCTACTTGTAGTCAGGCATACCGTTCAGTAACAGGCGCTCCTTCCGGCTTTCTGGCAATGACAAACTTGCAGTTCAGGCCTTTGTCTTTCACCATCTGGTCACCAAGAAACTGAAAGACACACAGAGAAAGAAGATTTGAAAAACAAATCTCAAATAATAACGTGCACTACAGCCTGTGCATGCACGGCACTTAGTACTACTGTCAGTACTGATGTCCCCAAACACTTGATAAGACACACACGCAAGCTGTACTAGTCAATAATTGACGGACGCCCGCCAAATTCCTCATAGAAAATTACTGGGAAGATCAAATTCCCAGCAGCCCACACCGGTGCATTCAATGCTGCACAACAAGGTGTATACCACACACCACTAGGTAGAGCTGACCGGAACTAAACGCGCCACGTGCAACATCGTTGTCATGATAGTGCCAGAATGCCCAATGCCTTACCTCGGCTAACCGACGTGCAGTACTAATGGACGTTGACTTCTGCTCGCCGTAGTCCTCTAGTGCCCGTGACATGCTTCGGTTCTCCGAGATTAGGCCAAACAGCTCCGAGTCAGGCATGTTCTCTGCCTACGTATTGAACATTGCAAAACAAACGTGTCCAATGTGAAGCTGTCGGTCACCACGCTAACAAAATACAGTACCATACTACAATGAAACATGGTAACATGGTAACATGGTAAGCCATACAAGACGCTTCACAAACTAGAGTCCCTTCAGTTCCAAAAACAGAACAGTTGACACAGGACAATTGACTTCACAGCACCCTCACATACACCATGAGCATCAGCAGCAACGGCAACAGTAGCACCATTTTTCCTGGCAGCTGAATTACATGTACGTGTTCGGCTCCAGGACTACAGCAATGGCATTCAGTCATTCACACTGCACAATATACAGCTACATAGCATAGGGTTTTGAGCGAGGTAGGAACACAGTATTCAGCATGAGTACTCTCGTACAGGCACAATGCAAGCAAAAACCAAACTTACCTGGCTGTAAAGCACGTCAAGCCAGAAATCCGCCACCTGAGCAACAGAAGCATAGCACTCCTCTAGAGTCGATCCTCGCAAGAATGCCTCAAACACGGACGATTGGAAGTTCTTGATCAGCTGCAGCTCACCGCGACGTTTCACTTCAAAACCCTGTTATTATTCGGGCACAAACACACACACACACATGCACGTGCACGTGCACGTGCACGTGCACACACACACACACACACACACACACACACACACACACACACACACACACACACACACCAGATGCAAACAAGAGGATAGTAAACCGAGTAAAATGTTAAAGCATCAAGGACGTCTCTCTCCAGCTTGTTATGACAGGTAGAGTAGGAAAGGGTTAGAAACCCAAGACACCACACCATCATGCAGCAGCGGCTTCACTAAAGCCTGGATTGATCATGCGGTGGTCATGCAGTCAGGTAGAGAGGCCATGGCATACCTTGAGTTCAGCCAAGGAGCCATCCTCATTGAACACAGCGTATCTCTTTTTCAGGCGCTTGCCTTCTTCTTTGGCAGCCGGTAGAATCATGGCGCGGTACGGGCCATCCACCTGAGGGCACAGATACATAACAGTCTCACTACATGTTTGCTGCTGCACATGATACAACTTTTCATAAAACGGAATATTGCGTTTTGGGACTACATGTACCATACTCACTTGATTAGAAGCCCCTCTCGAATAAAAGCCCCTCTTGAATAATAGCCCCCTACGAGGACTGTTCGGAAAAAAATACAAGCCCCTCTCGAATACAAGCTCGGACTACTATTCGCAAAGCATGGGGTGACCAGGTAGTGCCATGTATGAAGGTCAAGTGTGCAAAAAACATGTCGTGCATGTTCATATTGCAATATTGGTACATGTACATGTCCTGGTCAACGTAGTGTATGCAAACTAACTCAGGACCGAGTTGCTGTGAATATGAAAGTTTTAGAGATTCGATTGGAATACTGGTATGGAATGAAACAATAAAAGCCTCTCTCGAATAGAAGCCCCTCTTGAATAGAAGCCTCCCCAACATTGGTATTGAAAAAATAGAAGCCCCCGGCTTCTAATCGAGTGAGTACGGTAATTCCTGTTGCGCAGGTATCGTGCCAAGTTGTATCCAAAGTTTGGGTTCAGTGACATTGAAGATTGTGACTTTTTCATCTCCCGAATGAGTGGTGTTATATAGTGATGTCCACAGTAGCCTACAGTAGAATCTCACGACGCGGTTATACAGTTGTATGCATCAAATCTTACAGGACCTTCAATCAGCCGTTCCTCCTCGCTATCTGCCTACTGCAGGGCACTATACAGGCCATGTCAGAAACATGCACCACTATGATCAAGAAGTGATATTATGACAGCTTCAAATAGCACTACTAGTACTACTAAACAGGCACCAGATGACTAACAGGTGGTTGAAAACATAGAACATGTGACATGGCGAGTAGTACGAAATGAGCACGTTTGTGATGTGCACTGCTGTAAAAATACCAATGGCCCACTGCTACAGTTCTTAAAGAGGGAAAGGCGGGCATGTAGGCAACAAGGGACAAGAAATTGAAATCTTGACCGATGGACTTACTTCGAAGAAGATCGAGTTCTCGCTGTGTGTTTCATAGATGAGTCTCTCGCCATCGATAAGTTTGTGATATTGATCGTTGGTGAAGTGGTCCTGATGAATCATACACACACAAAACAAAACGCAGCAAATAGCTGTGAGCAGACCCACTGCTACCTAAAACTAGGCCAGTCAGTAGTCAGCAAAGTGGCAACTAGGCAGGAGACAAAGAATGCAGCAGTTCAGTTGTTTATGCACGAACAGAGCCACACGCATGTACAACCACACATGCATATGCATAGTTGAGCGGCAATCCGCGCCACGCAAACTCAATGCTAAGCCCAATGGCGGTGAGCGAAAACTGACCTGGACCATGACGTTCAACATGGCACACGGGTACGACACCGTCACCTGGCTCTTCTTTGGGTTATTTGTCTCCACCTTGACCCAAGAAACAAACAAACAAACAAACAAATGGATATACAAAGAATATATGCAAACCAAATAATTATAATGAAATGTGACACAAAGAAAAGCTGTCGAAACACAAATAGAAGTGACGAGGTTCCAAAAACAAAACAAAAAGTGAGCGATGCAGAAAAATGTAAAAAGGAAAAGGACATATGGTACGAGTTAAGAGCAACTCTCCATCACTATAACTGGATACTATATACAGTCAGAAAGTGCAATAACTAGGCACAAAACTGACAGCGTACTGAGACATTCGACGTCCTGACACCTAGCTTCAACACATCTCCGTATCATTTAATTTATATAATTTATATAATTTGCTGTCAGTTTTGTGCCTAGTTATTGCACTTTCTGACTGTATATAGTATCCAGTTACAGTGATGGAGAGTTGCTCTTAACTCGTACCATATGTCCTTTTCCTTTTTACATTTATTTATGGCTCAACATCTGAGTTTCAAGATGCAGAAAAAGCTGACATTATCCAACTATCTTGCCAAAAGCATACCACAAAGTTCTCCGGGAAGCTTGCTGGCAGGACACACCAGATACCATCTGTATCCAACTCCAATGGCCGTCTAGATCAGGAACAATCCAAAGACAAAGTACAATGACGGCATGCCGGATTAGCGAGAAAAGATCAACGACAAGGACGATCTCTCAAGAATGTAATCAATGTGAAAAACAGCAGGTCTAGCAAAGCCCCACTGCTACAATGGAATTTGAGTATGAAAGTATACAGCGGAGCCCTGCCTAGCAGAATACAGTCATGTACATTATCAGGGGTCATACAATATAAGGCTCACCCAATTTGCTCGATGATCTCTCTGGCCCGTGTGATGATGTTGGCACCTGTATAGCACACAATACCGGCCATCTCCATAGAGTGCCAGCGTGCTCTGCAGTCAACACCGGCAGCAGCAGCATCAATCACAGACACACACACACACACACACACAGACACACACACACAGACACACACGTGCACACACACACACACACACACACATACACACACAATAATACTTACTGGTCTCAGTACCAGTCTTGTCCATCTAGCATACATGTGTATTAGCCAGTGCTCTCCTATTATCTGTGCTGTGGTTGGTGGATCTGATCTATCCTATTATCTGTGCTGTGGTTGGTGGATCTGATCTATCCTATTATCTGTGCTGTGGTTGGTGGATCTGATCTATCCTATTATCTGTGCTGTGGTTGGTGGATCTGATCTATCCTATTATCTGTGCTGTGGTTGGTGGATCTGATCTATCCTATTATCTGTGCTGTGGTTGGTGGATCTGATCTACCCTATTATCTGTGCTGTGGTTGGTGGATCTGATCTATCCTATTATCTGTGCTGTGGTTGGTGGATCTGATCTATCCTATTATCTGTGCTGTGGTTGGTGGATCTGATCTATCCTATTATCTGTGCTGTGGTTGATGGATCTGATCTATCCTCCCCCACCGTTTAGGAGCCACATCTGACGCCTGATCATGAGGTGGTGGCGTCCCACGGAAGCGGAAAGGTGGTTCTTGACCAGGGAGTTGTACGACTCCTTGTTCTTGACCTGCCCGGTACGCGAACCCCGTCGAATTTATTATTATTATGTTTTAGATACCAGACAGGCCACAGATCAAGAATGACGGGGGAAACTATGATTCAAACAGTCAACTAGGGAACATGGACATCAACGCATATTGAACGCCACACAGGCAACCATCCCGACGACTGGTATGCAGTGCTCGATGACTCACCCCTTTCTCATGACGTATCCATAGAACGAGTTGAGAATGCACTTGTGTGCCAGCTGCAGGGAGTCGTACAGTACCACCTTGTTGCTCGAACTGCAGGGCAGACAACACACACACCTCAGACCTCAGACATGCCCATCGCGGAAGCGATGATAGCGAACAGCTATGTTAGACATAGCAACTTGTGCTGGGATTACACCATTCAACAGCTTGCAAGGCTGATGAATTGACCGCCACTATTTTTAGCCTGCTATCCACCACACAGCTGTTTTTGAAGTGACTTTTTCTGGCCAGTGAATCCCTATTTTTCATTTTTCCATTTTTTTCTACACACACACCACACCACATACTCTGGCATACACTGGCTGTTGGTAACCACCCAGGAGAATGAAAGAAAAGTCAGGAAGAGTCCGAGAAAGAGAAGAAAGACGTGTGCGACCATAATCGTCGGGAATTGAACCCGCAACCTCTCGATTGGAAATCGACTGCACATACCACTGCACCATATGGGACACACACACACACACACACACACACACACACACACACACACACACACACACACACACACACACACACACACACATGCACACAACCAGACGCACGGCGCAGTCATATACAAGTACGTAACTGAAGTTCAGACATGAATACTTTGATGTACAAGGGAAACCATACATCACCACTGCATCTCAAGAGCTCAATAGAGGCTATCCAGGTGCGAGCAGAGATCCCACACAGGCAGAGGTGAACACACAGGACCTGCTATGAGGCTCCCAGAAAGCTACGGCTTGTCTAGCAGCATGAGTGCATTAACTCATGTGGAAATTTCGAGGAGCGTGCTGGAACACTTTAAAAAGCCCCCCGGTACGCCACTGGCTGGCCTTGGCAGGAATGAGGGCACACGAATAGTAGTGGACAATGTGTTGAAAGCCCTCCTCCTTACCATAGAAATTATGTACAATACATACAAATCAAGCACAGGCCAGAAATGAAAGTTGCCGCGAGAGTATTTCTTTCCGATATTGCGAAGTTCAGCTCCTGAGATACACTTCATCTTCACCCTTTTCCCATACCTGTACATTTCTCATACATACAATGGAACAGTTTGCATAGATACACTCTCTGTCTGTACAAGCCGGCATCTAAAACATAGCTACAGGTCTGCTCTGGAAATAGCAACTCTCACTTGTATGTAAACCTTGCTAGTACGTAAAAAAAATCCCGCACCGAAACAGCATCACTCCCATACAAATTTTGTTCTGCACAGCGTAATCCTACATAGTGTAAACCTCGACATAACGCATGCTACGGCGGGGTCCCCGACGTGCGCACTCTCGATACAACGTAGATTCAAGTGTGCGGTACGATCAAGCTGTAGCTTGCAAGCGGGTAGCCGTGCACGCGTGGCGCAGAGAGTTGTGCATATACGACTCTTTTGCGAAACAGTGTCGACACCGGGTTACTCAGTTGTTTTGCCTTGCAAGCTTGCTGTGAACTGTTCCGCCATGTCGAAGCAACGAGTATCGACCAGTTTGAAGGAGAAAATTAAAATTATCGATGATCATGAAAGAAGGAAGTTGTCAGTCCGTGACATTCCGAGGGCGACTGGAAAACCTACCAGCACAATTTATACGATCTTGAAGAACAAGGATTCTTGTCGGAAAAGTTGGGAACCCGGTCAGCGCTCCGGCAAGGTGAAGCGTATTGCTCATTCCAAGTGGCCTCAGCTGGACAAAGCCCTGTTCCAGTGGGTTGTCAAGGCAAGGACAACTGGAGTTAATGTTTTCGACGACACCATCCAAACAAAAGCCCGAGAGCTCGCTGAGCATTTCGGAATATCGGATGAAGAGTTCTCCGCCAGCAGCGGATTCTGCGATAAATTCAAAAAGCGCCATCAGCTATCGCTGAGAACGATGGCTGGAGAAGGTGAACAAGCAGCTCGTTCCAATGATATTCACGACTGGCAAGATGAGGTTCTTTCTGGCTTACTTGAGGGATATGCGCCGAAGGATGTCTACAACGCCGACGAGCCGGCCCTCTTCTACTGACTCCTACCGCACAAGACTCCGGCATTTCGTGGCGAGAAGTGAAGAGCAGGTGAGGTGAGGAGAAGAAGAAGGACCGGGTTTCATTGCTCTTTGCCTGTAATCTCAATGGCAGTGATAAGCTCACCCCGCTGATGATCGGGCATTATGCAAAGCCTCGCTGCTTCAAGAATGTTCAATCATTGCCAGTTACATTAGAAGTCCAGCAGAAACGCTTGGATGACTGGCGAGCTCTTCAAAGAATGGCTGCTCTCCGTCAACGCAGATATGGCTCGGCAGAATGCAACATAATTATGTTCATGGACAACTGCTCGGCTCATGTTGCTTGGTGTGCGGGACTTGACATTGCCCAACGTGAAGTTAGCATTCCTACCATCCAACTCCACAAGCGTCACTCAGCCACTTGATCAGGGAATTATACGCAGCTTCAAAGCCCAGTATCGCCGCAGAGTCATCCAGAAGCTGATTGCAGCATTCCACTCGAACAAGCAGGATTCATTTTGAGGTACATCTTGTATTTTACACACGGTTTTCTACATAACTCTCGTTATATTGACCTTTGATAAATACCCACACTCATTAGTGACCACACTATCAACAGTATCAAATTCAAATAAATTTGCTTTGACTCAGTAAATACCACTGCACTTTTCCTTAAAAAGGAGTATTTTATAAACAGTATTAATGTATTGGCCATTAAATTGAGTCAAAGCAAATTTAGTTGAATTTGATGGTGGTATTTTTTAAACAGTATTTATTGGCTTTTGAGCCTATAAATACTGTTTATAAAATAAAACTAAGTCCATAATTGTCAATCTGTTGCACAAAACGAAAAAGTTTCATTTATGGGTGGGTGGGTCAAGGAGCGTTTCGTTCTGAAAAAATCTATAGGCTAAAATCCATCCATTCTATAGCTGTCAAGTCAATATATTTTTCGTTCTGTGGGGTGGGTGGGTGGGGGAGGGTCATAACTAAACCTTTTCGTTCCATGAAATTAATCGATTATGCCGGATGGCCCCTAAGGGGCCGTCCGTAAATATCGATATTTTTTTCAAGACGATATTTGTTCATGTCTCCCCGGACCCCCTCCCCCCTGAAACGAACATACACACGTTTATGTAGGGTATCGATATTTTGTTATGAAGTGTAATCTCCTCGCGAAACATGACCAACAGTAATTCCAAATTCACCATACACCTAGGTTTACATTGTCACAGTCTCTCAACCTTGCCATGGCTGTATTCTTGGGTTGACTTTCACTTTGTGTAGGTCATCAACCACATGTACATGTTTGCACAGTGCCCGCCCAAATTTAGAGATCGATTTTTTTTTCAAAAGGACGAGACGAACAGGGACCACCCCGCCCCCCCCCCCCCCTCCAAATGAACGAATATCTTCTCTAAAAAAAATGGATATTTGTGGACGACCCCTAAGGCCAATAAATACTGTTTATAAAATACTCCTTTTTTAGGGAAAGTGCAGGACTGGTCAAAATAATTATGTATAATAAATGTAGTAGGTCCCGGGTTCGAGTCCTGGTGGGTCTGGTGATTTTTTCTCTTTTCAGGCAGTTCACTTCCCCAACTGATCCTTTGAAAATGTAGTAGCCTCAGGATTTATTGCAATTACATACCAGTTATAAAAACCTCGGGGGACCTCGGTTTTATAGTTTATACTAGTAGGTAATTGCAATAAATCCTTCGGCTCTACATTTATTATAATATAACATAATTTTGCGTGGTCCCAGAGATTACGTTATACAGAAAGAAACCTGTACCAACCTTTTGGCTTCGGCAGCATCTGATTTGGCCTTTGCGCCATCCAACTTCTTTTTCCAGAACTACAAGCGTGAGACAAAATGAAGAACCAAACACTCCGGTATTGTATTCATACAATACACCACCATAGGGACAATGCACTCATTGCACTGCACATGTTATATGCCACCAGACCTAAAAAACAGGTTCTGTAGCACTTGTCAATCCTCCCTCACATACATACACACTCCACAATAGCGAGATTTCCCAGATTGCCTAGAGTGCTCAACACCACAAGGATGGAGCAACACCACAAAGACAGAAGGGAACAGAGACAACCGGCTAGGACATTGTTGTAACGCTGCGTTTCATGCACAGAGCAAAGCTAAGACAATCCTCAGAGAACTCTTGTACATACACACTACATATAGAAGTACACAAGCATAAGCACAAGAGGCAAGCCGCTTACCTTCAGCAGGCCCTTGTACTCGTAGCGGCGATCACGGAACGCCCTGACCGTGTCCACATAGAAGGAGTTCTCACGCTGGCAAACGGTCGTGGTGCGTGACTCCTGGCGAGTGACTCGCACTCTCTTGTAAGCCTTACGGCTGTAGTCTAACAACAGAACAACAGAATAGAATACACAACACATGCCGTATTTCCCAGCTATAAGTCAACCTTTTAGGTCCTTAAATAAAGAAATAAAAAAGGCATAAATCGAAGCCCCCAGTGGTGGGGTCGACTTAAAACTGGTAAAATGCGATACAACACAGACACCAATTGTGATTCTCCTCACTCTGAGTACTGTAAAAGCAGAATTTTTCGGTGGTGTTTTATTTTCGGTAACTTTGGTGCCGAAATTTTCACCAAAAATAAAACGCAATAGCACTAGTACACTTACCTGGAAAACGGGGTTTACCGAAAATTTCCCTCCACCGAACTGCCGGTTGTGGAGAATACTGAAAATATTACACCACCGAAAAGTTCTGCTTTTACAGTAGTAGGGTATTGCAGCATAATTGCCACACCGACCGTCAACAAGACACACCGACCGTCAACAAGACCTAAGACTCGCGGACGCCTGGCACATACCGACTAGCCGTCTCTTGACCAGAGCGGCTTGATCCGCCGCCGACAGTTGATGGAACTTCCTGGGCTGCCCGCCTGGCTCCGACGGTGGCAAGACTTCAGACTCCAGCTGCTGCGTGATAGCATAGTACTCATTACGCTTGGCAGGTACTAGCACACAAGAAAAGATACACACACACACACACACACACACACACACACACACACACACACACACACACACACAATACACACAATACACAGCGATACTTGACCTCACAGAAGCTGTGAACATTCCAAGCGGAGCACACAGAAGCTTCATATGCCGACACCATCATAGAAAACAAGTAACGTTGCAAGAAGAAACAACCAAGGAGATGTAATACACCATGCCAATGGATGTAAGCAGTGACTCACAGAAGTCGCCTCGCCATTGCCACTCCATCTTGCGCTGACAATGGGATCCTGGCTTGTTGAAATCACAAGCAGCGCACGTTGCTTCATCTACCATCGACGGTGGCTAAGCAACGGAACAATTCAACAGACATTCATTACATGGTCAGAGGCACAAAACCAATAATTTACTAAGCTATGGCAAGTTACGTTCGGGCCTGGTTTAAATCTGACTTTGGAATCTGGCTTTGGAAATTTGATTTTTCATCGCTAACAGGTTCGGCCTCATTTTCTCTGTGCTGCGCTGATGAGTCTACAAAAAAGGACGAAACAGTTCGGCCCGCAGATTGAGTAAGCTATGGCATATAAATATAAACCGACTACTGTACTATACTTTTTACAACAGACTATTGGGAAGATTATTGGGATTAGGGGGGAGCAAAACTAGTTGCTTTCACTACAAAATCTAGAATCTTTTGATAGATCTGCTTTGACTCAGATTGCCAGAGGGGGGTATCATAATGCAAGAGCCAAACCCACTGCTTGGACAGGTTTTGACGTAGGAATGTTCAGGAAACAAGGTGACACTGCAATGCACTAAATGATGTGTCCATTCCATTAAAGGTGTTTAATGGTATACTGTAAGTCTCTTCGGCTTTAACACAGACAACAAAGAAAGGGAAAAATAGAGAAAAAGACATGCTACATAAAACCCCAAGGAAAAAATGGCAGGCAGGCAGGGGAGGGGGGGGAGAGAGAGAGAGAGAGAGAGAGAGAGAGAGAGAGAGAGAGAGAGAGAGAGAGAGAGAGAGAGAGAGAGAGAGAGAGAGAGAGAGAGAGAGAGAGAGAGAGAGAGAGAGAGAGAGAGAGAGAGAGAGAGAGAGAGAGAGAGAGAGAGAGAGAGAGAGAGAGAGAGAGAGAGAGAGAGAGAGAGAGAGCCCAAAGCGGCAACAATGGCATCACAGGTACCCACGTCTCCAATGAGACAAAGCGTACCTGAAGACGGTTGGTAAGAATGATGTTGGGGTACATAGCGCCAACGTCCAAATGGTAAATAATCGGACACTCCAGTCGATTTGGTGTGTCACGCAGTGATGCCAGCTCACCACGAATAGCATCGCAGACCTACAACACACAGCCAACAAATCAGTGATTAGAGTAAATCACGTAGGCAACAAGTATACTTCAAAGTACCATGTCTGAACTCTCGGCATACAGTGAATAAGAAAACTGGATACCACAACACCATGGATCAGGAAGACACAATGGCTGCCACATTGCCTTTATGCAGCTTGAGAGTAGGACAAACACACACCTGGTCAAAGTTGGTGACTTCCTCCAATGGAATCTTCTCCTCCTTGACGATAGCATGTTTCATAGTGTGTTCGACACTGTCCATGAGCATCTGGAAGGCATCCGGAACCTACAACAAGACGAGCAACAACAATGCCATTGCAGAGTCATATCAGAAACACAGCACTATCATGTTGCACACAAATTTGCACTGAATTTCACTACACACATGCACAGCAGAACTGACCAAGCAGGAGCAGTTAAAACACTTCACATGGCTGCTACAACTACCTAGAGGCAAACACTGGTCATCTGCAAAGAACATTGAAACCTGGCCGACTAATGGCAAATCCACAGGGGACACGTTTCCAGCTCACCATGCGAAAGCGACACGGGATATCGCTTCGGAAGACGCCGGACTCCAAGGCCTCAACGTGACCACCGACATACGTCTCTCCCTCAAGCAAGTGACCATCAGTAGTTAGTTTGTTGAAGACCTGGCCGATGTGAAAACAGGAACGATAACAAAACAAACTCAACAGCAGGCTACACTATAGTAGCTCACTAAGCCTCAGTTGAATGTACTCTGTAACTGTGTGCGTGTGCATGTGTGTGTGTGTGTGTGTGTGTGTGTGTGTGTGTGTATGTGTGTGTGTGTGTGTGTGCGTGTGTGCGTGCGCGTGTGCTGTGTGTGCGTGTGTGTGCGCGCGCGCGCGTGTGCTGTGTGTGTGCGTGCGTGTATATGTATATGGTTGACATTCGCCAAAGTAGAGCAAACACTTGCATGCTTGCACTGCACTGCCAACACATGGCACTGACACGGTACACCATACACCATACGGTTACACTGCCTGTACCTGCTCTTGCTTGTTGGGAAACACAACGTTAGCATTGAACGCTTGCACCATCAGCAGCGTTTCACACAGAGTGCCGGATCCCTTGCGCAGGACCTATCACGATACAGACAAGCATACAGGCACGCAGTCTCAACGCAGGATGAAATACTATCTGCCCAGCTTAATAATGCCAATACCGTAGAGCACCTTCAAAAAGTTCACATGCTCCAAATCTCATAGATAGACCTCACAGAAACGAAAACATAGAAAGCACAGTACAAATACGTGGTGGAAAGGCAAGTTGAAAAGCTTTTACCAAGCTCTCTGCATATTAAAACCTTCCTAAAAAAAATACCATAGCCCACAACGACAAAGCCAGTAACGCTAATGCAAACTCCACCACAATAAGCTGACACCGTTAAGTGTCTGTACTAGTCTCTTGCCCACACAGCACACAATGGTCTTTGCCAACACTGCCGTACGCTACTTTGATATGCATTACATTGTAAACAGCAGCACTGCTTCACTTCACACTGAACTCTAGGGTGTAAGAATTCAATCAAAGAATTGCAATGCCAAAAACACAGCTAGTACAGCCTGTCACCATGCAGAACTAAACGAAAGTGGTCAAAAAGCAAGACTCACTTCATCCGGCTCCATGGGAATAATGGTGCACAGAGCGAAGATGAACGGGTGCACATACTTCATGTATAGGTAATAAGTAGCCACCGCATCTGACACAGAGTAGTTCGACAAGCCCTGCGTATACGCAAGCACAAGCACAAACACACAAACACACACACACACATATGTGTGTCAATGTGCACATCCATACGTTGTGTAGACTACAAAGAGAAGACAACATGAACAAGTTCATCTCAACAAGCAGCATATATCTGCTGACTTCCACCATTCATGAAACAATCAAGCATACCACACTTCGTAGTGGTCACATACCTGTGGGTCTTCGCTGGCCATTCGACACATGTCCTCAGGGTCGAGCTCAAGCGGGTCGTAACGCAGCTTGGCCTAGGATACGGGTAGTGCGTAGGTACGCACACAACCCACAACAACACAAGATCACATAGATTAACACACACACACACACACACACACACACACACACACACACACACACACACACACACACAGCACACAGCACACAGCACACACGCACACACATGCACACGCAGCACACACACCTCAGACCTCAGACATGCCCATCGCGGAAGCGATGATAGCGAACAGCTATGTTAGACATAGCAACTTGTGCTGGGATTACACCACTCAACAGCTTGCAAAGCTGATGAATTGACCACCACTATTTTTAGCCTGGTATCCACCACACAGCTGTTTGAAGTGACTTTTTCTGGCCAGTGAATCCCTATTTTCACACACACACACACACACACACACACACACACACGTGTACACACACACACACACACACACACACACACACACACACACACACACACACACATACATACACACACACACACACACGGCCCGCTGTGAATGGTGAAGCTAACTGAGCGGAGTGCATGCATGCTCGGCTGGTCCTCATTCAGCAACGTAATGCACAGAGAGGACCGGATTCTCTTCTCGCTAGACTTTTCCAGTGCACAGTATATGCACGGAGCACAGCTGCCTCATCTGGAGGAACTGCACTTTGATGTTGTGAGCAAAGATGACAACCCGCTATTATAAAGTGTGCCCCAGCATCGTCCAATTGAGAATTTCTCGTCTTCGTTGAAAGATCTGATATACAAGGGTGAACGGCAGACTGATTCCGAGCATCAGCTGACACAACAGATCAAGTTACGCCACCGCAACATGGACAAGGAAGCTGTCCAGGCGTTGATGCCGACGCTAACAATGGAATTGAGCGGATCAGCTGACCATGGACCCAGGAGTGTGTTATAAAATCACATAGAGACCTAAGTCACCAGTCACAGAATAGATCTAACGCTACACATAGACAAACACTCCCAACGCAGTGGACGAACCGTGCTGGGACAAACCACTGGAAGGGGTAGTCAAGCGACAAAGAAGCAACGGGCAGTAGATATTCTGAATTAAAATAGCTGATGGCTCTGCTCAAAGCACAATGTTTCTAACAGACTACCACACAAGTCAACTGACTCACCTTTGTGGCAGCCTTCAGATGCTGACTTCCCACAGGAAGGTAACTGTCACGCTTCACCCAACTGAAATACACATAACACACACACACACACACACACACACACACACACACACACACACACACACACACACACACACACACACACACATATATGTAACAGCCGACAGCACGTAGTACACCATCCAGTGAAACATTTCTAGACAATTAAAAATAAGTAAGGGATGGAACAGGACACAATGTGGATTGAAATGCTGGCAATAGTACAGCGCTGCTCAATGAAACCTGATTCCGTGAGTCAAGTCTGCGCCCTGCACCAGTGAACATCCCAGTGTCCGCAGGTCTAGGGCTGCACAGCACCCAGCCTGGCATTGACTCGCTTGATTGGAGTTCACTGGGCAGCACTGTAGCAGCAAGACAATGACAGTGACTATCACACAAGAGCTGAGAGCCCTACCGATAGGCATCCATGTGAATGCAGTGACGGCACTTGTACTCGTTCTGGGAATCAGCAGCAAATCCTGCAGTGACACAGACAAAAAGCAGTGCTAACCCATCTTATCCATGCAATGATGACAAATGGGACATCCATCAAGTCAGAAAGGAGCTGGCTTAGACCTCACTGCCACTTTAGGTTGACTGCAAAGGCACAGGCACGCTCTAAGTGTACAAACACACTCGCCGCCTAACATACATTGTGACACGCACACAAACAAAACAACGACCATCGCCAATCTCCTGCCCGATCTCACCGGTCTCATCTTCCATATTCAGGCCATGGTGGGCAGCACGAGCTTCAACGAATGGCCAATCAAAGGAATCACCGTTGTACGTGACAATGATGTTAGGTTTTACATCCTGACAGAAACAAAGAACAGCCGAAAGACGTTGACAAAAATATCAATTTTCATCTCTGTACAGAAGAAATCATAACAGCCATTGCCACTCAAAAACAATCCGATGTTGACAAGAGCCCTATTACACTCCATTGACTCACAAGATATCGAGTTTGTATTAGAGAGAAATCCCATAATTCGTCCCATTCCATGTACACTTCATGGTTCCATTGATCGTCACATCCAGTATACTCAAAGCCTGTCTATACACGTGCACGGAATAGATTGCGCGGGGGGGGGGTGGACAGTGTGACACATACTGTATACCATCTATACTCTCAAGCGAACAGATCCGACAGACAGACACGCCAAAAAGGGCATGTACTAAGTCGGAGAAATAGAAACAACAAGCCTATCAACGATGAAATAAGCAAAAATAACCGGGTGTCTGTATCTTACTTGAATGTGTGCAAAGAAACGTTGCAGCATGGCCAACTCGTTCTCCTCATTCATGACGATGAACGGCCCTTCGTACTCCGGTGTCGGCGTATACTCAAAATCGGCAATATCCTCCGCGATGATCTCTCGGTTGGTAATGAGATAACCCTACGACAGCAAGTATAGAAGACGATGACAGTCTTTCACCAAGCACAGCTGCACTGGTGCATGCACAACTGCGCTGACCAATGAAAGACGTTCCCTGCCCCAGTACCAGTGTCACCTGTAGGAGTAACTTTTGACTACACCAATCCAAATTTACTACAAGTAAAATCAGGTATATCTAATACCAAGTATAAACATGGCAGCTCTTGTATGTGCTGTGTGCTGCACTACGTACATATGATAAAGAATGTGTGCACGGAGTGACGCAGAAGAAGCGCCACAGCCAGACATTCAGAAAGTCACGGACGTGAATAAGTGCGCGTGTGAATGTCAATCAGCTTTTTCCTGTGATGTAAAATTCTACTAAATCTGAGCCGGCCAGCACACCCGTCTGAATGCGCCGTAAAGGCACTGTACTGCAAACAATCAGTACAGCATTTACCTGAGTGTCGATCATGTACGAGATCATCATGATCTGGTCTACAGCTGAGTCAGGGAACTTGAGCGGAAGCTTCGTTGTCTCAATGTCAAAGGCCATCACAATTGGCTCCTACGGAGAGAAGTGATATAACATGCAGAAATAAGAATAATGAGCGTCAAAGGATAGCACCTTAGTGTAGCATTAGAGCTTGAAATTTAAAAAGATCCCATGCACTGATCATGCACTCACTGGCAACTATGCATACACCACGGCAGTAGCAGCTTTGGTGGGGGGGGGGGGGGGGGGCATTGGAGCCATCATAGGCATCAAGCTCGCCTGTGAGTGTGACCGCTGCCAACAAATACAGCCACGGCAGAACTGTCACACCTGCAAACCAGCCATAGCAAAGTCACACCAGGAATCCTAGTGCCTGTGTGTGTTATTAGCGGGTGGGTGGGGGTTAGACAGTAAAGGGACAGCAACCGCCGGCTAAATCTATACTCTACGGACACTCAAACATCAGTACAGTAACACACTGTCTGGGGCACCGGCTCCATTAGCTGCACAAGTGCATAAGCTGCATACAGTCAACTTCGCTTATAACGACACTCGGCGGGGCATCAAAAAGGTGTCCTTATTCGCGAAGTGTCGTTATACCCGAAGTCTCATTATATGTATTACAGTGGGATGGGACTTTGCTCTGGGCATGGAAATTCTGTCGTTATTCGCGAATTGTCGTTATATCCGCAGTCGTTATTAGCCAAGTTGACTGTACTCCCTCCTGGGGTCAAACATAACACTTAACGTTGCACTAGTTTCCATTTGTTTGCACTAAACTACATGTTTGGATAAGCAGTAGGGTGAGTTAGTGGCCGGTGTTTCATTAAAAAGAAGTGCGATTTTTACCCTAGCTGATAAGTGCACCAACAAAACCAACCACTACACACAGAGACAGTGAGTGAGCAAAACAAGTACCCACCAAGCAACAATGCATAGGCATAGGGGTCTTACCGGACGATCAGGATCATCGTGTAGTTCAATGGTCGGTGCACCGAGACCATTGCCTTTGACACGATACCAGAGGCCCTGCACAGTAACAACAGCAACAACAACAACAGCCACCCACGACCACACACACACACACACACACACACACACACACGCACACACACGCGCGCACACACACACACGCACACACACACATACACATACACACACGTATGCACACACACATAAGCAAAAAGGAAATTGCATGCTAACAAAGGGAAAAGGAAGGGTACGGTTTGGAAAAGAGGTGGGTGTTTACATGACGGGTGGACCAGAGGAAAATAATAATTGCCCACAAAGTACAATTATAGAGTCTTGTACATTGTATTCTAGAGTCTTGTATTCTAGAGTTTTGTATTCTAGAGTCTTGTATTCTAGAGTCTTGTATTCTAGAGTCTTGTATTCTAGAGTCTTGTACGGCCGTGTGACTACTTTGGTGGGAAATCGTGTGCGATGCAATCCTGGCAAGAATATACGCACAAATATAATACGCACGTAACGTGGCGTAAGTATGACAGTATAATGTTTCTCGATTTCAACCCAGGTCAAACGCAGTGCATCTCGATTTCAACCCAGGTCAAGCGCAGTACATCTCGATTTCAACCCAGGTCAAGCGCAGTACATCTCGATTTCAACCCAGGTCAAGCGCAGTACATCTCGATTTCAACCCAGGTCAAGCACAGTACATCTCGATTTCAACCCAGGTCAAGCGCAGTACATCTCGATTTCAACCCAGGTCAAGCGCAGTACATCACGATTTCAAACCAGGTCAAGCGCAGTACATCTCGATTTCAACCCAGGTCAAGCGCAGTACATCTCGATTTCAACCCAGGTCAAGCGCAGTGCATGACGTCAACACTCCAGACAATCTGCGCTCATGGCGGGTTGAAAACTCTCGTGCAAACCCAGCCGTAGCCTGCCTCACCAACCATTCCTTTCTGCAAGCAACTACCTATGATATTAGATGAAAGTCATAGACACGAGTGACGGCTGAAAGTCGACTCATCCCGGGACGAAAATCTTCAAGAAACGCAACACCTTTTCATCCCGAGGCTAAACAAATTACGCCAGCGGGCCCCAATATTCCATAGGCCACCATGTGCAGCGCCACTGGCCACATGTGATGTGCCGTTGCGACAGTGTCGGGCGCCAGCATTGTGACCTACAATTCCGGGAATGAGAATCTGTAGAAAATGCCCTTACCACGTGTATTCTCAGATCAATGGCCACACGAACATGATACGGCACGTCATACTCTCTGCGGAGCAAAACAATTACACGCGCACGCACATGCACGGCACACACGCATACGATAGGCACACGCAGAGTAATTATCAAGCCCTAGCCTTACTACATGTGGTGCACTGAGGGGATATTTAGGCTGCATGACACGCTATATCGTGATAAGCCTCTTCCACATATAATACAGAGCTAATATGTAAACACAATGTCCATGGGGGTCGCCAAGTGAAAATTTGCCAGCATCTGCTATTGCAATAGAGATTAACAGCATTGAACAGCTCAACAAAAAACCCAAGTCCAATTCGGCCAAAGTCTTCAGCTCCCACAGCCTTACCGAATATCAATGATGTTGTCCATTTGGTCAACGATTGTCTTGCTGCCTTGACCATGTTCAACACTGCAGCAGAAGCACACATATGTACAGTGAGCAGTATACACACCATGTATCATGTATACGCCCGTCGCAAGAGAAGCACGCAAATCTGCAAATGCATTGGATGTGCACCCACAGATTTTCTCTTATAGCAACGATAGCGAACAAGATCTGAATGAGACAGATCTGATCGAGACTTGCGCCAGATAACTGTCTAATCCACACAACTGGCGAAGCCATGTGAATCGACCACCAGTTGCTTTCCCAACCAGCCTCGGCTACTGAGTACTGGGAACCCAGAGCCAACAGACATACCAACAACCTCAGCCATGAAAGCTATATAGTAACGACACACTGGATTGTGGAGCCGAAACTAGTCCAACTTCCAAATGCTTTGGGAAGAGGGTAGCCTTCCGACAGGTTGACAGCACACACACACACACACACACACACACACACACACACACACACACACACACACACACACACACACACACACACACACACACACACACACACACACACACACACACACACACACACACACACACACACACACACACACACACACACACACACACACACACACACACACACACACACACACACACACACACACACACACACACACACACACACACACACACACACACACACACACACACACACACACACACACACACACACACACACACACACACACACACACACACACACACACACACACACACACACACACACACACACACACACACACACACACACACACACACACACACACACACACACACACACACACACACACACACACACACACACACACACACACACACACACACACACACACACACACACACACACACACACACACACACACACACACACACACACACACACACACACACACACACACACACACACACACACACACACACACACACACACACACACACACACACACACACACACACACACACACACACACACACACACACACACACACACACACACACACACACACACACACACACACACACACACACACACACACACACACACACACACACACACACACACACACACACACACACACACACACACACACACACACACACACACACACACACACACACACACACACACACACACACACACACACACACACACACACACACACACACACACACACACACACACACACACACACACACACACACACACACACACACACACACACACACACACACACACACACACACACACACACACACACACACACACACACACACACACACACACACACACACACACACACACACACACACACACACACACACACACACACACACACACACACACACACACACACACACACACACACACACACACACACACACACACACACACACACACACACACACACACACACACACACACACACACACACACACACACACACACACACACACACACACACACACACACACACACACACACACACACACACACACACACACACACACACACACACACACACACACACACACACACACACACACACACACACACACACACACACACACACACACACACACACACACACACACACACACAGTCAGCAGCTCAGGGCACATTCAACACACTAATACAGTGGAGATTGGATATAACACTCCTTCGGGGGAAAACAAAATGTCGCTATATTCGATCGGTCACTAAACCCGATCTTCACATTTACCGTAGTATGCAATATTAATATCAAAATGACAGAACTGTATTGCAGATAATTATGCATGTGCATAATATAATGCATATGGCTTCCAGCTGTGTATGTGCGTGTGTCTTGCATGCATAGTTCAGCCAAAAGTCATGCATAGCAACTACACCGCTGCACTGCTACAATGTGCAATGACCAGCACGCGTGGAGTGATCCAGAGAGATCTGGGCATGTGACACAGACATGTCCCATGCATGCCACTCCACCTGATACAAGAGGAAAGTCGTGATACTCGATGCATTTTCAGGTCTTCGGGCACTAAAAACGTGTCAGTAAATTCGGCATGTCGTTATTTTCGAGGTCGTTATACCCAATCTATAATGCACAGAAAGGACTTGCTAAACGACTTGGGCAACAGAAATTTGTCGCTACACTCGATTTGTCACTATATCCAAGGTCGTTATATCCTATCTCCACTGTAGTGACTTTGGTCTGATATATGTGGGGGGGGGGGGGGGGGGGGGGCATATAGAGCTGGCAGCCAGGATACTTGCACAGCCAATCACCAACCAGGTATGCAATGTACCCAGTGCTATGTCATAGTTTGGCCAACTAGGCAGCATCAGGACTAAGTGCTTCACTTCAAAACTGATTAACGGTAGTCAACACGGACAGTTAGTTTATCGATTGGGCCGGTGCTGGCTAGCTCCCTGCATGCATATCAACTGCTGCGCTTCCCCAAGTCAGTCCATTGTTATGAGGTAGAGGCCTGTTAAAGTCACGACAATATCATTCGCGAATTTCCTACTTATCTCACCCGGTAAGCAAGGAATAGTCCTCAAATAACTTCTGGGACTTTTCACGTTCTTTGTTTTTCCTCACGGCTGGTTGGACTTCCCTGGGAACAAAAACAAAAGCACACAAAATGTCAAGAAATACGGGGACGCGCCTTCACACAACGCTGCCGTAGAGGTGCGATGCTCGACAGCAAGGCTACTCCCCAGTGGCAGAGGACATCTAAATGAAGATCGTCTTTGCTTGCATGCAGATCTGCCATGTGTGCTCTCCTATAGACAGCAATGCATGTGAGAGGGCTAGATAGAAACGGTGACTTAGGTACACAGCATGCTGTTATTACAGACACAGACGTTTGGCTTGCCATATCTATTACGGTACACATGTGCGAGCGGGCCACCTGAAGATAGCGACTTTACTACTGTCTCTCTATTAAATGGTTAACCCTTTCAGTGCCAAGGGGTCAGAAAAATTCAAATTTTTCTGAATTGAGCTGAACTCCAATTTTTCATAGCTCAGCTGTATATCCACGGATCTTTACAAACGATGGCGCTCTGGAAAGATATCGTGGCCAGGCAGACAGCTGTGAAGAGAAAAAGCAGCGAAAATAGTCTTCCTCGCGAGGGCGCCTGAGCGAAGTCCGTTTTCTGCATTTTCGTAGCATCTGCACTTTCTCACGCGCGCGCGATCGATCGCAGTGCAGTCTACTTTCAACGCACGAAATTCGGACAAAGTTGGCCTGAAAGCCAATGAAAATCTCGATGTTTTGATACCCAATACGCATGGTTTGCCGCGAAAGAAATAGAGAAACCCGCGATACGCATACGTCATGTTTTCTACGGGTGAAAATTGTTTGTCCGAGCGCGCGCGCTTCAGGCTTCGCCCTGGCGATATCTATCCTCACGGACACAAAACGATGTGATGAGTCGATAGCCAAGGTCTTCCTGAACACGTAGAGTGGTCGTTTGTAACTCTCCTGTGTGTAGAAGTGGAGATACGAATTTATTTGTACACACATACTCATTTTGGGCGACTAAAGTCGCCCGTGGCACTGAGAGGGTTAAACCATATGCTGTGTACCTCCAAAGAGATGATCAGATATAGCACAATGCAGAAGTTGCTAATTGTCAACAAAACAACAACAAAATTAAAATCCACATCACAGCACTAGCGTCCATCAACAGAGGTTCAAACTCACCTTCTGACTTTCATGAGATTATTGACATTGCGAAAGAGCAGCTTGAGATATCGGCCCTTCAAGCCCACAAGATGATTGTGCTAGGACAAAGAAAGAAAGAAGAGAAAGAGAAAGAGAAAGAGAGAGAGAGAGAGAGAGAGAGAGAGAGAGAGAGAGAGAGAGAGAGAGAGAGAGAGAGAGAGAGAGAGAGAGAGAGAGAGAGAGAGAGAGAGAGAGAGAGAGAGAGAGAGAGAGAGAGAGAGAGAGAGAGAGAGAGAGAGAGAGAGAGAGAGAGAGAGAGAGAGAGAGAGAGAGAGAGAGGTAGAGAGAGAGAGAGAGAGAGAGAGAGAGAGAGAGAGAGAGAGAGAGAGAGAGAGAGAGAGAGAGAGAGAGAGAGAGAGAGAGAGAGAGAGAGAGAGAGAGAGAGAGAGAGAGAGAGAGAGAGAGAGAGAGAGGAGAGAGAGAGAGAGAGAGAGAGAGAGAGAGAGAGAGAGAGAGAGAGAGAGAGAGGAGAGAGAGAGAGAGAGAGAGAGAGAGAGAGCGAAATCCCATGATGCAACAACAACACCAGCACCAACACCAACACCAACAACACCAACAACACCAACAACACCAACAACACCAACAACACCAACAACACCAACAACAACAACAACAACACCAACAACAACAACACCAACAACAACAACAACAACAACAACAACAACAACAACAACAACAACAACACCAACAACAACAACAACAACAACAACAACAACAACAACAACAACAACAACACAACAACAACAACAACAACAACAACAACAACAACAACAACAACAACAACAACAACAACAACAACAACAACAACAACAACAACAACAACAACAACAACAACAACAACAACAACAACAACAACACAACAACCATCTCTTATTGGCAATAGGCCATCGTGAGCATAAAGATTTCCAATATGTAAACAATCAAATGAGTGACTGAGTGCAAAACACATTGACAGTGGGCCATATGCTCCCACAAGCACACCCAAAAGAAGCTACGAGAACAAAGGAGGCACAGTAAGACAGACACAGTGCGTCAACACATACCAGGTCCAGATCTTCCTTCTCCACGAGCTCTATCCTAGCCAGGGAGCCGGAGTATTTCTTAGAAAGATAAGACATGACCTCACGCTCCGTGTCCTACAAAACACAACACCACAATCATGATGAGTACATGTAAAGGTCACGCACAAAAGGAAAACAAGGAGCACGGGAAAGTTCTGTATGCTCGATCGCGCACGTGTTGGCCAGATGGGTACACTGCATATCAGTGAAAAAGAAGAAGATTGAACCTTGCTGCAATACAGTATGGCAAACATTGCGTGACTACTGGCACGCTGTCCCAGTATGCAGCAAGAACTCCAAGTGGTGAGCCCACTAGTCCAACAGAACGCATGAAAATCCTGTGTATAGTGTTGTCAAGAATGCTTCACACGTGAAATATACTGATGATGATGACGATGGTGATGAATTGATGTCCGGCTTCTGGAACTTTAGGGTTCACGGATTGGCATGCTAGCGTCGCCAGCTACATCATGCACGTGACAGGCGCGTGCATATACTGTCCCACACAATCGGTCAGTGCTCAAATCGCATTTTCCCATCAATATCACTCACTTTCAACTCTACGGGATTCATTACGGTTGGCTCAAACTGCCTGAATTTTTGAATCCACACGCACGAAAGACGTTCCAAGACTTCCACCGTTCGTATTTTTTCAAACGAGTTCCGGGTTTTCCAGTTACTTTGGCCAAAGTTCGGCTAAAAAACAGGGGGAGCCGTTGCGTTTCCGTAAAATACTGAACGGTAGAAAGATAGCCAAGGTCGAGAGCAAAACAACAAGCCATTATTTGTCAAAATCGAACAAGAAACGGCTCAGCGCATCTATTTTCCGTGCACGCGCGCGCGTACTTTGGCCGACAAGGTGTGGAGAATTTCTGAAGAAGAAGAATAACAAGAGCAGCAGCGCTCGGAACAGCCGTGCTGGATATTTCCAATCCCGACGATGGAGCGTGTTGGCTGTCGTGAGCTGCTGAAACGACCATGACATTTCTTTTTCTTTGTATACCCTACATATCTTGACGTGCCCTAGCTCAGTTTCGGCCTCTTTACAGGAAGAATATTTTCTTCCATGGCATCAGCGGCCAAACAGCAAGAAAAGCAACAGATCGAGATTTGCAGGGCAAACAAAGGATGCGTGCAGCTACATCTAGTCAGGTTCGATGCAGCTGCGCTTTGCCAGAACCTCAGCATGCAGATAAGAAAAGACGACAGAGTGTCTCAGATGGAACTGGGTCTTTCGCCAAGACCGCCACTGCCGCCATCATCAAGTCCAGGTCAGTCAGAAAAATGCAAAGCCCGAGTGAAGTGAAGCCACTGAAGCCAAGGAAAAATTCAAAAAGTTCGCTCTCCGGCTAGACTTCGAGTCGATATTTTTTTACTTCGATAGGCGCTGTCGCGGCCTGTAGCGCGCGTCCATAATCCAAAATGGAGGCGCACGTGCCGGGTGCTTTTAGTGGCAAGCCGTGAACCCTAAACTTGGATTGTAATACATCCTCTAAGAACAACAGAAGAGGATAGCCTAACATGACCGTAGAGTGTATCAATACGCAGAAGGCACAGTACGGCTCTGTTTGCGCTTCTCACAATTCCAAACACCAACCTTCTTGCAGGAAATGTAGAAATAGGGCATGAACGGCATGCTGGCCTAGACACAAGCGAAGAATTCACAAGCAACACCACAGCACACAGGCAATCCTGTTTAGTACACAGCCAGCATAACACACTAGTTCGGTGCTGAATACTAGTAAACGGCACAGCACAAACAAGCGCATAGCAAAAACAAGCGCACACACGCGCGTACATCCGCCAGCCCGCCCGCCCACCCCAATTATGCTTCCAATGCAGCACACAACAATATACGGTATTACAATCATACATTATGATGTAAAAATACCTTGAAGCGACTGCCATCTTCGCACACAAAGTAGTAGTCGACCACACTGACCAGATGTTTGTCTTCATCTTGAATCTCACCCTATGACAGCCCAAAACGATGCAATCGCACGACACCAAAATCACTTCAGAACAACAATGTGCAAATCAAACTAGGTGTGAACAAAAAGCAAAGCTACAGGCACACATCTCTGGCAGGCCACTGCCAATGCAAGTCGACATGGCCAAGCTTTTAGGAGCCTGGATAGCGATGGGGATGGAGAAGGTCCGTCACAATTGTCTGCAGATCTCCAGTTGACAAACCGCGCTGCCCACAATACTGGTCGCTCTATCCAACAGACACTCATTTCCACTTCCGTCCTCAAACCGATCTGTAACTCGCTCTCAATTTGTTCCAAATGGAATCATCTCACAGTTGGGTAGGTCACAAAGTACATTTTTTTTAGTTGTGAACTACACCCTGGAGCCCGCGCTTTTCCCGCCAACCTGACTTGACACTTGACTGACTCAGGACGAAATAACTTCCTGTACTTGTACAATTATCGCCGAGGCCACTACCACTATTAATTTTCGTATTGACCAACACCCTATTAGTATTACTGTTAGATTCAAGTACAAACTGTTCACTTTAACACAAGTAGAGTACTGGTGCCCATACCGAGTGCATGTTTATAAGCCAGCCGAGTCGTTCCGTGGGGTCTCTGTGAGGAAGAAACGAGAACCTTGCATCCATCTGCTCGGTCTTGTGCACACGCTGGTAGCGCGCTTCCAGTGAGTCAGACTCATATTTTTGATTCCTACGGCAACGGGAAACAGAGCAAGAACAAAAAGAAATGAAGAAGCTCAGCCACAAAGTGGCGTGTTTCTACTGTATATCAGTAGGCCCGTGAATACCGTATTATCTCTAATATAAGCACAGTCTCCAATAATAGCACGTCTCCAATAATAGAACACCTTGGGGCGGCATTCAAAAAATAAAGTGCTCAGTCTCCATTATAAGCACACTGTGTAAATTCATTATCTGTACCGGCGAAAAACCCCTGAAATGTGTGTGTCATACATGAATTTGGCATGGCAACATGCCTCTGAAGTGAGGTTGAAATAATTATGGAACAGTCTCCAATAAAGGAACGTCTCCATTAATAGCACGGGGCGGAGGTACATTGAAAAAATAAAGGACCGTGCTTATATTAGAGATAATACGGTAGTAAACATTGCTCGATGCTTAAACACCACGCGGTACTTTACAAATCATGAAATCGTTTGGATTCAACTCGTTGACATTCAAGAGTGTGGCTCAGTAAAAAATCAATCATCAGGCAGTAGAACGACAGTGGCAACACCGGTATGGCAAACAGCCAGTAAAGATAGACAAGGAACAGGGCATGGCAGATAACTACGTAAAGTCACCAGATAGGCAGTATTGGCAATAATCATAACTCTCTGCCCGCCCCTGTCTATCTCTGGCTCTCTGCCCATCTCTGTCTCTGTCTCTTTGTCTCGCCTTATCGCTGCCTCACCCAAACGGTCTCTCTGCTGTAGGCACGACATAAATTTCATGTGTAAATGGTCTTATTTGACCGGCTACACCAGACCACCAGACAGAAGAACATGTCGAACTACTGTAGAACGGCTAATTTTAGCGGGTAAAATTTTTTAGCGTTTTCTGAATCTGGACCAATTCACGATGAAATGTTTTAGCGATCCGAGTTTCAGACTTTTAAAAGAAGGATGACTTGTACTGTACTGTACATGCAAATTTTCGATTGGCACGGAAACACTTTCGTGAAAACACTCCTGTCGCTAAAGTCGCTAAAATATCACCGTCACTAAAATTAGCCGTTTTACAGTAAAGAAAGCTTCGTCACAGAGCCGTTAAGTGCTTAATTGCCGTACAATGACATTCGGGACCAAACGCACAAACCGTACACACATCAGTTAAGTGAGTTTCTGCTAGACGGAAATACGTACCAAACTCCGTGTCAACTGCAGTGAAGTTTGGCACGGATTTTTCATACGTTGCGCCGGATCTGCTGCCGGTTCTGCTGTGCGAAGCATGCTCGAACTCCCGCCACATGTACTCTGGGTTCAGCTTTCACACGGAGACCAGTCCGTGTGAAGCGCGCTTCACATGGAAAACGGTATGAAAAAATCCGTGTGAAACTTGATCCCCTACCGCGGCGAGGTTTCCATACGTACTTTGGTACATTTTACCGTGTGGCAGAACCTCACTAATCACGGATATGGTGTCTGGGAACCTCCAGCCACGCGAAAAGTGGTGCAGCACTGCCTTCTACCAAGAGTACATAACCCCCCAGAGTGTGCAATGCCTGATCCCGCTCTGCATAGGGTCTTGGTCGAGCGTAATCGGATCTTCTGATGTCATGCGTACAATCCACACCAGCGCAAGGCCGGTCTCGAGGTAGGGCACCGTTGTTTTTGATCCGAGAGTACCCTTGATTCCCCGGGTTCCCCTCAGATGTGTACGGTATTATGACGCAAAGATCCAATTACGCTCGACCAAGACCCTATGCAGAGCTGGATCACGCGCTGCACACTCTGGGGGGGGGGGGTATGTACTCTTGCTTCTACTGTTGTGTCAAAAACTGCCCGTAAGGAAGTGTATTTTACAGACATGTGAGTGTAGATATAGTGAAGAGTCAGGGAGGCCATGCCTGGAAGAGCATGGTATCGAGCGCAGCATGAGGTAGTGCGAGGTCACGTACCGTCTATGCATGGCGACAGACAGGAGAAGGACCATGTCGTGAATGAGTGAAAGGATAAGTACATACAGAATAGGACATCTACGAGTACGACCACTGACAGTGGTAGAGTGCATGTACACAATGCCAAAGCAGTACAAGTCACACTACAAGTTGCCCCCCCCCCCCCCCACCACCACCACCATGAACGTGTGTGAGTGAACATGGAATGCATCACAGCAGCTCTTTGAAGTGCCATTCTCCCAACTGTTAAAATACAGTGCGTTCTTTGCATACTAGTAGTAGAAACGCTTTACTGCAGTCATTGTCAATGAATGTGTTCAGGCTGCAATATTCCTATGCCGATACGCAACTGTGACATCACACATGTGGTGTGCAGCGGCTGCATCAACACCTGGAAAGAGAGGCGCCAATATGGCACTATGACACCTTGGCTTCCAATCGTCAGTACCTAGAGAAACATGATGCTAAACCCTGCCAAATATGTTGTCTCTCAACACCTTGAGAAGTAAGGAATTGATACTAACTTTTTCTTGGCGACAGATTGGTCGTTGGTACGCGAACCTTCTCCATCCCCATCGCTATCCATTCCCGAAGTTTAGTTATATCCTGCGGCAAAATTCTTACTGAGCCAAGCACGAAACACTCAAATCTAACTCAGAGCATATCTCCACTTCAAGGACTAAATTACAATGAACTAGCATTGCTAAAGCAGAATATGGGAAACGAGCTCAGTAGGCTGCTTTTTCTGGGTACCAAGATACTGCAACAGTTCAGCTCTGAAAAGAGTGTTTTCGTGATTGATAGTGAGCTGATCGTCTGTACCATTTCATTACAAAAAGCTTCACTATTCTATTTACTGCGTAATCATGGTAATAAAGACTACATTCTTCAAAATGCTTCAGACTGCAAAAGCAGACTGATCGTGATGATGTTTTGTTTCTCTCTTCTTCGCGTCACGCGTGGTTCAAATTTGGCGGGAAATAAGGAAGACGGCGGCGGCGCCGGGCATAAGCCAGGCCGGGAGTCGTCAAGTACCGGGGGATACCGGCACTTAACGACTCCCGGCCTGGTGAGAGCATGCACACAACTGTCAGTGTGCAGCATGCTCCAGTGCATTTCAAAACTATAGACGCGTAGGGTTTTTGAAATATTTCAAATTTGGCTGGAACTTTTTGAGAATAGTTTTCGGAATATTGCTCAGGATCGCTCCACAATTACTCTCATATAGTTTCTAAAGGATTGGATAACAGACGCCCAATTTGGAAAAAATTATGCACAAAGTGATCACAGATTTTATGTGGTATAGATGCTGGCATAACGGTTTTTGCCTAGGTACGCGTCTATAGTTTTGAAATGGACTGTAGCAGCTAGCAGCATGCAGGGAGTAACTGTAGTCTGTAGTACCATGAGTACAGTACAATCAAGAGTACAAAGTCATGGTACAATGTACATAAGTCATTATCACTCCCTTACTTGTAGTATTGACTCACAATAGATTTTTGCCATACCTAAGCGGTCAAATATTCCTGCATATTTCACTCCTTAGGGCTATATTGACCGCTTATATTTGACTCCTTTTTAGTGATTGAACACATGCTTTGGTCAGTCGTGATAAATCTAATATTGACTTCGTACTTGGTCAGCATAGGAAATAAAAGACCTCGGCTTCGCCTCGGTCTTTTACTCGCCTTTTATTTCCTATATTGACCTCGTACTCGGTCAATATTAGATACATAGTAAAGTATTTCGATTTTGACAGCATGTATTGTTACAAGGCGAGGACACATTGTAGTGCTCCTGACTACAACCATAACCCGGTTGGCAGAGTCTCGGTCTTGCGACCATTTGAACCGTATTGGGAAAACCCAGGTTCGGACACTCTTTACTCAAGGGGTTGGTAGGATCGGGTTATGGTTGTAGTCAGGAGCACTATACGCCCTCGCCAAGAAAGGCTTCTACTAGTATATTATATATAATACACTCAAGAGTGTGGTGTTATGGACTCTTGATACAATGGTATTGTACTACTCCCTGGTGTGCAGGTACAGTATGTGTAGGGCTCCCTGATGTGCAGGGCTCCCTGATGTGTAGGGCTCCCGGCCTGATGCACAGACAGTCCAGTAGATCTCGTACAGGTTTTTTTCATTCTTTTCATTGGTGGTTGTCCAAACGAACCAATATAAAGCCTCTTTTACGGGCGAACTAAACACAATTTGCCATGGTGGAGGATTGGAAAACCGTGAACTCACATGATGAAAACAATTTGTTTTATATACATGTACATGTACATGATTGGTATTTGGGAGTCATGCTGTCAACCAACAACATACGTGTGCATGTACATGTACATAGTGTTCCTAGTTTGACAGCAGCATGAAACAAGGTGGATAGGAGGACACCGTGTTCGGAAAAAGTGACCTTTCTGCAACCATCCACACGGTTGATAGAGCATCGGTCTGTTGTTCATGTACCGGGTAAATATTCACAAAAAATAGTCCAGTACGCTCGTACAGCTAGCTCCCACGTAGACTACGTCTGGTCGTGCACGCGCAGACGCTTTTATAGACGTCTAGACGTCCAGCACATGCACACACGTACACGTACACGCGTGTCGAAATGTGTTTGGCCGGGAAAGTCGATAAAAATTAAGTGAGGGTCCCAAGAGTCCATACGGTAGTTGAACTGTTTACTGTACTAAAAGCCATTATTCTAATGAGGCGCATATATAAAACGATTTCCCAAAATTGACGGGTTTACGGTAACGATTCTCACTCATTCTCAACGCTCAATAGAACAGTATAATTAGGTATTGATTTCTGTATACTGATTTCTATTTTAACAACACATTTCTCCTCATTAGCTCGTTAGAATTAGCACTTCGTTGTATATAAGGCTTTTACAGTAGGGACCGGTGGATTCTGCTCGAAAAGCAGTGAAATTGGTAGAACCATACAAACCTTATGGCGGGCAATTCCTCGAATTCTGCTCCATTTTTTTTATCTACATACCAAACATGCATGAAACTTACCAGAAAAAGTACCGAATTCTGCCAATTTTTCTGCCGGCAGAATCCGCCGGACCCTATTTTACAGTATGCACTCTTGTCTTGATAACGCCAATATAATTATGTTATGTGTGACTGGTCATGATCAAGAGTACATAATCTCCTGGGGGATTATGGACTCTTGCTGCTATTATCGAAACCATGTACTAGAACTGTAGCGTGAAACCATAAAGTAAGAAGAAAAGCAAAAAAGACTATCCAAATTCGGAAAAAAAATAGAACACTGTTTTACTACATGTACTCCCATGCCATGGGCAGTCTTATCTACAGTCTTATCTACAGTCTTATCTACAGTCTTATCTACAGTCTTATCTACAGTCTTATCTACAGTCTTATCTACAGTCTTATCTACAGTCTTATCTACAGTCTTATCTACAGTCTTATCTACAGTCTTATCTACAGTCGTATCTACAGTCGTATCTACAGTCTTATCTACAGTCTTATCTACAGTCTTATCTACAGTCTTATCTACAGTCTTATCTACAGTCTTATCTACAGTCTTATCTACAGTCTTATCTACAGTCTTATCTACAGTCGTATCTACAGTCTTATCTACAGTCTTATCTACAGTCTTATCTACAGTCTTATCTACAGTCTTATCTACAGTCTTATCTACAGTCTTATCTACAGTCTTATCTACAGTCTTATCTACAGTCTTATCTACAGTCTTATCTACAGTCTTATCTACAGTCTTATCTACAGTCTTATCTACAGTCTTATCTACAGTCTTATCTACAGTCTTATCTACAGTCTTATCTACAGTCTTATCTACAGTCTTATCTACAGTCTTATCTACAGTCTTATCTACAGTCTTATCTACAGTCTTATCTACAGTCTTATCTACAGTCTTATCTACAGTCTTATCTACAGTCTTATCTACAGTCTTATCTACATTACTGTATCCTAAAGGGGAAGTATGGTCAAGAACCAAAAATGTCACTCCTCATAGTCTTCAGGGTGCTGAGAGTCGAATCGACTCTTGGTGAGCGCCGGTTCTAGGCTTTCCCTAAATCGGCCGGCCGAAAAACTCGCCGAAAACGAGACCTATTGAAACGAAAAATCTCCAAGCTTCAAAGTTTCACCGATTTTGAAGGGTTCCTTTGAAAATCGCCGAAAACCTAACAAATGCTGTTGCAAAGTGCATTTACGAACGAAGGATTTTGCTGCCAGCATGATCGCTCGAGCTGTCCACTTCAGTACTTGAAGTACTAGTGCGTTGAGGTCATTTGACTCGTGTCCTTTGACCTCCTCTCAAACAAACATTAGAGCCATGAAGATCGTTACTACATGTAGTAAAATCCCCAATCGGCCGGCCGAAAAATTCGCCGAAAACAAGACTTACCGAAAAATCGCTAAGCTTTTCGCTAATTTAGGAGGGTTCCTTTGAGAATCGTCGAAAATTACCAAATCTTCCAATATCTCACCGATATTTAAGCCAGTATGCCAACAATTCTTTTAGCCGATTTTCCAATATATTCCAATTTTGCAGCCGATTTTCAAACAATCAGTTGATTCTGCAGCCGAATATGATTTATTTTTGAGCCGATCGAAAAGCCGAATGACGAAAAGGAAAGCCTAGCCGTTCGTTTCTTCAAAAAATATCCATGTGCAGTTTGCATGCGTGAGCACGTCCAGAAAAAAAAGACATACCATTAAATGGTATGTCTTTTTTACAAATTTTGTATCAGTATGTGTTCGTTTCTCAAGGAGGGGGGGGGGGGAGGGGGATGAAGAGAAATGACTACAATTGTAGGCTATGGCTATGCGACGCCGGCACCCTGGGAATGGGGACCATCCATCCTCGCGACTCTCAACCATGAACTTGTATGTTCTTTGGGGCGGTTGATTCCAGAAATAAAACGTTTTTTCGTTTTTTTTAACTTTTCTTACTACCGGTACTGTTTTAATACCGGTATCTTTGTCCTGAAGAAAGTGTCGGCTTTATCTTTGTCCTTAGAGATTGTGCTGATGTTTCTTGGGCTAGCTTATTAGTAACATCTCTTGGTAACAAGCCTAGAAATACTACATCGAAGAAAAATTGAGTTTTTGGCGGTGATGCAACAAATGGTGTTTTCTTCGAACGAATTTTCCCGGCTTCAAATATTGCTTTGGCGAACGAACGAACTCTATATTCTTCTGAAGTGGCTCAGTCAAAAATTCGGAAATATGCGCAAGAAATTGCGGGCAAAACAGGGAAAAATGTGGGCCAGACATAGTAAATTTGCGGAAACTGTTGTTATGGACCACAAAAACGTGAATGGAGGACCTAGCCAGGAATTTCAAAGCGCGAAGAACAGTGCGATGTCAAAGTTCGGCCCTGGGGACAAACGTTCACAGCCACGCACTTCGCGTACACCAAGAAGTACACATACTACGTGACGTAGCAGCGCACAGAACACACCATGCATGAAAATCTGTGCAGGGTGGGCTCACGAATTCACTGAAAATTGAGGCAAAATGAGAAATTGCACGTTCTCAACGGAAAATGCTAGATTCGCGGAAACACACGAAAATTGCGGAATCGCGATTTTCCAAGGGGACAGATTATGTACTCTTGATCAGACCCAGTCATGTTATCTACAGATAACGCGGATATAGTAGCAAGATCCACTGGTGAAAGAGCAATTTTGACCAAAGAACAACTTACACAGTTCCCAGAACATTATTGTCTTCCCTCTCATCCTCAACACTACACAGGAAATCATGGTCGGAACTGCATGCAGCTTATGCATGCATAAGACAGCAACGCAGCACGAATTTTCGAGTAAAGTATATTCGAATGTTACTGCCTACTTTCGAATATTCTTTCTGGTGTCGGTATTCTAGAATATTCCAAATATACGAATATTCCTTTGCATCATTGGTGTTTGGGCGCACGACTCGACTGTATGCCGCAGAAACCGGACTTCGGGTTGTAAGGCCGATTCACAATACAACTTCTTGCGACGCGACACCTGCACCAGCGACACACGGTTCACAATCTTTTTCATGTTTGCGACAGCTTTATGCACTAGTAGTACTATGCACTGAACGTGCACCCAGGGTAGAAACTGTACTCAATTTGCGTATGTCATGCGTCGCATGTCGCAAAAGTTGAGAACTTTCTTCAACTTCTGCGACGGGTACCTTGCGACTGCACGCGACAGGCAGTTTCTTGTCGCAAATGTCGCAAATCGCATCGCAGAAAGTTGTATTGTGAATCGGCTTCAAGGCCACAATACAACTTTCTGCGATACGACATGCGATTTGCGACAAGAAACTGCCTGTCGCGAGCTGTCGACATGTCGCAAGGCACCTTTCGCAGAAGTTGAAGAAAGTTCAACTTTTGTGACATACTACCCTGGGTGCATGTACAAAGTACTACAGTCCATTTCAAAACTATAGACGCGTACATAGGCAAAAACCGTTATGCCAGCATCTATACCACATAAAATCTGTGATCACTTTGTGCATAATTTTTTCCTAATTGGGCATCGTTTAGAAACTATATGAGAGTAAAGCCCGATTCACAATACAACTTTCTGCGACGCGACACACGATTTGCGACTGTTGCGACAAGAAACTGCCTGTCGCGAGCTGTCGCAATGCACCTGTCGCAGAAGTTAGTTGAAGAAAGTTCAACTTTTGCGACATGCGACACGCGACATACACAAATGGAGTACAGTTTCGACCCTGGGTGCACGTGCAGTGCACGTGCATAATACTACTTGTGCATGAGGATGTCGCAAACATGAAGAATATTGTGAACCGTGTGTCGCTGTCGCAGCTCGTCGCATGTGTCGCAAGTCGCTTGTCGCGTCGCAGAAAGTTGTATTGTGAATCAGCCTTAAAGCGGGATTCACAGAAGCTTTTTTGCGATGCGACACGCAATGCGACAGACGCGAAACCGGGAAAACCCCAAATCGCAGCCATGTCGCACCCCACGCAACTGCCGCAACTGGGCCATCGCAGGCCATCGCAGAAGTAGTTGAGCTTGGCTCAACTTTTGCGATGCGATGCGACAAGCGATTTGGCGTACGATTTTGACCTTTTCTACAGCAAAGTTGTACAAAGGTTCAAGAGTTGCCTATAAATTTGTACAAGTAATTGTATCAAACCGCGCGAATATCATGGTGACGTAGCCAAATCAGCAAGATGTTGTCGCATCACTGACTTCTTCTGTGAATGGTATTTCGCGAGTTCGCATCGCACGCGTCCGTCGCAGATCGTGTCGCATCGCAAAAAAGCTTCTGTGAATCCCGCTTAATTGTGGAGCGGACCTGAGCAATATTCCGAAAACTATTCCCAAAAAGCTCCAGCCAAATTTGAAATAATTATAATTATTTCAAAAACCCTACGCGTCTATAGTTTTGAAATGGACTGTACAGTAGAGTCGCTCGCTGAAGAACGTGGAGCCCAAGAACGTCCAGCCTGAAATTCTAAAAACGCCACAGCATGTCACTTCTCTGCGGTTGACGTCACAGTATAAGAATTAGCAGAGAAGTAGTGTTCTCTGTCCACCCGGGAACGGGTACGAGGGAGCACGGTGTGGGATAAAAGGAGGTGACGAGTGCAGCGTCGGCCTCTTTTGTCTTTGTGCGGAGAGTTGAGTGAGAGTGCCCACCCACCCACCCCAGTAATCATCATGTAATTTCATATATCATCGCTTTGATTATTCTAGTGATTTGATTATTCTAGAGTGTGCGAATGCATAATGGTCGGGCGTGGTTTTCTGGTTGTACGTAGCTGGAGTTTTTGTTAGACTAGGCAATGGTTCTGTATAGTCATGACCACGGAATTGTGTGCAAAGACAACAAGTTGGGGCGCTGTGCTGTGGTGGCCCCCACTGGCAATGTTCACGTGTTCAATAGTGGTGTACACGTATGAATGAGTGTGCGGATGTGTGCGCAACGAGTGAGTGCAGGGTGGACAGAGAACTATAGCTAAGAACAGCGGTGTTGGTTTTCTGGCAGCTTATGAGATATATGATCCAGGACAAATTGTTTCGGAGGCTGCGTTTACACGACAACGCGCGTTAACGCATGGCCAGTTTTCCGTTTTCAGTCCCGCATTTCTTTTTTCGTTTTCGTGCATTTACACGATCAAAGCGGATCCGAGGTGGTCTCCGTTTGTATCATTTTCGAGCGTCTACACGAGAGCAAAGGATCCGCATAAGTTCTTTAATGTGCCAAGTGTTGTCGTGGAAGGACCAATCACACTCAATAGTTGAGAACAGGCCACAAAACAACACTCGACCTCGTCACATGACGAAAATTATAAAAACAATTTTTTTTGATTGTCGGATCCGTGTAAACGGCCAAAAACGAAATACACGTGACGGAAAACGAGGCCAGCATACCGTTTCGACTGTTTACACACCCAAATTTATCTGGCAGAACTTTTCCGTTTTCAAATTCTTCCACCTTCGCCAGCGTTTTGCTCTTCGTACCGTGTAAATGAACCCTGGATCCGAAACGATTTTCTTGCGTTTCACCCCCAGCATTGTCGTGTAAATGCAGCCGGAGAACGTGCTATAAGAAGGCAGCCAGATCGCTGACAAAATAAGAACGTCACAGGAAAACAATGTTCTTGGGCGCGAGACTACTGTGCTAGTGTCGCAAACATGAAAAGATTGTCGCAGCTCGTCGCAGGTTTTGCATGTCGTGTCGCAAGAAGCTGTATTGTGAATCAGAATAAAAGTTTCAGACTTTCTGACTACGCACAAAAATCAAGTATAAAATCACATGAAAGACAACTTCTTCCCAAGCATGCGTTTAGACTACAATTTACATACAACTTTATGAAACGCGCAATTGAGCAAGTGGACGCGTGAACGTACGTGTTTGGCATGCCCGATGCACTCGTCCACCAACTCAAACAGCCAGACAGTGTACTAAACACAGTTCAACACCTTAATCAGAACATGAGCACGCATGTGATAGTGTTTGAAGAAAATGCTGCCCAAGAGACAACATGGCAGTCTGACCTGACACTAGACAGGCTCTTGGAAGTGTGAGACAACTGAGCAACAGAACTTCAGCAGATCTTCATACCCTCTGTAACAGAATCAGGCAGTAAAAAATGAGGAACAGAGCCCGAACCCTTCACCACCAGTATGAACTCGCGCTAAAGGACACCCGCACGACGGATTTGAGGGATCTTGATGTGAGATGCATTCACACCAAGCACAGGGGACCCCACAACACACAAAGCACTGTACAAAGCTGTACCAAGTGCCCGTCTACAACTGCAACATTTGGGCATAAGAACACATTTCATGAGGCAAAAAATAGCAAGCACTAAGCGTTGGGTTGGACACGAATCGAATATTGACAGGTTAAAGTGGTCAATAGGGCAAAATATTGACCGAGTAAAAAAACCCAGGCGAGGCCTAGAAGGCTTCTCACACCTTCATGGTTATGGAATATCAACGATGCTTGGTCAATCCAAACTTCATGAAATGATGCTGAACGGAAGCCGTTTATGCCTTAGCGTTCTTCAAGCCAACAGCAGCCTCGTCAGCCATGGCCTTCATGATAGTGATAAGAATATCTTCACCCTTGCCAAAGCGCTCACGGATATCTTTTCCGAGCTCACTTTCAGGTGCCTTGAGATCCTCGCGTGTATCGCCAGCTTCATTCATCAACGACATGAAGCCTTCATCGTCAATGTCAAGAAGCTGCATGGATTCAAAACAAACAACATTTAATTTTAATTGTCAATGTGCAAGAAAAATTGCGGGGCTGAAACAGCTATTTAGGGTGCGTTCTTATATTCTCTAGCTTCTAGAAGAAGAAAAGAGAAGTCGAAGAAACTGGGATTACTCAAGAACGGGTCTCGAAGAATTGAGATATTTTGCACATGTCAAGCAAAATGAAGCGTCAAAGGGGCCGCGATCTTGAGTGATGAATGATTATGTATGCGCGTTTGAGAAAAGGGAAATGCGTACATGTACACTCATGATGAACACGTGGCTTTTAGGCATAGTTCGCATGCGCTGATTCCAAACCGCGGGAATCTCCAAGTTTCAACCACCTCTGAAGCTTGGAGAGCTTTGGAGAGCCTCCTAAAAGTCGGAGAGGATATAAGAACAGCTCTCGAACTTTTCGGAGAGTCTCCAACTTTTCCGAGAAGATTTAAGAACGCACCCTTAGGCCTCATTTACACGAAAACGATTGAAAAACACTTTGAAGGCCCTTTTTCTTTTGAAAACGTTTTTCAGCGTTGTCGTGTAAATGCTCTTATCAAAATCTGTGGAAGCGTATTCTTTTGAAAACGTTTTTCAAGCGTCGAGTAAACGAGGCCTTAGTTCGTAATGCAATGGTCCATTTACAACAAGTACATATCCCTGATGCACAGCTAGCATGAATGGATCGTGACCAAAACCAATCCAGTAACACTTTGAAGAAAAATCGCAGTCACAATAGAGTCGCATGATGGTCGATGCTGTGCAGGGCCGGGCCTACGCAGATTGATTCAACTTAACGCAACACCAAGAGCTAAGGTAATTGGCGACCGCTGCCAAATACAGTACATGTTCAGTAGTGCACCGGGTGGTACTCTACAAGTGCTTTCAACGAGCCCTAGTTTGTGAAGAATTGGTAAAAGTGAAAGTTGCATTTTGAATGGTTGATAGAAGGATTTGTAAAAGTGAATTGGATGCCGAAGAACCTGGAGCCCTAGAACGCCACAGCCTAAAGTTAAGAATGTCAGTGTTGGTGTTCTCACGACTTCTGTGCTGCTTATGTAGTAGTAGCGTGTGCATACGAACGAGTACAAATTGCTTCTAAGAAGCTGATGAGAACGTCCCAGACTGACCTCTTGGAAACAGCGTTCTTGGGCGCGTGACTCTACTGTAGGATAACTTTCTCTGCTATTGAGTAGTCATGTAATAGCATTTTTCTCTGTAAAATTATATGCAATTGTGCAATTCCATGACATGCCTGGGAGCTAAAATGAAGCATCGATACAAGACGTTCTGGCAGTCAAACCCCAGTGTCACTTTATTCGCTCCTGGCACACGGAAAGCAATGTTCTCCAGGCAACATCTTGTTACTATTGACCAAGTGCAGCCACTTCTAATGTCTTAAAAAGTACAATAGAGTGCCAATTACCCGCAGTGTGTTGGGGCGCTGTCTCTAAGGGGTTGGGATTGGAAGAATGTTGGGTAAAGGGAGCAGACACACACCTCCACCATGTTTTCATCATTTCTCATTCTCTTTCGGCAGAACTGCAAGCACACTTCAAGTTCTCGAAATAACCCAAAGGAACACATCCCGGCACAAACTGCTGCCATACATCCTTTGGACCAATGCCGAGGGTGGGAAACCAGCAAAATCCCACTTTATCCCTTCAATTTAGTGGACTCTGGCAATTAGGACAACTGGTCGTTGGGTAGTTGATATTCTACTGCACTTACCAAGGCCGTCAAAGCGGCTGAAGCCGCCCCACATTTTGCCCGTTATTTTTAGCACACTGCAACAAAGCGCGATGATCGCAGCTCAGCGCAAATCCTCGTCCCCGATTGAGATTTGTTGCAGAATCAAAAAGTCTTTCATTGCAGTTACACTGAAATGGCACCAAAATGCCCGGAAATGCTTGCAGCTTCATTTTTGAAATTGTTTCCCAGGGGCGAACCCCCGGACCCCCTTCCATGAGCAAAGTCACATCCAACTGTAATACATATAATGGGACTTCAGGTATAACGACACTTTTCTGATGCCCCGCTGAGTGTCGTTATACGCGAAGTTGACTGTACACGTCATTAGCGGCTGGGGGTCATCAGCGGTAAAAGGGTTAAACATTACATCAGTTACACACTACCCACCCTTCATCCTATACTACTACACTTCAATATGCATGAAAAACAACACATGGGAATCGACTGACCTGAAAGTCATTACGGGAGACATGTGGTACATCCATGTTATGAGTTGAGGGACAGATATCTTCATATTTCTTTTGGGTGAAAAGGTCAATGCCGACCATGTGGACCTGCAATAAACAAAGACAAGAACATAACCTTGTTGCACATTCACCTCAATAATACTGTGCACATATATCACCGTATGGCTGCACCGTTTCATTAAAGCGAATATACTGTATAAATAGTGTGCACGCTCAGCTAAAAAAATGGATACAGTTGTTGAGCAAGGGGAGAATTTATATTCCAAGTATACGCCCGGTTCCAAAATAACACCCAGGAAATCAAGGCTGCTATTCTATGCGCCTGGGGCCTTTACACGGGCTTTTACAGGAGTACTCCATTATGTACAGTAGTTCCGCGCATATAAGCTCATGGGCTAATATACGAAATAATGCATTTTCCGGGAATAAAAATCAGTAATAATGGTTCGTTTTTTAGCCCTGGGCCTATATTCGAATGTTGAAGGCAGCTGGCACGCGAAAAAGTATAAGTCCGTGCGCGGTTGTCCGCCTACCGTAGGTACCGGTACTGGTAATGTAGTCTGCACTGACATGCTGCACTACGGTGTTTGGGTCTGCTTATTAGCCCATGGGCCTATAAACGGAGGCGGGCTTATATCCGGATATAGGCCCATGGGCTTATATGCGCGGAACTACGGTACCCATAACTTAGATAACATTGGATTGATGTTCTGAAAATGGAGCAATAAGTACAGTAAAAGAGGAAAAAAAGCGGTGCGTGAACTTCGCTGTTTACAGTATGGCGTAGTAAGTGGGCAATTTTGAATCTAAATAGCTAAGAAAGCAAAGGCGTTTTGAATTTGAGGCCATGGCTTTCAAAGCTAACAATTTTTGCCATTTAGGGCCCACAATTTCAAGAAATGCACTGCATACGCGAGCCCAGTTACTTATCTGGTCATAACTTGGTGATCTTGGGCTTTCTGGAAAGCTCTTGGCCAGAGGAACACAGCGATAGCCAGCAATCCATCACTGGATCCACAGAACCAGCGCCGCAGCGCGATACGGTGCTCCAAAGCCAGCATTGCGAGCGCCCAACTCAAACTCTCTGCCATTTCAACAAATTGCATCGTAGATCGCTCAATTTTTTTTACTGGAGAGCTGAGAAACATGCCTTGGCGATGACGTGAACTATCTGTAGCTGCGTGGGCCGCTAGTCAGGGAAAACCCCCAAAACGAGTTCAAAATGCACGCGCTCGAGTTGACTCTGCTGAGCGAATTTAGTTAGTCTCGTATCTCCGCTCTCCGGCCTCGGATCGCCTTCGGGTTTTTTCGAGCCGATAGCCGAGATAATTTTAATGTCGATAGACCTTTCGATTGTCCGATTTGGTCAAGGGACAGCAGTTACGCCAGGTTGCGCTATGAAAAGTATGCACTGTACACTGGTACGGATATATCCGTACTATGGGCCTCAAAGGGTTAAAGGATGAGGTTGTATTCAGGCTAACAAACACAAGGAAGCATTCACAATCATCTTGCGTAGGCTGAAATCTAAACCCCAAAAAAAGGATGAACACAAACATACTCGGGAACCATGAATACTGGAGCTCTTGTCAAACAGTTTACACAATAAATGTTCCACATTTCCTGGAAACATATTATTTGTGCTTCATTGTTATTTTTGTAACAGCGAACGTAATGCTGGGATCGAGGTCCAAAGAACTAAACAAATACATGTGCACAACAAATGACACAGGAACTTAGCTATCCCAGGTGTACATCACAGTGCAACCTTACACGCATGTAGCATTGCTCGGAATATATATAATTCATTGCTATCAAGTTCTGCTTCATTTTCTCTGTGCTGCGCTGATGAGTCCACAAAGGACGAAATAGTTCTGTCCGCAAATAGAGTATAATTTAATGGTATACGCAGCCCGAGGACCTTAGACAACTGTCTAATTTAATGGTACACAGGTGAGCTGAACAGCAATGACATGACAAGTGAATGTGTGCATGATACCGGTGCATATATTGTGTAATGGTTCCACTTGAGCTCCGTTTCGTTATGAGAATATTCCAAAATACTGAAGTGTCTCGTAAAGAAGCCTGGTTTTTAAAGATACGCCGTCAGCACATAAGTCTGGTTTAGTACTGACATACAAAGAGATAATAGACCCTTTGCACAATAACAGTCACGTGATCCGAGACGGGGCATCCTCTTCCATTTTTGTGCAGAGTATCTGTTGTTGGGCATGGTGGAACACTGTATTTTTCCATTTTGGAGATGGAGGAGAGAGTGCCGAGTGGTATATCATCGATGGCTGTGGAACCCGTGGACGAACTGTCAAATGAAGATCGGTTGTGTAAGGAACTGAACAGTTTTCTGCTGAATGAGGATGCGTATCTGTCTGGAAAAAGAAGGAGTTGTTGGAGTGGTACGTTTTCCGCATTCAGTGGATATTTCGGATTACTGTAGATTGAAATTTTATTTTCTCTACCCTCTCTCCTCTGTCGCTGTAGAACACTTCTCTATGCAGTACCGTGATGCTCCTAGAACTAAGAAGGGCACCACTTCCTCGAGTGTACCGTCATCATGCCCAACATTTCATGCGTCCTAGTGGATGAGTGATGAACCTCCGTTTCCCAGAGTGAGTGCCACACCATGCTTGCTCGTCTCCAACGCAGGGGCACGTCGCCGACGACAGTGAAGAGGGAGCTGATGGAGTAGTACTAGTGAACATGCGCGTGGATAGTGTCCATGAGTTTTACTTTGGTGGCCATGTGCATAATGTGAAAGTCTGTCATATCGTGCACACAGCCACAGCTCGAACTCAGATGACTTTCTCCGCACACCTGAGCGATGAGGCTGCGTCTCTCTCCACTTCAACAACAGCAGCTCGAGCAGCGCCAGCAAGCAGTCGATCTTCCAATAGCGAAGACAGGGATGGGTCATGCCTTTTTCTCAAGCTCCAGAGTCTCTTGGCAGGGCGTTCCATATCTTCGCAAAAGCAAGGATGAAAGTCGCTATGGACAAAGTGTTCCGAGCACAACACTGTAAACGATATCGCAGCACTGCGGCCCTCTTCTCGCCAGATAGCCAGGATTCCAGAGTGTGGAATGCCAGCATCACCAGGGAACGCATGGAAAGACAAGTGGGTTCCTTAGACTAACGTTAGGGATGACGGTTGCTGCAAACAAGAACCCAACAGTGTTCCTTGGAAAGCATTTTGGAACTCCTTCCTTCAGAACTAAAAAAACGAAAAAGGCTGGGGAGTACATACATGAACATCGCGTCAGGACCATGAAAACACAGCCTGTCACAGGAAACTTGATCACGTCCTGCAGCAAACCATGCATGCTGGTTGCTTGCCAAGTGTGCAGCGCGTGCACAGCATGCTCCGTCTCGACCCCTCTCGCTTATTGCGCAAAGGGTCTATTACGTTGTTCGAATAGAAGCCTATCACTGACATAGGCTTCTAGAGGAATAAGCACAGCTTCTATACGCGACATTACGGTATACGAGAATATGTAAGGTAGATAGAGAGAGATTGAGAGACAGACAGAGAGAGACACATACACACACACACAAGACAGAGACGCCTAGGCTCTGCTTCGTTCCGATAATATTCTAATATAATTATACGAGAATATGTAAGAGAGAATTCTCTCTACAATAATATGATTGTTAGGTATATAAATAGAGAGAGAGGGAGAAAGAGAGGGAGAAAGAGAGAGAGAGAGAAAGAGAGAGAGACAGAAAGAGAGAGAGAAAGAGAGAGAGAAAGAGAGAGAGATGAATGGGGAAAGGACTTTTCACTGCCCAGGCTCTAACCTGGTACAGTCTGTATCGGCTATAGCGTACCCTTTTGATTTCCGTGATTTTATCACTATAACCGATGCATCACCATATGCGATACGATCGATTTTTTTTCTTTCTTTTTTTCCCGATCAACACATGAAAGGCAAGAAAATACTTCCAGCATGGCGTTTTGACAAATGAGCATGCTGCATACTAGTACCGTAAAGTACCGTTGATCCGCCCCCACGCCATGTCGCTTCCCAGCTGGGTTTTCGGCAAGGGGCGGGAATTAGATCAAGGCTGTCAAGTGCAGTACGATGTACAACAACGTAGAGGATCAGTCTCAATGTGCTGGATTGTGCACATTTTGATCCTGGATTGGCAAGTATTGTGTACAGCAGTGTATGCGTCGGTTCAACATCGTATTTCGTTGTATACGCCGAAGTCGCTTCACAAGGAGAAAATCGACAGGGGGCGGGAATTAGAGAGGGGGCGGATCAACGGTACTTTACGGTAGTTGACAGTGCCCGCATTTCCATAAAAAATTGTTATGTACATGTATCACTATAAAAATAAGCAACGTGAAGAAAGTATAAAAATCGGGCCTTTGATATTATTGCTACATGTATTTTAAAGTTATCACTATAGCCGATAATAATATAGTGTGTGATGCATGTTTTGATTCTTTGTTTGTATCATAATATCCGATATATCATTACATGCGATGATATTGGTTATAGTGATATTTTTACTGGATAAAATACGTTATGCTTTTGATATTTCGTACCAATATCACTGTAGCCGATACATTCTTATATCCGGTCACTCTATAGCCGATACAGACTGTACCATCAGAAATCTACAACCTACAAAATGATGAATACAAAGTACACCCAGGAAACACGAGAAGTGCAGCTCCGCTCACATAATTAATTCAAAAAATAAATGTTCCACGTTTTTTAGAAATGTCTGATTTTGGTTTCATTGTATTGCTCTTTTCTGTTCCAGCGAACGCCAAGCTGGGATCGAAGTTCGAAGAACTAATTGATGTACTATTCACGTAGCTACGATACTCTGGCACAAACATGTTACAAAACATGACCACCATCAATTATTATTGTCATTGATACAATAAACCTGTGAATCATGGAGTTGACCGTAATGCACGCACGCACGCAACTGTTACAACTGTTGAACAGCGAATTCTAATTACGTCGACATAAGGATGAGGACAGACCCCAACACCCATCCACAAAAGTTGTGAAGTTATGGGAATGCTATAATGGTGGTCACCAATAGCGTTTGGAGTGTCACAACAACAAAATTAATAGCAGACATGAAATCGATCAAAATAGGGCAATCAAGTAACATTTTGCATGAACACAAAAATGGAATACAAAAGTCTACTAACCTTGGCGTGGCCGTGCTTGCCAGTCTTGGAGGTGGACATTTCCACAATTTTGCATGGGCGACCCTTCAGCACAACGTGACCGTTCTTGCGGAGGGCAGAACATTGCTGGGGATAGGTGGTAGAGGCACCAGACCCAACGGCTTCAAATGTTTCCTCAGCCATGATGACTGCACAAATAGATGAACCAAAGAACACAAAAATGCCACCGCATCGAACAGGAAACTTCTACAATACTACTTATTATCCATCCATAACGTTGTGGGGACAATGAAGCCGACGAGAAGATGGGAGACAAAGGAAAGGGAGAAGTGTGATAACACAACCAAATGAACTTCGATATCACACAGGAACATCAGTGACGACAAGTAGAGTCTTCCCAACAGCATTCACGAGCCCAAATCGAAACACGTAGAGGAGTTCGGCAGATAAAGACAGGCCTATCAACACAAGCAAGAGAAATCTTCAACTATTACTTACTTCTGGAGAATGTTACCAACACAAGAGTAACGAAAAAGGAATGACAAAAGGACGCTGATCGTCCACCCGAGGATATACAGTCGTGAACGACAGCAGAAAGGCACAAAATGGACGACGACGTAGTCGTGATGTTGTGATGCCTGGCGCTGTACTTGCTTGCTGCACCGCTAGCTATTTTTCCGTCGGGTCACTCGTCGACTGGACCTTTTGTACTGCACTGGCAAGAGCATGCAGCGCCCGAGCACCCGGCGGATCGAAAGCTACATGCATGACTTGTACACGTTGTACTTGTAGATCTACGTACACGTACACACGTGCACAGTACAGCACACTATACTACAGCTCTATACGCACGTAGATCTACATCAGGGAGGCGTAAAATCCCTGATCTACATGTATGTGTGGGGCCCACTGCATGCACTCGATCGAGTGGATCTCCGGTCGAGCCAAGAAGATACTCCGACCCGGCGCGGCATAGATAAGGCCCGAAGAAGGGCAAGCCGAGTCATTGCGTGAACTAACTACTAATAATGTAATGGCATAGTAGTAGTAGTATGCTCCGGCATGGCACTCTTGCGCTGATGTACGTAATACTAACACTAGTATTAGTAACAGCTAGCTCTCACTTCTCAGTACAATCATGACGTTTACAGTACTGTCACTAGTAGTGGTACACTGCACTACTGATACAACTACAAGTACAAGTGCATAAACGATGACAGCATGGTGGACACACCACTCACCACAGACACCAGGGAGTACGACAAATAAGGTTTTTCCACATCTACTCCCTACATTGCAGTAGGATGGGACACCCTGTGCAATTTTCACATGTTGAGACACACACACACACACACACACACACACACACACACACACACACACACACACACACACACACACACACACACACACACACACATACACCTAACACCATGACACACACATCCAACACACATGGTGACACAAACACACACGCACACACAGTGACACACGCACACACCACACACACACACACACACACCATTGGACCATTGGACGCCCATCGCCGGAGGCAATGATAGCAATGCTACAGTAGAAGCCATAGCAGCTTGTGCTGGGATTGCACCATTCAACAGCTTGCAAGGCTGAAGAATTGACCGCCACTATTCAGCCTGGTCTACACCACACAGCTATGAAGTGGCTTTTTCTGGCCAGTGAATCCCTACTTTTTGGTCTTTTTTATTTTTTTCCCGCACACACATTACACCACATACACCGGCATGCACTGGCTGTTGGTAACCACCCAGGAGAATGAAAGAAAAGTCAGGAAGAGTCTGGGAAAGAGAAGAAAGACGTGTGTGACCATAATCGTCGGGAATCGAACCCGCAACCTATCGATTGGAAATCGCTGCACATACCACTGCACCATATGGGACACACACACACACACACACACACACACACACACACACACACACACACACACACACACACACACACACACACACACACACACACACACTCAGACTCAGACATGCCCATCGCGGAAGCGATTATGGTGAACAGCTATGTTAGACATAGCAACTTGTGCTGGGATTACACCACACACACACACACACACACACACACACACACACACACACACACACACACACACACACACACACACACACACACACACACACACACACACACACACACACGCACACACACACACACACATATCACACGCGTGCGCGTGCACACACACACACACACACACACCACACACCACACACACACACACACACACACACCACACACCACACACACCGTGACACACACTGACATACACACACACACACACCACACACACACACACACACACACACACACACACACACATACACACACACACACACACACACACAAACACACACACACACATATAGGCCTGGGCGGATAATGCTAGATATTTTGTGGGATAGTGCTAATGGCAATGCCAGAAAAACTGTATCATAATGCTGCTTATAATGCTGCTGCTCCTCTGTAATGCCAGCAATTCATCAGTAGTAAGTGTGGAAAAATGGCTTGGTTTGGGCAGTATTGTGCACGTTTCGTAGTTCTACGTAGACGGCATGGAAAATGCTAGAAAATCATGATCATATTAAAATGCTAATTTTATGCTGCTATTGCTCCATAATAATTATAATGCCAGCAAAACCGCAATAGAATGCATGGAAAATGGCTTAGTTTGGGCAATCCTATGCAGGTTGTGCAGTTCTATGTCCAAGGCATGTAACAGCCCATTTCTTGTAGTGGCCAAAACGTCCATATTTGAGTATAATGCCACTTTTGTGGAAATGTAGTGTTATAATGCTAGCATAATGCTCGTTACAAATCGCACACTATAATGCTACTTATAATAGGGAGGTTCCGGAGTACGACTTTTTGTGCCAAAATCCGTAGAGGCGCTACGGATTTTTTATACGTCGTTTTCGAGCAGTGAAATGTTCCGGAGTACGGAACTTACGTGTTTGCCGTCATTGCCTAGGTTACGATCGCAAACATGTCACATTCCCGCGCTATGCCTTTTTATTTTGAAAATTTGTACCGAAATCACAACGTCCTGTGGAAAATCGATGTTTCTCGTACCAAATTTGTACGCGAAAAATCTTTCTGCACCCGATGACGCAAAATCTCCATACGAAACATGGTTTGTGTGAAAGCCAGTCCACACGGATTCTCCGTGCCGAAAAATCGTATGGAGCATGCCTGGAAAAATCCGTAGCGCCCATACGGATTTTGGCACGGAAAATCGTACCCCGGAACCTCTCTAATGCTAGCATAATGCTCGTTACAAATCGCACACTATAATGCAACTTATAATGCTAGCATTATCCGCCCAGGCCTACACACACCCACACACCCACACACCCACAGACACACAGACACACAGACACACACACACACGCATACACACACACACACACACACACACACACACACACACACCATTATTATTACTTCTTCTCCCCCCCCCCCCCCCATCTCCGTATAATTATTAGCCCCCGTTTCATTCGACGCGTTTGCTGTGCAGTGAAGCCGAGACCCTAGGTCGGTGGAGCACATCAGACCCCGTCACCACGTCCACGATTCATCATATGCGGCCTGCGATGCTGCACCGCTGCTTTGCATGTCATGATTGGAAGCTGTAGCCTTAGTAAAAAAAATAATAATAATAAAAAAAATTGACCACCCATGATCGCCAGAGGCGATGATAGCGATGCTACAGCAGAAGCCATAGCAACTTGTGCTGGGATTGCATCATTGCACCATTCAACAGCTTGCAAGGCTGAAGAATTGACCGCCACTATTCAGCCTGGTCTACACCACACAGCTATGAAGTGACTTTTGTGACCAGTGAATCCCTACTCTCTCTCTCTCTCTCTCTCTCTCTCTCTCTCTCTCTCTCTCAGGCTCTCTCTCTCTCTCTCTCTCTCTCTCTCTCTCTCTCTCTCTCTCTCTCCCTCCCTCCCTCCCTCCCTCCCTCCCCTGGCTCCCTCCCTCCCTATCTCTCCCTCTCTCTCTCTCTCTCTCTCTCTCTCTCTCTCTCTCTCTCTCTCTCTCTCTCTCTCTCTCTCTCTCTCTCTCTCTCTCTCTCTCTCTCTCTCTCTCTCTCTCTCTCTCTCTCTCCCCCCCCACACACACACACACTTTTTGACCTTTTGACGCCCATCGCCAGAGGCGATGATAGCGATGCTACGTCAGAAGCCATAGCAACTTGTGCTGGGATTGCACCATTCAACAGCTTGCAAGGCTGAAGACCGCCACTATTCAGCCTGGTCTACACCACACAGCTATGAACTCTCTCTCTCTCTCTCTCTCTCTCTCTCTCTCTCTCTCTCTCTCTCTCTCTCTCTCTCTCTCTCTCTCTCTCTCTCTCTCACACACACACACACACACACACACACACACACACACACACACACACACACACGCACACACACACACTTTTTTGACCTTTTGACATCCATTGCCAGAGGCGATAATAGCGATGCTGTCCCCGGGGAAAATCGTGATTCCGCAGCCGCGTTTTTTCCGATTTTTTAAAAGACTTCGTTTCCGCGATTTTCCCGCATACACATGGCACATGACTGGCTCCCCGGTCACTGTGGTGGCGCTGAAAGCACCCTGCTCTGCGCTTGGCGGTTACACGCAGTACAAGGTGTCCGGATCGCGCTCCACAGCACGCATATTTACAGTAAATTCACCGCAAATTATGCCATATTTACGCGCAAATTCCACCGCAAATTCTGGGATTTTTTTCCGCGATTTTCCCCGGGGACAGGCGATGCTACGGCATAAGCCATAGCAAATTGTGCTGGGATTGCACCATTCAACAGCTTGCAAGGCTTAAGACCGCCACTATTCAGCCTGGTCTACACCACACAGCTATGAAGTGTCTTTTTTTGGCCAGTGAATCCCTACTTTTTGGTCGTTTTCATTTTTTTCCCCGCACACACATCACATACTCCGGCATGCAATGACTGTTGGTAACCACCCAGGAGAATGAAAAAAAGTCAGGAGTCTGAGAAAGAGAAGAAAGACGTGCATGACCATAACCATCAGGAATCAAACCCGCAACCTCTCGATTGGAAATCGCTGCACATACCACTGCACCATATGGGACACACACACACACACACACACACACACACACACACACACACATACACACACACACACACCATGTACCATGTATACGCCCGTCGCAAGAGAAGCATGCAAATCTGCAACTGGATGTGCACCCACAGAATTTCTCTTTATAGCAACGATAGCGGATCTGATTCGGATTGGAACAGATCAAGACAAGTGCCAGATAACTGTCTAATCCACACAACGGGCAAAGCCATGTGAATCGACCACCAATGCACACCTGGTCTACACCACACGGAGTACATCGGAAAAGGACGGCCAAAAAGTTACCTATGCACACCCAACACTTGCTGGGGTAACCAGTATAGGCAGCACGCTGCTTTGATAAAAGCAGACACTAGATGCACTGGTACCTTGAAGTGAAATTGGAGTTACCGTATATTCTCTATTATAAGCACAGGTCTCCATTACTAGCACAGTCTCTAATACTAGCACACTGTGAGCACCTTTCGAAACATTATAAGCACAGTCTCTATTATTAGCACGGTCTTGGTGGAAATCAATGCTGCATGCCTGATATCTAGCATGTATTTCTTCTTGCTCTGTATGGATGTATTGGTTGAAAAAATATAAGCGCAGTCTCCAATATAAGCGCGGGGTAGAGGGGTGTTGAAAAAATATAAGCACGGCGCTTATAATAGAGAATATACGGTATTTTACAAACCAGCCTCGGCAACTGGGTACTGGGAACCCAGGGCCAACAGACGTACCAACAACCTCGCACACTGGATTGTGGAGCCGAAACTAGTCCAACTTCCAAAATGCTTTGGCAAGAGGGTAGCCTTCCGACAGCTTGGCAACACACACACCTTGAACCTTGAACGTGCCCATTGCCGATGGCAATGATAGCGAAGGGACTATCCGCTAGCTTTGCAGTACGGAGCGTGGCGCTTGAGGTCCCCGGGACGACGGCAGACCTTTCCACATGCGCAGTGGAAGCCAGAGTCATGATCAGGAGGAGCACGGGCGGGAGGACGACGATGAGCAATCTGCCTCCAGGCAGAGCGATCCTGGGCAGCATCAAACCAGCAGTCAGAAGGCACAGGGGGGCTGATGGAGCGGAGATCATCCACGATGACGTCACGCCACCGCTTGCGTGGACCATGGCGAGGGCGTGTTGCAGGGAGCTCCCCAAACAAAACTCGCTTCGGCATGCGGTCGTCGTTCATCCGGCCAACACGGCCAAGTCAACGCAGTCGATATTCCCGGATGATGTCCGCGACGTCACAGTCAATGCCGAGGGTTCGGGCCATGGTAACCGAGGTGACGCGGTTGTCCCACTGGTCCCGCCTGGATACGCCAACGATGATGCGAACACACTGGTGATGAAAGGTGTTGAGAGAGCGCAGGTCCGGTGCCTTCGGCGTCCACGTCTCTGCTCCGTACAGGAGGGTCGTCAGCACAAGGGCGATGTACACGCGGCGCCGACAGCGGAGAGATAACGACCGATTCTCAAACACTGGGACACGGAGACTGCCGAACACACGCGAAGCCTTGGCGAGACGGGACTGAACATCATGCGAAGACTGCCCGTCCCGATGGATGACGCTGCCAAGGTACGTAAAACTGTCAACGCCTCGATGGTGCTCTCACCAAGAGACACCGGCTCATTCATGGGCGAATTGACAGTCATGCATTTGGTCTTCGATAGACTGACCGTGAGGCCCCAGCGCGCCGCACACGAAATGAACAATTCCGTGCACCGATCAAAAATCGGCTTAGTGGTGGCATACACTGCAGCATCGTCCGCAAACTGGGACTCTGTGACGACATCACGTTGCAGGCGGGACTTGGCAGTGCGGTCTCCAATCAACTTTCGGCCAACTCGGTAGTGCAGCTCAACACCAGCGTCCGGGCACATGGAGCGCCAATCCCCAACGACTGCAGAGAAATACAAGTTAAACAAGACGGGTGCCAAAGTACAACCCTGACGCAGACCGTTGTTGACGTTAATGGCAGCAGTGACACCGCCCTCGATGCGGACCTTCACCTCCATCGACTCATGCAAGGACTTGATGATACTGAGCATCCTTGGGAAAACACCAAACTTCTGGAGCAAACACCACAGCGCTGGACGGGGGATCGAATCGTATGCCTTTTGCAAATCGACAAAGAGAGCATACAACGGTGAGTCATGTTCGTAAGATTTCTCAATCAATTGCCTGGCAACAAAGATCATGTCTGCACACCCTCTGCCCTTGCGAAAACCAGACTGTGACTCGGGAAGCATCTTCTCCGAGATTGTCTGCAGCCGGTTCTGAAGAATCCGCGCAAACAACTTCCCAACAACATCCAAAAGGCTGATACCCCTCCAGTTATCACAAACTTTCAAGTTGCCTTTCTTAGGTATTGGAACAACGATGGCATCCCGCCACTCAGCGACAACCGATGCCTCATCCCACACCAAATGCATGAGCTGAACCAGACGATCATGGAGCTCCTCACCACCCAAGATAATCATTTCGGGAAGGATACCTGATTCCCCACCGGACTTTCCAACCTTCATGGAGCGCATCGCCGCAAGCATCTCTGCCTTCGTCGGGGGATCATCCAGCTCGGTCTGCAGTGGCTCATCCGGGATAGCTGTCAAGACAGCTGGATCGTACTGGCTCTCGACATTCAAGACGCCGCCAAAGTGCCTGAAAAACCGATCCCGGATACCATCGGAGTCCGTCAGGAGTACACCATCCTCATGCAGCACTGATGTTTCACGCTTGGGCTGTCGACCTACGTGGAGGGTCTGCAACTTCCGGATGCAACGCCACTGAGATCCACCGCCAATCTCAGACCTCTCCGCCTCCTGCGATACAGACTCAATCCACTTTTCCTTGGTCTCCCGAACAGCCCGCGCCACAGCTCGCTGCTTCTGGCGGAAGCTCCTCATCGCTGATCGCGTGCCCCTCTAATTCTGCAGCATCTCGTTGTTGGCTTGGTTCTTGGCATCGATCAATGGCTGCAGTACATCAGTATTCTTTAGGAACCAGTCCGGCTGGATCCTCTTCCTTTCCCCAAGGACTTGCTCAGAAACCTCACACACACAATCCCGCAACGTCGACCACTCCTCATTGGCGCCTGACTGCCGGGGCCGTTGCTGTAGGCCGGTGGACATACTATCTCGAAACTTCTCACGAATAGCATCCCTTGTCAACACCTCCACAGCAGCCACGGCTTTTCGTCTTCCAGATGTAGGCGGGCGAGCTCGGCGCGGCTGAGCAGCACTGATACGAAGCTTGACATGATGCGAACCATGAAATGATCGGTGAAACAATTGGCACCGCGCATAACGGAAACATCCTGACAATGCCAATGCTGAGACTGCCGCATGAGCACCATGTCGATAAGATGTGGGAGCCTGGTGGCGGGGTGAGTCCATGTACCACGCCGATGGTGAGGCTTTCGATACCACGTGTTCATAATGGACAGCTGGTTTGTAGCACACCACATCAACAGCCGTTCTCCTGCTGCATTACACTGTCCAAGGCCATACCTGCCACGAACATCAGACCACATATCACCAGAAGCAGGCTGAACACCCACACGCGCGTTGAAATCTCCCAGAACAATTTGAATGTCATCACGTGGTACTCCGTCCAGTGTAGTCTGCATGTCCGCGTAAAATTTATTTTTCGTTGGCAAACTGGCCTTACTAGTGGGAGAGTAACAATTGACACACACACACACACCTTGGTAACACTGCCATCAAAAGTAATGGTTACGTGTCCCCTGTGCAGGGGTCGACAGCACTGAGTTCAGCATTGGATCCAGAAACGCCGCTCTACTTCCTGGACAGGAAAATAGCACAGCTATGCAGGTCGAAACCACGGGATGACTTGCAGCAGCGACCGCAGCCGATACAACGCGCTCTGCAGCAGGGCAGGGCAACCCGCTGTTTCCGGACCGAGTCTGCCCATGCCACAGCCGAGGCCGACGCCACTTCAGCAGCCGAGTTGGAGAGACACTATGCGAAGCTAGCCCGCCAGCACTCAAAAACCATCTCCCGCACGCATTACATAGTCGGCTGCCGGACTGCTCAGATATTGGTTTCCTCCTCTCGGCCAGGCACTTGTGGCGATTCTTGTATTTCTGGTGGGCGAAAGTACGCTGGCAGACATCGCAGAGCACAGAAGTGTCACACTGAGCCGATCGCGGTACTGGTTGAGCGGAATACGCACTGCGCCATTTCCCACGCTCCTGGACGAGGTCGTACCATTCCGCGTGGTCGATGTTCATTGTGGAGAGGTCAGCTCTGACAGTCTCGCCACCGTTTCCGAGGACCGCAAGCCGGCCTCGGCGGAAGGAGCGTACCGAACAGGAACTGGCGCGGAGTTCTATCGCCGTCCATCCTGGCTAGATGGCCTAACCACTCCAGACGGCGGCGAAGAACACGTGTGGTAATATCCACCGGATCTCGACGATTCCAGGCCTCCAGAATGGTCTTCCTGTTGATGTGGAAGTCCCAGGTGTCTCTTCTACCGAGGGCTAAGATTGTGGAAATGCAGCGAAGATGGAAGGCGGACAGCGCCGCAAGCTCGCACACACACACTTGTCGCTCACTGCCGAAACTGGTCACGTGGGTCTCCCCGGGACAGGTGAGAGAGACCCAAAAGGAATCTTGGAAAGATGACTAAATTGGCTATTGAACCGCCCAACGGCCGACACCCCTGAAATCCCCAAAACTCTGGGTAGACTTGAAAATGATCCCACTTATGGGCTCGCCACACCTCAGTAAGTGGGTGAGGACAAGGTGCAGAAAAAGGATTGACGGCATCAGGGTATCCGTCCCGGGATCCAACTGCAGTTACCCCTGCCCCCAGTGAAGGTAATACTTGCTACTAGTGTGGGTGGCTAAATCAGAGTGGATCTGATACCAGCTTCACTAGCACCATGATTACACAAGAGTTAATCTAGCCAGAAGTAGTCCATGGTTAACAGGTATGTATACTTCAAATACAAAGTATATGAACCCTGAAACCAACAAAGGTGGTAGGTACAACATTACACCTTCAAGCAGCCGAGCCCGTTGGCAACAGACCCAACACTATCCGGCATAAGTGTACTCACCAACCGAACTAGCTGGCACCACACACACACACACACACACACACACACACACACACACACACACAAACACACACACACACACACAGCACATACCCAAAGGGAACTATCTACTAAAAGCCATATGAACACAAAATGTCCTGACAGAAGCAAGAAGCAGCGAAACCAGGGCATCAAGTTGGGCAAGGGCAGCAAAAGCAAACAGGGCAGCACAGTCTTGCAGTTCCTGTGACAACATTCAGTTCCGTAGGGACCGGAATCGAGTGCGCGACTAAAAAATAAGAGCAGAAATATTGGCAACAGATACAAACGAAAAGCACGAAACGGGAAGGACAAAATGCAAACTGCTATCAGCATATTTTATGTGTTTTCATGATGCCAATTCAGAAATCGACAGTGATCGCTATAACTCTAGCTGAAAATGATTTGCAAGCGCAGGCACGCACACACACACACACACACACACACACACACCATGTGCCACCCTGGCCACACACACACACACACACACACACACACACACACACACACACAGAAGGTTCACATGGACTTAGCTTTCCATGAGACGCTGTATCCGTGACTCAAGATTCTGGCAATTGGTCTGGATGCTCTCCATGTTAACACGAAGGCTTTCTTTGAGGTCTGACAAGACTTTAGACTGTGATTCCAACCGACCATTGATTTGCTGCTGGCCAATGTCGACGTCACGTAGTGTGTTGCCAAAGTGTGTCGCCTGCTCATGGAGCAATTTCAAAGACTTGAGGCGGCTAAGCAGATCGGGCACCGCAACAGCAACGGAGTCCCATCGATTGACCATGTCATATAATTCTGCCACTTTGGTCTTTTTGGCCTCGTCTTCCGCTGATTTGCTCTGCTGCAGCTGCTTTAAGTTGTGCAGCAACGTAGCAAGACGTCCATTCACAGCTTCAGCGTAGCCAGGCTCCAGCAGCGCCATTTTGGACTGCAGAACAGACATAGCCGACAGCAGGTCACCATTGGCACCGGCGACTCCGCTGGTAATTGTTGTCAGCGATCGGCTATCCTTACCCAGTAGCTTTTCCAACTGCGCAAGCCGCTGCTCCAGCTCACTTGCCTTCGACAAGCCAGAGAACGCTGTCTGGGCAGGCTGATAGTAGACATTGTACGAAATGCCGTCTGCGGCGGCATCTTTCTGCGTTGTGTCTACTGCTGCACTAGCTGCACCGGCCGTGCGGTCAGAGAAGGCTTCCACTTGTGACAGCAGCTTCTTCGAGAGGTCTGCCTGGAGTGCTGGTCCCGGGCGCTGGCTCACGCTGCTTAGAGTGTCTGACTGGAGATTGAGCAAGTGCGACTGTAACACTGCAACTTGTTGAGAGAATTCCACATGCGATGGTCCACCAGCAGTAGCTGATGCTCCCTCACTTGTCTCGCTCCCCTTCATGTCTTTCACTTCAGCAGCCAACTCTTGTAACTCACGCTGCAGTCGCTCATACTTCTGCAATGGTGTTTCAGGCTTTTCAAGTTCACGCAAGCTGCAGAAATCACCCGCCTCATACCCTGTACGTCTATGGCTTCCAAGGCTGTCAGAAAAGTCTGCTCCATGAGGATCTAGGTACTTGTCTTTGAACATGCCGAAGGATTTTTGTGTGTTGATTGTCAGAGTCTCGACAAACTCACTCCCAACATCAGTCTGCGCTGGCACGTTCATTGGTGCAACATCCGATGATTCATACACATCAGGCTGGGTATCAATGCCTGGAAGGTCAGCATATTTGCTGTCGACCGCCATAGCTCGATCCGCTGAGAAACCGAGTGAATACTAATAATAATCAAAAATTGAATAGGGTATAGCAGCAGCAGAGTTTATCGTATCCAATTATTTGTTTGGCAGCAAGAATGGATACTTCTACCACCCAGTGCGCGATGACTGACATGCACTTTGAAAACACAACTAGATAATTTACTGGCACGGTGTGACCAAACGCAAACAGCAAAGATTTCGGCACCAGTGCCAGTGCAGTGGCAGCAAAGCTCTAGCTCTCGCGATCTCGTCTCGATCTCACCAAATTTTTCTTGCCGAATTCTTTTGACTTTGACGCTTTGCGCCAGGGAGTCGTAAAATACCGGTATTTTACGACTCCCTGGGTTGAGCCTTTTGCATGCATTTAATATGTATGCTATCAAGAGTGCATTACTGTACAAGCAGAAATATTCGTCTGGAATTTAATTTCGTCTTTTTCGTCCCAGGAGCTTTTGGACTAAATTAAATGTAGGACGAATATCGATTTGTCCAGCTTTTCTATACACTCTTATGATCCATGGACGAAATTTTCAACCGGGCGAACTCCTTTTCTTTGGAGTTGGACGAAATTATTGACCGACGAAATTTTCTGCCTCTACAGTATGTACACGAGCTTGGGGGCGTTCGTTTTTTACCTACGTGTTTGGGTAGAAGTCTTCTTTCGGTAGATGAGTTCGTTTTTTCTACCCCAAACGGTAGATTCTACTTTCCTCTATAGAAATCAGGGAGTCGTAAAATACCATGTATTTTACGACTCCCTGATAGAAATACTGGTACACCTCAAACCAAACAATGAAACAGCCTATCACAGCGGAAACGTAAACACCCCCTGGATTTTTTTGTGGAGTAACATGCATGGGATGCACGATGAAATAGTACAGAGTACACTCATCCACAAAAAGGAGGGGAGTTATGAAGAAAAAAATCACTCCCAAAGGCTGTACTATTTTGTTGGTTGACAGCATGTAACAAGGTGGAGGACATCGTGTTCGGAAACAGTGACCTTGGCAGAAGTTGGAAAAAAGAGTTTAAAAGAAGAACGAGAAGAACAATTCAGAACAGACACGCACGTTTATGAGTATCAAGAAGACATCCAGGAGCGAACAAAGACTACAAGACTGACAGTACGAGAAGTCTAAGACAACTCCCATGCCTGAGTAGAGACGGGGTCAGAACCGGGTCTAGCACCCGGCATACGGTTCAGATGGTCGCAACCAACCGGGGCTATACCAACCGTGGATGCCGTTGTTGAACGGTCACTGTTTCCGTGTGAACACCGTGTTCTCCACCTTGTTACATGCTGTCAACCAACAACATGTTTGAACAAACTTGCAAGGTTTATCTAATATTTTGAAGTAACATGATAAGAGCGCCCCTACTTCCGCCACTCATCGGGTAGGTCCAGGTGGGCGCTCTGGCGGGATTTTACGGTACTAGTGTTTCATGGCCCTGTACAGATAGTACTTCTCACCAATCATACCACTGTAGCGCTGTGCACATTCTCTCAGTGTCACATGCAGTGCGGTACCAACCTGTCACGTGCCGTAGTGAGTGCCTCTACCACAGCTTCTCATCAATGTTCATTAGTGTGTTGCTTTTCCTTTTGATTACGATAAGCCAACCTCTGCTGACGCCCAACCTGTAGACTACTTACCACAGAGCTGTCAGCTATTGTCTCTGTTGCCGGTCCTCTGTTCTGCTGTTCCGCTTTGTTGCTCCGATTCACCATTTGTATTAGCTTCGATAATTTGATACGTTACTCTTTGCTGAGTTTAGCACAGCTAACTGCTCACTCTCTGCTCGTTGCTGCCTGCTCGACCCTTCCAGGCTTCGCTCGCATAGATTTCAGCTAGTATGAGTTCGCTGACTTGGCCAGATATTGATGGGGCTTTCTTTGAGATTCTCTTTACTTGTCTTTAGCTTCTTGAATAGACTTTGTTTATAGGAGTTCCGCTACCACTTAAGCGGACTTGTCCGCGCCGGTTTGGCCTTTGACTTTGTAGTTTCCTACTTTTCCTTTGTTCTTTTACTATCGGACCTGAGGGTTCCGCCACCCGGACTTCTCTCTGTGCTTTGGTTTCGAGGTACGCCTCAGTGGAACTACCAAGAGGCGCACATATACTTTGTGCAAACGGGCTTGGGATAACTAACACGTAGGGACAATCAGCCAGCCACGACACTAGTATTGGAGACTATTCATTTATTGATTCTGGCAAGATTGATCGCCTGCCATGTGTGTCATACCAATGATACTTTTCGGCTGTACATACCTGGAATAACACTCCAGCTAAGGTACCAATCATGATTAATGAAGTAAGAAGAAGTGAGCAACAACTTGCCACTAAGTTACGAGTTATGACTAACAGTCCACCAAAGTAACGAGATATATATTATACAGTCAGATAGTGCAACAACCGAGGCACCGAACTGACAGGGATATTGGTGGACTGTTAGTCATAACTCGTCACTTATTGGTCCCTTCAAGAGTCTTCTTACTTCACTACTATTGGCTCAACATCCGTAAAACGGTGAGCAGTACCATTCGGCTGTTGAATAATACAACAAACTAACTGTCATCCATGTGCTATAGCCGACCAATGCTACCCTCTGTAGCCATTACTCACACCAATAATTTCAAACAACGAAGGGGTCACGGGTAAAACATTTCCTTCTGACAGCTGTTTCGCCAGCAAGGTGCAACACTTCTCAGTGATACACCTTGCCCAGTTTCTTGCGCCCATAATATACCGTATAAATTACTACTAGTAATTTTGCCATGTCAATTACAATATCCAGTATTACCTTCTTTGATAGGTGAACAGCTGTCAGAAGGAAATGTTTCAACCCGTAACCCCTTCGTTGTTTGAAATTATTGGTGTGAGTAGTGGCTACCGAGGGTAGCAATGGTCGGCTATAGAGCGCATGGATGAGAAGGAGAGTTAGTTTGTTGTATGACATTCGAGTTGATTAAAGGGGAAGCTAAACCTAAGTCATGGCATCCTTATAAACTCATAACAACCATTCTATAATAATTACTATTTGAATCTTTTAATAACTATCTGGAAACTCAACCTCGTACATTATAATTATCTCGCCACCCATTGACCATGATGCTATATGAAGAGACAATAATGATGACGTTTTCCCCAATGACAACAATTTTATGACGCTCCATGTTACTCTATGTTACTGAAGTACTAACTTTGGTCATTGGTTTGTAGAGGCCCATTCTCTAGGAGATATCTACATCTGCTCTGTTTCAATGTCCAGCATAAGCGAACGTGTGGATCAAGCATAACTGCTTGGTTGACGCTGCCGCGGAAATGCGTATAATAATAATATAATAAACCTAAAATCAAATTTTCACCAGTTGTAATATTCGGTTTGCCGAGTCGAATGGTCTTGGTCCGAGGAAGCTGAGACGCTCCTTTCCTCCTTTATTCCCAATCGAACTCGCGCACTTCCACCGAAACTGGGTGACTGCGCCCTACTAGATGGGGATTTGTATGCAAAATGTCACTAAAAGCGCCATTTCGTTTTTATAAAAGCATCGATGGCCGCGATATGGTGTAGTCTTTTGGACGCTGAGTCGACTGGTTTTGGTCCGAAAAGGCTGCGATGCAGTATTCTGGCCTTATTCACAATCGAACATGGTTGAACAAGCGGTCACGTGCTACTGCGTACACCAGTCACCGCGCCAGCAGGCGACAACTTTCACACCAATGTTCCACTTGAGTTCAACTCGAGTGACAGGAATGCACCCAAACAGGCTCTAAGTTGTACCCTGCAGGCACGGTGACCAGGTGACTGGTGTACGCATGAGCACGTGACCGCTTGTTCAACCATGTTCGATTGGGAATAAGGCCCGAACGCTGCATCGCAGCCTTTTTCGGACCAAAACCAGTCGACTCAGCCTCCAAAAGACTAGAACATATGGGCCAATCTTCATGCCTGGACAGCCCGGCCGACACCAAGCAGCCCAACAGGAAGGTCAGTTTGCATGAGCAGGCTGTGCCGGTCAGTTCAGTATCCGTGAAATCTGTGTCTAAGGTCCGAGCCATAGTGCAACTGTGCGTGACCATAAGAGATTTTGACCTACATTGTGTTGTGGGTTCATGTTTGGATAATTAGAATGTCCGGATAATTAGACCTTTTTTCTTGGCATTTTGAGGTTCGAATTATCAGGATTCCACCTGCCTTAGTACCACCAAAGAAATTCGTGACAAATACAGATCATGTGTACGAAATTCCACAGGCCTCGTGAAGTGAGGTCGGATATCTTTACTGATAACTGTTGGGCTTGCTGACAAAAGAATGCACCTTTATCTCGAAGTCCCTAAGTCAGGACAACTGAGTGCGAGGAAATGAAGTACGGTACACATACTGCTTGCATAGAAGCAGTTGATTTCAGAGTCTGTGTCTCAGCCATCATGCTGTTAAGCCACTAGTCCAGGCCCACATACAATGTAGGCTAGATAAGCATCTGCTGGCATCACTGGACTAAAATGCATTTCTGGCGAGGAAACCTGCACGTGGCACCCCCGCCACCCACGCGGACATGCTTTTACCTAATAATAATATATAAACCTGCACGTGGCACCCCGCTAGGCTTTCCCCAGATCGGCCGGCCGAAAAATTCACCGAAAACGAGACTTATCGAAAAAATCACTAAGCCGTTCGCCGATTTTGGAGGGTTCCTTTGAGAATCGCCGAAAATCTACCAAATGTTGCACAGTGCCTTTACGAACGAATGAAGTTGCTGCAAGCATGACCGCTCGAGCTCTCTACTTCAGTACTTGTAGTGCGTTGAGGTCATGTGACTCGTGTCCTTTGACCTCCTCTCAAACAAACATTAGCCATTAGGAAGATCGTTACTAGTAAAATCCCTAAATCGGCTGGCCGAAAACGAGACATCGAAATATCGCTAAAGCTTTTCGCCGACTTTGGAGGGTTTCTTTGAGAATCGCCAAAAATCTACCAAATCTTCCAGAATCTCACCAATTTTGAAGCCAATATGCCAACAATTCTTTTAGCCGATTTTCCAATAATATAATCATTCCAATTTTGCAGCAGATTTTCAAACAATCAGCTGATTTTGCAGCCGAATCTGATGTATTTTTGAGCTTAGCGAAAAGCCGAATAGGCGAAAATAACGGGCCGATTTGGGGAAAGCCTAACCCCCGCCACCTACGCGGACATGCTTGAAAACAGAAAATAATATAAACCTGCACGTGGCAATCTATAGTAAGTCTACAAATGTTTGGCACGTTTAAATTTCGGCCTCCCAGGGCTAAAACACATTTCGGGCGCATTAACAAATTTCAGCCTACACTGCTGCTGCCTGTATACACTGTCACACCGAACCTTGTCAAACAAAATTTCAGCCGCAAGAAATGTTAGGCCAAAAACGCCCTGGCCGAAAATAGCCGGAAATAAAAATGTAGAAAAGAAAAAAGGACATATGGAAACGAGTTAAGAGTAACTCTCCACCACTGTAACTAGATACTATACACAGTCAGAATGTGCAACAACTAGGCACAAAACTGACAGAGTAGTGAGACATTCGACGTCCTGACACCTAGCTTCAACACATCTCCGTAGCGCTAACCAGCAGCTGCTTCAAATTGTACAGTCTGTATCGGCTATAGCGTACCCTTTTGATTTCCGTGATTTTATCACTGTAACCGATGCATCACTATATGCGATACGATCGATTTTTTTCGATCGACACATGAAAGGCAAGGAAATACTTCCAGCATGGCGTTTTGACAAAATGAGCATGCTGCATAGATGACAGTGCCCGCATTTCCATAAAAAAATCCTGTTATGTACATGTACATGTATCACTACAAAAATAAGCAACGTGAAGAAAGTTAAAAAATACTTCGAAGTAGGGCCTTTGATATTATTGCTACTTGTATTTTAAAGTTATCACTATAGCCGATAATAATAATAATAGTGTGTTATGCATGTTTTGATTCTTTGTTGCAATCATAATATCCGATATATCATTACATCCGATAATATTGGTTATAGTGATATTTGTACTGGATAAAATACGTTTTGCTTTTGATATTTCGTACCAATATCACTGTAGCCGATATATTCTTATATCCGGTCACTCTATAGCCGATACAGACTGTAGTTAGACCGCTTTGTCAAGTATCCTACTGGTCTCGTCATCGTCCAGTAACAATCGACCTTCTTTGTTCCGTTGGGACTGTAGCTTGTGCTCATTTTCGTTGCGCTTACCTTCCCCTCTTTGGTCTCTCCATAACCTTGAACCTTCCGAGTTGGAATGCTGTCGGTTAGCGCTACGGAGATGTGTTGAAGCTAGGTGTCAGGACGTCGAATGTCTCACTACTCTGTCAGTTTTGTGCCTAGTTGCTGCACTTTCTGACTGCATATAGTATCTAGTTACAGTGGTGGAGAGTTACTCTTAACTTGTTTCCCTTTTTCTTTTCTACATTTATTGTTGGCTCAATACCTGAGTTTCGAAATAAAAATGTACCGAATATTTGTTGCCTTTAATACAGCACTTTGCGGATGCGGAAAACTTACTTGGCCTCCAGCCGAGTCTCACGCGAACCGTGATTTTTAATATTTGTTGTATTTTTACAGTTCTCCATTATGCTAATAGCTTCAGCAGTAGACTATAAACTCCAGCAGCATCATGCCGGGATGGCTGGTGGACTACTGGCACTACAGATAAGGGACCCTATTATTTCTAGTGCAGGATCGGCTCCCGGAATGAATACCAATACGTCAAATTCATCAACACATAAACCAAGACTGAGCTTGGACCTCAGGACTCCGTGTACTCAGGTTAGTGACCAGTGCAAGAGTTAGCAGCTGAGCCCACGGAACGAACAATCCAGCGTGACCCACTCCCTCCCCCAACACGAAAATCCTTTCGCAATCCACGTTTCGCACAATGCATGCAAGATATACGTATGCACATTCTTCAAATCTGCTTTGAGATTTTCGGCAAGAACTTCCACCCACCCACCCCCCCCCCCCCACCCCCCCCCCCCTACCCGTTTTGTTAGTTTCGTTAGTGTACTTCGAAGTACTTGAAGTAGAATAACCGTGGACATGTACCATGCATGACCAACCCACCTTCTGACGTGCGGACAGGCTCATTCATGCCGATACCGACCCTGTAGGCACGAGAAGAAATACACCAGTCACTGTTGATCTGAACACTGGAACTGTGGAAGACATTTTAACAGCACAGTCAGGCAGTCAGGCAGTCAGGCAGTCAGGCAGTTGCATAACTACATCTACATGTACATACAGATAACAACAAGAGTCCATAACCTCAAGAGTGTGCAACTCTGTACATGGGGATCCGCGCGGCAGAGTTCCAACATCACGTCAAAAATGACGTCTGTTGCGTTTGTACTACTCCCTGATTCCAAGCACCGCATAATGCGGAGTTTTATCCTCTGTGCCTCAGCAGCATGATGTTGGAATTCCGCCGCGCAGTGGGCCTACAGCAGGCAGACCCCAGTTGCACACTTTGGGTTACGCGACTCTTGATAACAAGTAGCAACGCTCAATCGTGCACGAGAAAAGCGCTGTTTTCCCCCAGTTGTCGTTTTTCGTTGTAGTTGAAAGTATGCAATCAAATGGTCACAACAAAGAAGTTTGGGTCCATATTCGTGAGTTGTTGTTATACACCGCGCCAAGATCGTTATTCACAAGGTTACCTGTAGTCTATCACAACGACATACCATGTACATGTACATGTACATGTAGACACCACAGTTTTCCACATTTTCGGCAAGCCACTAGTCGATAGAAAATCATCTCCCGCAGTGTCACCTTTTAGTGGGACATGCTAGCTTTGGATACATCCATGATACATGTACTGATCAGCAATGAAGTACTTAGTGCACACTGGAGTGCATAACGAGGTCATACATGTACAGTGGAACCTGTCTAAGACGACCGCTCATGGGACCTTCAAAACGTGGTCTCTGTTACCAGGTGGTCTCCTTATCCAGGGTCATTTGACTGGAAATAGCATCACTTGGTCCCGGTTTCAGCGGTCTTCTAGGACAGGTGGTCGCCTTATCCGAGTGGTCGCCTTGACAGGCTTTACTGTATATTCCCGAGTCGAGTGCCGGATGCCCCATATGTATAATAATGTGCATGTACACTGCATGTACACTGCATATGTACCCGCGGTACATGTACAGCTGCTCAATGATATCCAGCCGCGTCACTCAAGTACGCGCCGTGCGCTGCGCAGCCATAGACCTGCGAACACTGGGCTGCGAAATGGTGCAAGGCGCAAACTTGAGTCACACGACTGGATTTCATTGAGCAGGACTGTACATCACATGCACACATACATGTACATGTAGACTGAAAGAAAAAAATGATAAAATCCTGAATTTCAAACCAAAGGCAAAGGCTCCAATGATTACAGGCAACAGCCACCGTGCTTGACTGGAACAGCACAGCCTCAAGTCGAGAGAAGGAATAGTTTTAGGCAACGTTTATTTTACAAATGTTCGGCTTCAAGTTCAAGGTGCCGTCACTAACAGTGGCAGGGACAGGATATCCGCACAAACCTGGGGCCCCCGGAACAGTTACCCAGTTCCGTACCAAAGATCCATTACTAGCACTAGTAGTACTCCCAACAAGAATAATAGTATTAATACTCTTAGCTGCTCTGGCCGGTGAATGGGGGGTACTTTGGGGTAAAAGCGTCGCTTGATTGACAAGTGTTGAATGACTTGCGGCTTTCAGGCAGCTGTTGGAATGTTTGGTTCATGTCCCTGGATCGACTGACTGTAGATCTACAAGACCAGTGTAGAAGATCATCTGCGACACCGGTGCCCTGGCCTGAGCGAGCTAGCCTAGATTAGAGAAAAAAGGCTACCGACCGTCGACGTCGCAGTCTACTCACCGGATCGCGGATCACCGTCCTTATCGGCAATGGCTCAGGACGAAGTTAGGTTGAAGAGAGCATTCATTGAATGCACTCGTCTTACTGGCCTGGCTCAGTACGGCTGCGACTGGTGTGGCCCGAGCTTGCGTAAAATACACGCAGAAGGACTGCACATCACCAGTTCAGAAAGAATCCTGGTAAGGTGACGGTTAGCTGGTTAGAGCGCTAAACTGCTTGCCCAGTATCTCTCCGGCTATATCCCCTCCTCAGTCACACGACTAGTGGTGGTATAATTATACTTATCGAAACCGGTGGGTACTGACGCGGATCAGCTCCACCGACAAAGTTCCAAGTTTCGTGTCCAGATGACATGCCGGCAGCTGATCATCTCAGTGGACCAATGCAAGGACAGGTAACTGGTTTGTGTTGATAATTTATTTCTAGCAAGCCCTGTGCCGAAAGTAAAGTGTTACATTCTGCTGCTGAAACTGTGAAATACACACAGTCACACAGGCAGTTTGTTGGTTGTTTACTTGCGCGAGTAGTTACTTAGTGCACGTGGTAGACTCGGTATAGAACACTCAAGTCAAGTGAGGTCTCCGGCCGGGAGCAGAGGAGGCGCTAGCATCCGGTATCGCTTGACCGCGGCCAAGTCATCTCCGTGGACTGATTGTAGACCTATTACAAGTATTAGTACTGCATGTCCGTCCATATTACCGGCGGTATTACCGGTATCACAGTATCACTATCAGTCGCTACTATACTGCACTGAGTCTGTGAGTGTGAGTGTGGGTGTGAGTGGTACATGGTGCGATTGGTGGTGACAGCGACCGAGTAACCTGGTAACGCGCCTGTGACTGTGTGTGATCCTGGACATAGTCATTGACATGGTGTCATTGTGCACCGGTGCGTAGATCTACCACATGCACATAGTCATAGTCATTCCTCCATAGATCTACGGACCATAGCCATAGCCATAAAGCCATAGCCATAGCCATAGCCATAGCCATATGCTCCAACACCTTTGCTTGGTCCAGCTCCCTAGTCCCTTTCTGGGCCAGGTTAAAGACGACTGTGCTCAACATCCTTTAGACGTTTAGTAGTATACTGTATAGGCGTTACCTCCTGTTTCTTGGTCACCAGTTCTGGCAGTTACATGACTGTACAGAGTACAGTGTACTGATAGAGATCAACATCATGATTCATGGCATCTACCGGTAGTTGATCGATCTCCTCTCACTACGGTCTCAGACAGATTAGTGCATGACTGTACTGTAGTGAGAACCATGAAGACTTACAAGTGTGTAGAACTACAGTCGACCTACCCTTATAACGATATTTGCGTCAGACCAAGAAATATTGTTATAATATAAGGGTAATATTGTTATACGGGTAACTGGTTCACTTCATACACTGTATAACTAGGCCTCGACCAAATATGATTAAAAAAAAGAGCACATTATGCTCGTCGCATATCAGGGAAAACGTCCATAATATGCCAAATGCTTAACAAGATATGCCAAAATATGCCAAAATATGCTCGACATAAGCAGAAAGTGTAGATCATTTCAGTAAAATTACAACCTTGGAATATTCATTGGCTTCACGGCTATCATGCTATGGTGCAAATCAAAAACATATGCGGAATAGTATGGCTGGGGTGTGTCCCCAGCAACCGTAGCGATAGTGTTCATCCATGGGGAAATGTAGCAAACGCCTCAACCATTCCAAATTCATCCATAAAAGGCATTTCTGAAAGCATTTTGTCCATAGTATGAATGTTTTGTCCTCATTTCCTTCAGAATATTTGAATTATATGCTGCCTTCATTCCAATATTCCCTTTGTCGCTCAATATGCCATATATGAACTGTCTCACAAAATATGCGGAAATATGCACAAGCATATTTGGTCGAGGCCTATGTATAACACATACGTCGTAATGCATGGATTTTGTTCATTTTTTAGTTTTTACACTCTTCATAGCATAAAAACCTGACATACATGCACAATATGTACACAGCAAGGTGCCCATTGGTACCCTCATTGCATTTTGTCATTTCCCAGCGACTTATCAAGTGAAGCTTGCCGTTCCTGGATAATGGGCTCTACCCTCCTAGATATTGTTATAAAATGGAAAATGTCGATTGGTCAGCCCATTTTTTATCGTTATAGGGGTAATATCGCTATAGCAATATTGTTATAGAGGTAAGGCATTGTATACAAAGGCAATGGAGTGATTTGGTTTGACAGAAAAATATCGATATAAGGCGGGTAATATCGTTATAGAGGTTATCGTTATAAGGGTAGGTTGACTGTACATGTAGTAGTCTTACTCTGCCCCATGCAGTCAAGACAATCCGATGATTGCCATGCAGTCAAGACAATCCGATGATTGCCATGCAGTCAAGACAATCCGATGATTGCCATGCAGTCAAGACAATCCGATGATTGCCATGCAGTTAAGACAATCCGATGATTGTTGATACTGTCTACAGACAGTACACCATTCATGCTGTCATTGGCACTCTGTCTGTCCAGGTCTGTCTGTCCTGCTGGCTAGACCTACAGTCATTGCTATGCATGAATGTATATCAGTAGAAGTAACAGGCGCATAGCACCACCGTTGGAGGTGGTCCGGCCGGAGGGATGGGGGGGGGGGGGGGTCCGGGAGTCTCCCCCGTGACAATTTTGAAAGTTGGGTGCAAAATCCTGCATTCTGGGCACTTTTGGCATTGTGCTAAAAACAAGTGATCCGGCCAAAGCCTGACCGGCCGCACCGGCTGCTACACCTGGCCTGAGTAACTAGTTATGCGAATGATTCTCTCAGGGGGTAGCGTATGGGCACTCAGTATACACATTACAGCGGCGCGAGTCAGCGGTTTCAGTGGCTTATGGGCGCTAAGTATACACATTACAGCGCGAGTTAGCGGTTTCAGTGGCTTATGGGCGCTTTATCAGGAGTACATAACCCCCCAGGGGATTGACCACTTGCTGTTCTGCAGAACAGTCGCAGTGGTGACTGGTATGTAACACGACAGGCCCGGCTAGCCACCAGATACTGTATTTCACTCTGGTCAGAATGGATCCAATTTTACCCGAATGTTATGTCGAATGTTATGGACTTTCGATGTCATACTTTCAAGCCCTATTGCCTCCTCATCTGCTTTTGGAAATTGAAACGATTGGATCATGGAAACCGCCATAACAAAACCCTCAGTGAACTGGCAACTAAAAACCTCTGACTGGGTGCAATACATATAATTATTATCATTTCACAGGGCCACCGCAAAGCAATACACTTTGTGATATTGGTGGGCGGCACATTGCCACCAGTAGCCGGAGGCTCATTCTGACATCAAATATCATGGAACAGGCAACATGTCTAATACATTTCTGTGTCTGCGTCTTTTTTTTGTGTTCTTCTTTCTCGAACTAGGACTCACCAATCCCGATCACCCAGTCGTCATTGCGTAAACACTGAAGCGGTAATTCAAAAGCAAAACAACAGACTGCAGCATGAGTTCAGGCCCCGGCACACCCTGGGACGACCCTGAAGTCAATGAGATCCTGAAGGAGGTCGCGCTGCACGTAGACGATGGACTGCTGCGACGCAAGTGCCGCAAGTTCATCACGACGGAGCAGGACAAGAGCCTGAGGAGCATGGCGAACCCCGTCCATCGCAACGAGCATCTGCTGTCAATGTTGGAAGCCGGTGGCGCCCGATCGTTTCAGGCGCTACTCGAAGTGCTCGGAAGCCATGAGATGCCAGTGGGGCAGGAGAGATTCTACAAGAAACTACAGGAGCATTCCATGAAATTCATCGATGTTGAAAATTATGGTAAGGGCACTCTAATTGCGTATACGTATGCGTGCACTGTTGATCAGGTTTTGTATCATGGAGGCATGCATGTATTCTTTGGTAGCGTAACACAGATCTTTCAATGGACAACCTTAGCAAAAAACGTTACTTTGTACCGGTATCACTGGAAGGAAACTTGAAAAATACCGAGATTTGGGTTCGACCTTTAGCAAGATGCATGCTATTTTTAGTACGCTGTTGCCATGAGAATAGCTTATATTTAGTGCGGTACAACCATTTATGGCTCCATATACGCGATACACGGTGAAATGGGTACCCACTACGCAATATTTGGCCAAAAAACGTAAAGGTTATTGCAGCGATAAATCAGCCCCCATAACGGTTTTACGCTGTGTCGATGATCAAGGTACGAGTACCGTGAAAAATAGCGTTATCGTTGCTTGCTAAGGGTGTTTATTGTTCCAGACTAAACCCGAAGGTCTCTTATCCGGGCCCCTTGGAACCGGGCACTGCCCGTATCCCAGATCTGCCTGTAGGTCAAGAAAACTTATTTACTTTAGATCATAAATGCTGAGCTTTCAGCAGCCATCTGTGCGTGATTGTTGCTTTGCCAAGGAGATTCTAAGGGAAGTTTATTGATGTTTTTTTCTGTGCACTGTTGCATTATGCCCCTGTTGGTCTGCAGATCAGGAAGTTCACCGGCTTGTGTACATTGGGTCGTCTGCACCATCCAGTGGACACACTGGAGCTGAGGTTGATTCGAACACGCTTCACCTGCTGGAGATACGCTACTTGTTTGTGCTGACCGGTTCTGGTCTCATCGAGGCCACGCCAACTCAGAACAGTGGTGGCAGCGCTATGAAAGACAGCACTTCAAGGGCCCCTTCACCAGACCAGGCAAGTAGCAGCAGCAGCAGCAGCAGTACTTCAGGTAGAGCATCGGTGGTCGGACAGTCGAGGAGCGGCGCTCCTGAGTCCGCAGCGCGCCGCAGGCACAAGTACAAATCCATACAGGAACAAGAAGAGCTATACGTCAAGCAACGCCTGAACTGTCGCATTGTGCTGCTTACGGGAAACATGGATGCCCTGCTCAATGACTTGTCACGGCAAGGAATTGCCACACCGACGAACATGGCACAGCTGACAAGCATACGACAGTCCGGTATCTACTGCCTAACACCATGCAGTAAGGAGAAGCAGAAGCCAATCTACATGGTTGTCTGTCTGCTATCCGTTGACAATTGTCAATGTCATCAGCAGCTACTGCGGCTTGCCTTACAAATGTCGCGGCACATTGTCATTTACTTTGGACAAGAGAGCCTGCTGAGTGGTCACGCATTTAAGCCAAATGCAACGCTTTCAAATGGACAAGCAGAGCATGAGCGCGATGACGAATTCACCGTTAGGTGCAAAAGCAGGAAAAAGCTATTTCTCGCAGAGGAGGTCAACACCATCCAGCTGCTTGCATCTGTACTCACCGAGTTTCCCATCAACAATAGCATTGAGATATGCCATCATCCTGTGCGTCTCCACTGTGTCCTCAACATTGCCATGGTGGTCTTCAAGAGTGGTGTTCTGGAGCGCTGTCACGACTTCTGCAAGGAGCAGTTCAAGGGCAATCTCTTCTCAAAGCTCCTGTCAACACACGGGCAAGCGAGCTGGCACGTCGAGTCACCTCCATTGGTGCACCTGATAGGCATCTGGCAGAGTGAAGTCTTCGATTTGGGAAGGGCTCACCACTTCACTGTTGACACCACCGACGAGACAGCGTCGTCATTGACGATGAGCGGCGGCGGCAGTAACAGTAACAGTGGTCGTAAAGGCACTTCGGACCCGGGATCAGCGTTGCCGGCATCGGCGCAGGCTCCCCCCTCGCACACGGTGGACCCCCATATAAATCCAATGTGGCTTCACGCAATGTGTGGCTTGATTGTGACTGGTGTGATGCAGTGCCGTTCAGTGGTGGACGCACGCACATGCTCGCAACCCAGGAAGCGTCCGTTTGAAGACACGAAAATCGAAAAGTCCAACAGCGTCAAGGGCTCAGAAGTTTACGGCCAGCAGTCGAGAGGCGCACTTGCAGAGATCAAGGAAGAAGTCCAGCTTGGACTGCTGGAGCGAGTGCTACATGCCTGGAAGGGGCCTGTCCATGTCACGGCTATTCTAGCCAATGGCGAGAGCAGTGATGTGCAACGCTTCTTGAGGGAGTTTTCGGGAGCACCTGTAATAGCAGACTTACACAATGATGGCATCACCGGTTTATTTGCCGTGTGGCAGTTTGCCCACGGAACTGGCATATTGCACGTCTTCCTGCTGTTCAACTTCTCCATGGCGAAAGCTGTGGATAAGCCTGCAATGGCGACACTGGTGTTTGCAGCTGTGGCGCTGTCGAACACATGCCTACTACTAGAGGATGAGCAGAATGCATGGCATGAGAACCTGCACCGTGTCTGCAGAATCCTGAGACTGGCCGTGCCCGAGAAGTCACTCCCGCCGCACAGCGGCAAGCGACGGATGGAGGAGGAGATACTCTCCGGCACGTTGCTCGTCACTGGAGATGCAAACAAGAGCAACGACATGAGTATGTACAACAGGGATGCCGACGACCTGGTCCAGCACTTCTTCAGTGATGTGGTGCCTGTGCACAGTCAGCGGCTTGCCTCAGAAGCAATCAAACTGCTCTCCTTTCCGAAACGATTTTGTGCTCCGGTGTACAAGGAGAGCCACAAGCTGGTGACGTGCATTCAGCTAGTAGCCCGGGCCATCAAGCTAAAGAAGGTGAACTCTCTGGATTTTGAATTGTTCCTGGAGGAGGAGTACCGGCAGTTTCTGCAACGGCTGAATCGTGTAGCACGCTCTGGTCACACGGGCATGGGTACTGACGATGACGATGATGATGAGATGCACATCAAGGCCATCTATGAGGCTCTGACCAAGAACATTACCAAGTTCATCACCAGCATCAGAAACAACAGCAGCGGAAGCAGTGGCAGCGGTAGCAGCCTTGCCGGCGCAGATGATGGCATAGTGGACGGAGCAGAGCCTGTACTATTCTATGTGAGGATAAGCAGGAAGTATTCTGATGTGGTGACTGGAAAGAGTAGCGATCGCAGTGCCAGCCCGGCCAAGATTGACTCTGGTGATGCAGACGCAGACACAAGTCAACCCTGTGATGGAGAGGTATTGGTCATTGAACCGGCGGAGGAACAAATTCAGTACCAGCGGAGGCTCGCAACAACGGCTATCGACTCAACGAGATTGGAGTATACAGCTACCATTGAAAAGGGACAGCAACTGACTGAGCTAACTGATTTCTTTCAGGAAGTGTTCAAGAAAGTGAATGAGGAGCATAGGGCGCGACTGGAGCGAAGGAAGATGGCTGTGTCCAAATGGGTGGATCTGAAGATGGGAGACGGCACAGTGAGAGATTCAACCGCTCTGCAGAGGCAAATGAAATTCTATAAGAGCAGTCTGGAAGCGTCATTTCAAGAAGGGCTGTGTGAGAAACCATGCCGACACAAGTGCCACTTCAAGTGCTTGCTGCCGAAAACAACCGTTGACTTCCAAAGTCACCAGAAGCACGAGTGCTTTACATGCAAGCAGCGAGATGGCCATGCCGAGAATGCCTGCGACCAGACGTGCACGCACCATCAGTGCAGTTCTCCGTGTGATAAACCACACGGCCATGCGTTCCTGGCACTCTCCATGGGAGTCACCATTGACAGTGCCAATTCCATCATCAAGGATCACCTATGTCCAGATCATCTGTGCAAGCATCCGTGCGACTTGCATGCTGACACGACCTGCATGGAGGAGTCTGGCCATGATGGAAGGCAGCACCTCTGCCTGAATGAACACAGCTGCTCTGAGTTCTGTCAGCAGCCAGGTGTTTGTGATGACTCTACGGAAACTCCCGATGGCAGCCAATATGAACGCGTCGAAGCCACGGCAAACGGCTGGCGCAAGAAGTGTGGGCTGTCCATCGCAGTTGGTCGAAAAGAACACGATGGTGCCCACGCATGTGGAACTAGCGCGCACAAGTGTGGCAAGCCATGTCCTGTGTGTGGTCACTGCTGCCGGAAAGAGGTTGGTCACAATGATTCATGCGACACAGAGCACAGCGTGGTGGAGAATGGATTCGCCGATTGGGAGAAGGTTCTGCTTAGGAATCAATCCGGCACAGTGTCAGTAGCTGATCTCTTCCGCCAAAACAACAGTGCAGCTACACCAGGAAGTAATCTCGGTGCTCGCACAGCTGTCACCTCTTGTTTTGACATCTGCAAGTTGGCTGGCCCCAAACATCGGCATTATGATGAACATGATGAGCCAGTTGCTCACTCAGTCTTCTGGGAGAATTCCAACTTTCGAGATCAAAGTTCCCCAGAGGACATTGAGAATTTTGATGGCTGTCTGGAAAGATGCCCGTGCTGTAAGGAGAGCTACTGTGAGGAGTACTTCCAGGGTCATCCAACGCCTACAGCTGATCACAATGTAGATGTGGCCGATGACAGTGCGGTGTTTACATTTATCAGCCAAAGCGGCCATCGGTTCAAATGCAGCAGGACACCGTGCTGTGGTGAGCCATGCCTGCATAAAGTGAAGCCGGACGCCTCGTGGCGCAGCCAAGGCAAGGCGATATTTGTAGCAATTAAGTGCAACAAGGAATGCAAAAGGCCACGGTGCCATACGTCTGAAGCTGGCAGTCCCTGTGACTGTGGCCAGGTGCACGTCTGTGACAAAGAATGTGCCAGTGCCGGCTGCAATAAACCCTGCGAGGAGGAGTATGGAACGGCTCACAAGCCTCATAGCTGCGGCGAACTGAAGTGTAGTGCAACTTGCGTGTACCAAGGAGATAAAAGCCATCTCGATAGCGGCAGCCACAGTCGTAGTGCCAAGAAGAAATGCGACAAGCCGTGTAAGTTGAGTCATTTCCATCATGGCCAGAAATGCTTCTGTGGAGAACACATGTGCAGAAAAAGATGCACAATCCGTCCTGAAGGCCGTTGTCCACTAGCTAAGCAGGGTGGTGGTGCTATTGATGGTGATGATGAAGATGTGTACTGTAAAACGCTATTGACATCCATGGAGGATGAGCACAAGGGGAACTGTACGTTCACATGTGGTGAGGAAAGGGAAGATCACCTTTGCCCCAAAGAATGCGTGAACGCACGGAAAAGAAAGACATCAGTTTGCAAGACACACTGCTCTAAGCTACTATCCCAGCATGCAGACAGGACTCATATTTGTGATGGATGTCTGGAGCAGAGGAAACCAGTTGATGGCAACCAGCAACACCCGCCAATGGACACAAGCATGTTGCCACGTCCCTGTGGACAATTGCAATCCACTATGGGCACCATGCAGGAGAACAGTGAGAGCTCCGCTGTGGAAGCGAACACTAGCATCGATCGGATGGAAATGCAGTCGGGTGATATCGCCACACAGCAAGCATATGACAAAACGCTGACTGCTGTGGAGTCAATCGACCAAGAGCAATCAGCGCGGCTCGACAAAGAATATGATGGTGCAAGCGAGCGGGCACATCCAACCCCGGCATCGGAAACGGGAAGTTCTGAACATGACCTGTCGGATCGTGAACAGGGCTCTGCTATGACGGAAGGTGAGCATGAGCGGTATCAGCCAGGGAGACCAGCACCAGCACAGAAAGACACCACCGGGGACGAACAACCAGCATCGGACAGTTGCCAGCCTAGGGAGGAGAAAGACGCCGCTCAAAATTCCAGCGAGCAGAGTGACATCCAGAGTCACGAGCAAGACGGACACTCTAGCCATGAACCCGTCGCCTGCAGTGAACAGGCATTCTACGACCAAGGCGAAGAAGGGATAGGAGAAGACCCGACACACCAGGTTAGTTATTAGGAAGGCACCTTTTAAAAAGTGCCACGGAACCGTATGGTTATGGCTGGATCATGTTCATGATGAGACGAAATCACAAGAAGTATAAAAACAGGCGGCATTTCCGTTGTTGAAAGCATGTCCGAATACGTACTTCCTCAGAATGCAAAAAAAACTCCATGGCTTTTTATTTACATTCAAAGAAGTCGCTGTGCCATAAACATTTGTTCCAGTGGAGCAAAAAACACTTCAAAACTGGATGGAAATACTTTTGAGTCTCGCTCGGAGTCACCATAGCTCCAGTAGGCTCCGGGCTCAGGGCTGGGGAGTCCCTGCACTATGACGGAGGATGCACTCATGGATCCATGTTTGTATTGTATATTCCAAGGAAATTGAACAAAAAGTAGCTCTGGATTTCTCTTTTAGTAACTTAGTGTTTTACCTGTTACAGACCAAATGTACATGTCTATGTCCGGGCCGTGTTGCTGTAATTGTCTGCCTTGCCCAGATGCCATCAGATGGAAGTGGCAGTGAAGCAGATGACAGGCAGCACTTGCTTGGTTAAAGCAAAATCAAGGTAAGATGCTGTGCATCTTGTGTGTGTGTGTGTGTGTGTGTGTGTGTGTGTGTGTGTGTGTGTGTGTGTGTGTGTGTGTGTGTGTGTGTGTGTGTGCGTGTGTGGTGGGGGGGGGGGGGGGTATGGGGTATGTGTGAGTGTGCCAGCTAGTTTGGATGGTGGGTGCCCTCACACCAGATACTGGCTGGGGTCTATTGCCATTAGGCTCGGCTGCTTGAAGGTGTGTTGTTGTACAGTCCACCTTTGTTGCCGTCAGGCAGGCGCGAATGAATGATGTCATGGTGGTGAACTAGCGGTACCGCTTATGGGTACTACTTATACAGCGTGAGTCAGCGGAATCACTTATGGATACTATGTATACACCAGGAGTCGCTAATGAGTCGCTAGTGCATCGCTATGCCACGACGTTGCCAAAGCATCTCAACTGATGGTGTCATCGCATAACCTCTATACTTTGTATTAAACGTATATGGTATTGACCAATGGGCTACTTCTGGCTAGATTTTCAGTTCGCTCTGATTAAGCCAACCACACTACATTTTTAGTATCAAATATTACTGTCACTTGGGCCAGAGGAAAATGCGTTGCTGCCTTCAATTCTTTTCTGCTCCTTATCCTTGGCCTCTTACTGTTGTGTGGTAAGCCCATACATGTAGGTGAGACTATTTCTAAGTCTACCAAGAGTCTGAGGATTTCAGGTGTGTGAGCCGTTGGGTGGTTCTGTAGCTACTAGAGTCATTATTCTTCCCAATGATCCCTTACGAATCTCTCACCATTCTTCTGGGGAGACCCACATGACCCACATGGCCGGTTTCTGGCGAGCAAGTGCAAGTCCATGTGTATGTGTGTGTGTGTGTGTGTGTGTGTGTGTGTGTGTGTGTATGTTGTGTAATCAATGGTGCTAGTGACGCTTATATCAGATCCACTCTGATTTAGCCACCCACACTAGTAGCAAGTATTACCTTCACTGGGGGCAGGGGTAACTGCAGTTGGATCCCGGGACGGATACCCTGATGCCGTCAATCCTTTTTCTGCACCTTGTCCTCACCCACTTACTGAGGTGTGGTGAGCCCATAAGTGGGATCATTTTCAAGTCCACCCAGAGTTTTGGGGATCTCAGGGGGTGTCGGCCGTTGGGCGGTTCAATAGCCAATTGAGTCATCTTTCCAAGATTCCTTTTGAGTCTCTTTCCCCTCTCCGGGGGAGACCCACGTGACCAGTTATGGCAGTGAGCAACAAGTACAAGTGTGTGTGCATGCGTGTGTGCATGCATGCGTGCGTGTGTGCGTGTGCCAGCTAGTTTGGTTGGTGGGTAGTGGCTTGGTCTGCTGCCATCAAGTTCTGCTGCTTGAGGTTGTGCTATTTTATAATCCACTTTTCAGTTGGTTCAGGGCCCAACTACTACTTGCATGTAGACCTATTTGAAGTATGCACAGTATCACTGAATTAAAAATGCACCTATTGGGCAACGGGATACTTCTGGCTAGATGAAGTTGTGTGTAATAAATGATGCTACAGGCACATCGCAGCGACTTTGGAGGTGGGGCGGCCATGGAAGGGGGGGGGGTCCGGGGCCCTCCCCCGGGAAAAATTTCAAAAATTGAAGCCAATTGCAAGCATTTGGTGCCATTTCAGTGTAGTGCAATGAAAGACTTTTTTGATTCTGCAATAAACCATGATCCGGGACAAGGATTCTTCATTATCTGCCACGTTTGGGCTGAGCTGCAATCTTCGCGTCTACAAGGAAGATTATAGTTGCAGTGTGCTCCAAAAAAAAAAAAACGGCCGAAAAAGTGGGGCGGCCTCAGCCGGCTGTGACGGCCTTGTGCTAGTGTAGACCTACCGACTTCAATTCGCCTGTGTTAGGGAGATCTCCCTCCAGGTCACAGTGGGCTGCCATTAAGGAGGCGACCTCCCAACTTGTCAAGTAGGGGGGGGGGGGGGAGGGAGGATGGGCATGCTATGTAAGCATGTTGACCATGCATATCATAGAAAGAGTGCCGCCAGCAGTCACACTACCATGTGCACCTCTGTACTATATGTATGGTTAGCATGCTTGCCTCAAAGTCTGTCCTGAAAAGGGACGTGTGCAATTCTTTTCGGGAGATAGGGACATGCTTCAAAAGCAACCATAAAACCGTGAGATCTCCCACCTGATACGGGGAGATTTGACAGCTCAGCCAGTGCATGCTGTTCGTGTGCACTGTGAACTTCCTGTGTACCAGTGTCCACTGCAGCGGATTTCAAGTCCACTACACCCTACAGTGCTAGTTTGCCCGTCAGTTGGATTCACGCCGCAGTGGCTCAGGGACGCAGTGCTATCACGTTATGTCCAATCATACAACGTCATGGTATGCAGAGCCGGAGACTTCTATTTGCAAGATTTTGGTGTAACACTATTGCTTCCTATGTGTTACGCTACAGTGTGTGTGTGCGTGCGTGCGTGCGTGCGTGCGTGCGTGCGTGCGTGTGTGTGTGTGTGTATGTGTGTGTATGTGTGTGTGTGTGTGTGTGTGTGTGTGTGTGTGTGTGTGTGTGTGTGTGTGTGTGTGTGTGTGTGTGTGTGTGTGTGTGTGTAACTGAGGTTATGTGGTATCCTCCACCGAAGGCTGGACATGCATGACCATGCTACCATGGTTATTTCCATTGTAGTAGGCACTTATGCACTCTGTGGAACACACACACACACATAAATACACACACACACACACACACATAAACACACACACACACACACACACATAAACACACATACACACACACACACACGAACATGCACACACCCGTGACACACGAACACGCACACACACATGAACACACACGTGACACACACACACACACACACACACACACACATGCACACATATACCTTCATTTCACATTTTGTTGTTATTGGCAGTCGTTTGACGAGCCAGAAAAATGTTGAATAAATACAAACAAACAAAAAATTATTAATGCAAACACAATACTATAGTTGCCTGATGATCGTAGTAATACGTGAAACTCAGACTTGTGACAAAGCTTCCAATCTCTCTTGTGTACAAACACAATACGCATACATGTACATACCCACACAACAAGCTACACATACTCGTACACACATACACTGCATGCATACACTCTTACATTCTTCATGGCTGCATTATGAATGAACCTCGCGGTGGTGGCTTATGGTTTGGCTTTGAAGAAGTTGCACTCGACCAGCGGATAACACCCCCCCCCCCCCCCTTCCCCGTACTTGCACATACCAGGATGACACACAGACCCCACCCAAGCATTTCAATGTGCCCGGGTGACACTAGGTTAGTTTGCACCCGATAAGCTGCAGCCTGCACTGTGCAGCTGCTGTTTTGGTCAAGTTTTTACTTTGAAGTACCACTTTTAACATTGGCTTTAAGTTAAGGATAGGATTTTTACCGTGCCTGATGTGATTCGGCTGGTCTCCTAGTGTTATTTTGCACCACTCCCCTTGTTCTAATTCAGCTTTGATTCACAGTGTTTCAACGATGATCATTGTGTGCCAAATCCACTGGTTAACTTTGATGTTTTATGCATGCCCATTGCTCTGCCTGCATGGTAGTTTGCAACCTACGTCATTTGTGACAAACTACGAATGTTTGTAAGCCATGCTTCTTCACAGCATAACATTATTATCTCTACACGTATGCCTGTGGTCACGGATGCTGCATATTGTGCGTTGGTGCTCCAGAAGTTGTGCGGCTCTTGTGCTGTGCACTGACAAGTTAAATCAGACCCTAAAATAGTTACCAATGACCTTCTTACTTGCTTGTGGCACAACGGTTTTGTGCTTATGATCCTGTGAGAGCCTCACGGACATCATCGGTATTATTAATTATTATTAGTCATGCATTGCAATCCGTGCAGTGTTTTCCAGCTTTGCAGAGGAGTTGATTCCGTAGTAGTAAACGTGTGTGTTTGCGAGTCACTGAGCCTGTGATTACAAGAGGTGGCTTTTTTGTGCCCGTATGCTGACTTGGGATGGTTTTGATTGCCAGTATGTGCATGTACCATTGTGAATTTGTTAATAAATACAGGTGGTACTACGGTACTACTGTTAGGTTATTGCAGACTGAGCAATGATGGTGACAGCCTGAACTAAAAGCACTATACTAAGTGACACTGAGCTGCTGTGTGATTGTTGGTTGCATCTTGGAGTTGCTGGACTGTTTATAGACTTTCTACTGGCTATTGAGTATTGTTGCAACCATCATTTCCAATCAACAATGGGTCTTGCAATGCTCCTCTGGCAGGCTCATGAATTTGTAGTCAGGTGACTTGCCTTCGTAATAGTACTAGTACTCGTCACTAGGGATCCTGCAGAACGCCGGCCAGGAGGCCCCGAAGCCCGTTATGCCAACTAACTACTTATGCAAGTAATGGCGAGCCGACGGATAGCCGCCGGTCGGGCACGTGAGCTCATGAGGGCGTGGTGGGTAGTCATGGACTTCCCACACTGCCGATGGTCGCATACACTATCCAGTGGCAGACCATAGCGTATGCATAGCGCATCTCTGAAGTCCTACTTTTTCAGCACGCATACCACTCACTATCTACCATACAACCGTCTGTAGCAGGGCTATGATCATGTGGGCGTAGAAATGAAGGCTAGCCGGCTACACAACCATGGTTGCGCACTGCTGTTGTACAATGGTAGACCTACGTAGAAAACAAAGCAGGCGGCCATGTACCTGTACCTGTACTGCTGTAGATTATACCGGTTGAACCATTTGGAGTAGGGCTCAAACGATTAGTCCGATTAACCGGTTGCAGACCGGTTACGAAGAATTAACGGTTAACCGATAAAGATAACGGTTACGCAGTAACTTTTCAGTCAATTTTTCAAGTATCAGGTCGTTGCAAAGTGTGCACTTTCGCGGGCTGTCGCACCCGTACGCAATTTCTGGGCTGTCAACTCGGTCATATCTGGTCTCTTGGTGTGAGAGTATGTATGAATGAGCATGCAAGGGAATGTACAAGTGTGCGTTGTCCTGAATAGGGTACATTTTTTGAATGAGTATAGTCAAATATACGGTTAAAAAAGAGTCCGCAGGATTGCCGTGGCTTATAGGTTATAACCGGTTAACCGACCGTTAGCTTAGCAGTTAATCGTCAGGGGTAAAACCGTGACCGTTTGAGCCCTAATTTGGAGCCTTCACCGATTATTATCATTAGGCCAAACTAAAGAAGGTGTGTGGTTCGACTAACATGGACATTTTTTTTACGGGCGGGCGGGCGGATTTTTTATATTTTTATATATTTTTTAGTACATGTAAATACACTGTACTGCCTTTAGACACCCAGTACATCGGCATTATTACGCAGTGTTATGCCATACATGTTGTATAAAGGGATCACTGGCTAATACTTTGAAACATTGTGTAGCTCTGGAACGAGAAGAGAATAACTTCAAGCGGTGACTCTGACTGTCCAAATCATCAAGCAAATGAAGAACGATGCGAGTTGAAAGTAAGTTCGGGAACTACTTCGAACTCAATCGAAGTACAAATTGTACAATGTACCGGTACATGACTGTATTGTATTGCTAGTTTGGTGTCGGCGTGCACGAATACATGGGCTTTTTCCATCGACGCTTCCTGTGCTTGCACACATGGAGCAGCAACTTACCGGTACAGGTGAAATATCGTTCCCAATACACGAGGAAAGTGCAATCTCGTCTGTCCTTCATCCCAAAACAGAAGGCCATCCTTAATCTGGAACGAGGCAATCACTCTCAACCGGACGGTCACTTCAAAATAAGTCTCGCCAGTCTGCCGGTGGTCGTATCGAGTAGACTCTACTACCGGTATGGCCAGCACAAGGCAGCAGTCGTACCACTCACTGCATGCACTGCATGCAGTACAACTACAGTCAGTACTACAAGTCAAGTCCAAAAGTTGCCGCCTGCGTCCGCAGACTCACGCTGCACAACACGTAGACGTGGACGTGTTCAGTCCACGTCAGTCACACGACAGCCCGCCGAAAAAAAGTTACGGTCGGGCTGAAAAATGTACGGTTGGTCGGGTGAGTCGAACCACACTCGGACCTTCTTCAGTGTGGCCTTATCATTATTTTTCCACCGATACTGGAAAAGCAGAAGGTTTCAGTGATGACTGGGGGGCACTAGTGAAAGAAACCATGGCAGTCCTTGTTGACAGTCAGATTCCTGTAAAACTATGATAGGTAATGATTGGTTCTTGAGTGTTTTCGTGCAGGGCTTTGTCGGTTACAGACTTTGTCATGATTACGATAACACTGCTCATTTCAACTAATGTTTAAAATACTTTGAACTGGTACTTTTCAATGAGCAGTGTTGTGACGTGATCGTGTGACGGCTAGCGACAGGTTGTGGCGTGCGGTTTCGCGTTAATTTCCAACGCCGGATAGGCCGCGGCATTATTGCGGCAAGGTTCCAAATAACTTTCTATCTAAAAATCAATAATTGCTAATGATTGGTTCATGAGTGTTTAGGTACAGGTATAGCCTTCAGCAATACTGTATCATCATTCCATTTTTGCTTTGGTGTAGCCCTGAGGTTGATTGCTTATTTATTTCTACCCTTCCTCTCTCCATACTTCTGTCCCCCCCCCCCCCCCCCTCTCTCTCTCATTCCTTCTGTCGTCCACATGTATCAAAGGAGGCGAAATCGCCTGTTTGTGGTGCGACGTTAAATAAACTTCTACTACTACATACATACATACATGATTACGATAATAATTATGATCAGTTTTCAACAAGCAGTATTGTGCTACGGCTAGCGAGTAGCGACAGACTGCGGTGCGTGGTTTCCCGTATTTAGACTCTATCTCGACATAATTATTTCCAATGATTAGTCGTTATTGCAGTGAAGTTCCAGCTAACTAACTTGTCTGCTAAGCCAGTGTCTCCCCCCTTCTGTGGTGGTGTTATATGCTGCCCTGTTTCCGGGTTATAAGTTATTGTCAAAATAATTATCGCTCAACCGTAGATCTACTCCATGGTTCAGAATAAAAATGCAGATGGTAGATCTACGATTCGTACCATAATACATCATGTGTACATGCACTTGGTGCAATGTATACAGCTGAGCTATCAATGACCCGTGACCATGGTGACAGTAGATCTACCATCTTTGCCAACATACATGTACCGGTTGTGCTCGGATCCGCCAGCCTTCATGAAAAATCCCAAAGCTTCGTTTGCGTTTACCAGTAGACTCTTTTCGAAGAACTACAATGTGTGCGTTTGTGTGTGTGTGTGTGTGTGTGTGTGTGTGTGTGTGTGCCGGAGTATGTGGTGTGATGTGTGTGCGGGAAAAAAAAATGAAAAGACCAAAAATAGGGATTCACTGGCCAGAAAAAGTCACTTCAAATAGCTGTATGGTGTAGACCAGGCTGAATAGTGACGATCAATTCTTCAGCCTTGCAAGCTGTTGAATGGTGCAATCCCAGCACAAGTTGCAATGGCTTCTGCCGTAGCATTGCTATCATCGCCTCCGGCGATGGGCGTCAAAGGTCAGGTGTGTGTGTGTGTGTGTGGTCTCTCTCTCTCTCTCTCTCTCTCTCTCTCTCTCTCTCTCTCTCTCTCTCTCTCTCTCTCTCTCTCTCTCTCTCTCTCTCTCTCTCTCTCTCTCTCTCTCTCTCTCTCTCTCTCTCTCTCTCTCTCTCTCTCTCTCTCTCTCTCTCTCTCTCTCTCTCTCTCTCTCTCTCTCTCTCTCTCTCTCTCTCTCTCTCTCTCTCTCTCTCTCTCTCTCTCTCTCTCTCTCTCTCTCTCTCTCTCTCTCTCTTTCTCTCTCTCTCACACACACACACACACACCACCCCTAGAAGTGTCTTCCTTTTATACCTTCATCCCCACGTGCTCAGTTTCACCTCCACACGCTCTCGCAGTCTCGGGATGTCGAATATACCCATGTGTGAATATCCATGTGTGAATATACCCATGTGTGAATACCCTTTCAGGCCCTAGGGCCTGAATGGGTACACACATGGTAGGAGAGCATGAATGATCACGTGATGGGATGTAAAGCGCGGTGCATGGTAGTAGACGTGACTGGCAGGGCATGATCAGAGGTTCAGCCCCAGCCTGTGAGCGCTCTGATTGGGTCAAACCGTGGCAACGATCACGTGGCAAGTGTGAAGTAGCTTTCATGGCTGGGATTGTTGGTATGTCTGTTGGCTCTGGGTTCCCAGTACTCAGTTGCCGAGGCTGGTTGGTAAAGTAATTTAGTTCACTTTTAAATTACCAGTGCATCTGTAGTGTCTGCTTCTATCTAAGAAGCGTGCTGTCTATACAGGTTACCCCACCAAGTGTAGGGTGGACATAGGTAACTGTCTCGGCCGTCTGAATTCTTTCTGGAATAATCCTTGGCTCTCCACCAGAGTCTATCTATGCACGCATACTTCGTAGATTCGGACAACAGTCAACAGCTGTTTGACACGCTGTGACGGTAAGATAACTTCACGCTCCTTGCGTGTGACAGACACATCCAAACAGTCAACACACTTCGTCAGGTCGTGATCGTGACAAACTGTCCACACTGTAGATTTTCGTGGACGCGACCGCCTCCTATCCTGAGGCTGTCCTCTCAGCTAGCGCTAGCGCGCGAGACCGCGAGTCGACAGACAACGATGTTTCAGAATGTCCGCGGTCGAGCCTCGAGTGCAGTTCTGCAGAAAACGTGCGACACGTACCTGGCCTATTGACATGTAGTCTACCCTGTTTTCGTTACCAAATGCGGTGTAGTACTGGCCATGCAAAGGTGAAAACCAGGCACGCGTTACGAGTACAAAGTACAGTGTTTTGGCATTGGAAATGTATTGTAGACATCCATCGGCACATCCTTGGCATGCATATTAGTCTGTCTGCACGGTTTTCCCGGATGGACATAGTGAGTGTAAACAAGCCGAAGTAAGTAGTTAGATGAGCAGCGGTTACGGCGCTATACATTGCTGAAGTCACTGCGTGACTAGGCCGCCATGGGCCGGCCCAACGCCCAACGCCCAACGGACCTGGTAGATGTATGTCAAACAGAAGGTCTCTGCACACACGCACCGAGACAATCACCATGTCCATGATCACATGGTCTACATTTTGTAGAAAGTAGAATCTAGATGTAGCACTGGCACTAATTGGCAGCAAGCTCCGATAAATATTTCGCCTTTCTCTCGCTACCTTTGCCGCTTTGGCTCTGGGGACGTAGAGATCTAGTATTGGCAAGGACTCAGATGGGTGACCAATGAATGCCATCGGCATCATGCCATGGTTATGATTGTGCCTGCCCGAGCGCGCTGTATTCATCGCGCACAAAGTCGTCGAAGGTAAATCACCGCAGAGAGACTCGATCCCAGAGCTTGGTCCAAGACGGATAGCCCGGCCTGGCTCACGCTTCGAGCAAAAGCCGCGGAGTGCAGCCTGGCGCGCACTCGAGCAGGTGGTAGAGAGACTCTATAATACTGTGCGGTCGGTGAAGAAAGATTTCAGTTCACTTCTGGGTCACGTTGTGGAAGATAGACGCGAGGCGGACTACTACTAACCTTACCCGTGTTGCCACTGCACTTGACGGTGGCTGGTACTCCTCCATTGATCTACCCGCGCTGCAAGGGATATGTTGTTGTAGGTTCTCGTGTGCTGGACTACCGCGCTCAGCTAAAGCTAGTTACGCTCCGGGGTTGTCGGCTTCAGCCTTCACCGGGGGCAGAAGCTGAACCTACAATCTTGTGCAGTCCGAGGTGCAGTCGTGAAGTTAATTTCCGCGTCAGGTTTGCATTCACCTATTTCAACCGAGCAGCTTACAGCAGCTCATTTTCCTCCTCACGTTGTGGAGTTGTACATGTAGCTCCATGTCGACCCACAACTTCTGGAATTCTCTCACCGTTACAGCTGTCCCACTAACCGGTCCGGTCCGGCATTGGCGTTCTGGTGCATTAAATAGTGACTGACGACGGATAGTGTCTGGCCTAGATCGCTACTCACCGCCTGGTCCACTCTCACCAGGCGCTATCCTTGAACTGTCTGTCCAGCCGTGTATCTGCCCACTGGCACTGACTCACCAGATCTCAATTCCGCCAATCAGGCTGGCGGCCACAGAAGCTGGTCCCATTTCCATTGCAGTCTGCGGAAGATTCGGAGTCGAGCTTGATCATTCCGACAATACATGATTGTAGTCAAAGCATCACAGCAGATCGAAACGGAGTAGTTGCGCTGCACCAGCCAAGGCGCGAGGAAGGATCCTGGGGAATTTGGCCGTTCATGTCATGTGAATTGCAATGCAGGTCAGTTTACGGTTATAAGTATCCCATACCTCGTAAGTTTCTTCATTGCTGCTAGGGAGATGTTGCTACTAGGAGTTGGTGTCTAATCATAATTATTTCAATTTGAAGCTTCCAAACAAGCGGAGGTTCCCAATACTAAAATAGGAAAGAAGCAAATTAAAGGAGAAGTTAAGGCAAAAATCAAAATATCACCAGTTGTAGTCTTCGGGGTGCTGAGTCGAATGGTCGTGGTCTGAGAAAGCTGAGACGCTCCCTTCCTACTTTAATCCCAATTGAACTCGCGCACTTCCACCGAAACTGGGTGACTGCGCCCTACTAGATGGGGATTTGTATGCAAAATGTCACTAAAAGCGCCATTTCGTTCTTATAAAAGCATGGATGACCGCGATTGGCCCATATGTTGTAGTCTTTTGGACGCTGAGTCGACTGGTTTTGGTCCGAAAAGGCTGCGATGCAGCGTTCCTCCTTTATTCCCAATCGAACATGGTTGAACAAGCGGTCACGTGCTCCTGCGTACACCAGTCACCTGATCACCGTGCCTGCAGGGTACAACTTACTAGCCTGTTTGACCTTTTTTGGGTGCAGTCTTGTCACTCGAGTTGAACTCGAGTTGAACCTTGGTGTGAAAGTTGTCGCTCTCTCCCTCTCCCTCTCTCTCTCCCGCTCCCTCTCCCTCTCCCTCTCCCTCTCCCTCTCCCTCTCCCTCTCCCTCTCCCTCTCCCTCTCCCTCTCCCTCTCCCTCTCCCTCTCCCTCTCCCTCTCCCTCTCCCTCTCCCTTTCCCTCTCCCTCTCCCTCTCCCCTCTCTCTCTCTCTCTCTCTCTCTCTCTCTCTCTCTCTCTCTCTCTCTCTCTCTCTCTCTCTCTCTCTCTCTCTCTCTCTCTCTCTCTCTCTCTCTCTCTCTCTCTCTCTCTCTCTCTCTCTCTCTCGCTCTCTCTCTCTCTCGCTCTACTGATGATGTTGAGCCACATGGCCTCACTGGCAGCCAGCACCAGCATAACTCCAAATTCTGTGCCCTGTGTGTGTAGTATAGGCCAATGATTACTTATTATTTTTCACATATTTTATTTCGTATTTCCTGCTCCTGTCCACGTGACGAATCTCTGGCCTTGTAAGCTGTGGGCATGCTCACGTGTTTCTTGCCTTTCTCTCTCTTCGCCTCCATGACAAGTAACATTAGTTTTACTATCGATATGAACAGTTTGAGTGTCTGATGAAACCTGGGAATAGTCTGGTATTACTATTAGGAAAGGGAATCCTACATGTGTTTGTGTACTTCACAGCGGTCTAGCAACTGCATATGCATGCAGGATGTGGGCTAATGTGTAAACAGCAAAAAAAACATTTTGAAAATTGAATGAAAAGTTGAAAACATTTTTCAATTGTTCTCGTGTAAACAAGCCCTAAGCCAAGTATTCTCTCTAACATGTCAATGTCATGTCATGTTCTTCTTGTGTTCACATTCACATTGCGTACAACTGCAGCAATATGCCACGGACACTATTTAATGCTAACTCCTGGTGGTGACAATAATTGCGAGTGCATTGTAACTATCATCTAGAGAGGTAAGCCAGTACCGCGGCCTACACGCATGTGCCTGACCTGTATTTTTTTTAGTAATTTTGTGCACTGAAGAAAAGGATGTGTGATAAACCAATTGAGTTTACTATTACGAACGATTTGGCAGGCAGGCATAGTGGGATGGTCTAAGACCATGATTGAGAAACAGAGGGTACCAGGTTCAAGTCCTGCTATGGAAGCGGAAGGATTTTTCCAGCCGTGCTGTGACCCACAGTTACTGAGGAACTCGTGGCCTGGCACGAGGAGAACATGGATGCAGTGAATGGGATTTTCGGTCGACCATTTGCTGGTGAGCTGATCTACTCACCTCCCACCGCTTTAGGAGCTGCATCTGCGCCTTGATCCTTGAAGGGTGGTGGCGTTCCTACGGATGCGGAAAACTCGGTTTCCAGCCGAGTCTCACGCAAGCCGTGAATTTTTGTTTTATTTTTACAAACGATTCTCCCTATCCAGAGACGAGGTTTTAAAACTTGTCACCAAACACAACCAAAAACGAAGAACAACGCCTCAAAAGAATGAGATACGCCAGTTCAGTCCTTCTGCATGCGTTCATAGAAGTCATGTGGAGTACAAATAAGCTGGGGTGCATATGAGGGCACAGTGCGCACGATAGGCGTGAATAGATGTACTGTTACACACACACGCGGAGAACAGTACATGCGTACATAACGTATACAATCATAATAATATAACACACCCGTCCGAGATCATAATGGACTAAAAAGCCAGACAGTACGATCTATACATACTTCGGGGAAAAACGGAAATGTGGAATCAACAAACTGAATAAACTTCAATATGAAAAGGAACAGTGTCATGATGGGCCACACGCATGAGACTAGTGCAAGCAATGATCAAGCAGAAGACTGTCCTTGTGTTGACGACATGTTAAAACGATCAGGAGCACGGCGAGTGTGGGTGCTGTGGCGGGGTGCTGCAACACTGTCAACAACAGGAGCAGGTGCAGAGGTATCATCTGCAGGAGTGCGGCGGTCAGGAACCAACGAGACATAGGAACGTAGAAAACGGCGATTACGCCAGAAGACACGTCCACTGCAGAGCTTGACATAGTAGTCACGATCTGTGCCGATCGCAACAATGACGCCTCTGGCTGCCCACCGTTTCGTCCGACGGTGGATCTTGAACGTCAACATGCATGCCGAGAGTGAACCGGGAGAATGGGCGTGGCTGAGGCGGTCCAGCATCAGGAGCTTAGCTGCCTGCGCTTTCCACTCCGTTGCAAAGGATGATTGATGCACCAGCATAAAATGACGGTAGCGGACGACCGAATAGAAATTAGGCCAAGACTGGGTCCGGACTGACCGGGGGTGTTACGCCACTCCAGTAGGCCACGTTGGAACGCGTCGGTGTCCAAGATAGTGAAGACACAATCGTTAGTGGTCTTCGCAATCAGATGTTTCATAGCCTTAACAGCGGACTCGGCATGGCCATTTGATTGCGGGAAGTGCGGGATTGATGTGATGTGCTCCATCTGCCAACGGTCGCGATGATGCATACTGCGGACCACCGTCGGTTAAGATTACACTGGGAACACCAACAACTGTAAACCAGCGACGAAGTGGCTGTGCAGCCTATCTTTGCGACACACAGCCAACCGGTGAATCGATCTACCAGCACAAGGCATTCCCAGCTCTGGCAATGGAAGAGATCAGAGCTGACACTCTCGAACGGCATTGATGGTTGATGGACACTCTGCAGTGGTGCGTTTGGCAAAGATGGCTGGAACTCGTGACAGGGCTGACATGCACGGACAAGGCGGTCAAGCTCAGAGTTCATTCCAGGCCAGTACGCAAGTTGATGTGCACGGCGCTTGGGGTGTTCAAAGCCTTGGTGTTCAGCATGTCGATCTTGAAGCACTGATGCACGTAGAACAGCAGGTACGACGATGCGATGCCCCTTCAGTAGGCCGACGGAGTTGACAGATAGGTGTTCACGTCCTTTCCAATAGGGCTTCAAATGCCGTGGAAGGTCAGAACAGGAGCATGGCAAGCCGGCAATACCATCTGTAAGAGATCTTGATACTCAGAGTCCGATGCGTACACATCTTGGAGCTTGGCACAGCGTGACGCTGACAGCGAACCAGAGTCAGCAGCATGGATACACGCACGCATAGTGCAACCAGATGGCAGGTCGTCTTCTCCAAGCAGGTCAGATGCTTGTGGGTCGGAGACGGGTACTCGAGACAGAGCGTCGGTGGCATAATGCAGTTTGCCTTGTATCCAGGAGGCATGGGACTGGTATGGCCGAAGCTTCAGCAGGAGACGCTGCAAACAAGGATTCTCGACCTGATCCAGGCTATACACGTATTGAAGATTGGAATCAGGGGCTGGTGGTCTACCAGTACGATTAGGTTGAATCTGATGGAGGTAAGGTAAAGATGGCACTTGCGTACAGCCCGTACAACAGCAAGACATTCGGGCTCTATCATAGCGTAGCGGGTTTCAGTGTCCGTGATAATGCGGCTACCACTCTGGACGAGGTGCCAGCCGGAAGGATGCAGTTGGAACAGTGCATGGCCGAGGCCTTTCGTGCAGGATGCATCTGTTTCCAGGCGTGCTTCCAGACCAGATTGCTAACACGCCAGAACAGGGGGCTCGACCAGAGCATTCTTCACGCAGTGGAACGCACCGGTGTACGGCATTTCCCAATGGAAAACAGCAGACATCTTCAGCAGACCACAAAGCGGTGTCGCAAGCTCGGCGATAGCAGGTGTGAACTCGGCAAGCTGATTCACGAGGCCCATGAAAGATCGGAGATCAGTATGATTGGTCGGGATGGAGAATTCACGGATAGCTGAGAGCTTAGCGTCATCGACAGTCCGACCGTCAGCATTCAGGACGTTGCCGCAGAACTCAATCTCGGTAGCAGCAAAGACAAACTTGTTCACGCTGAGGGTTATGCCGTGCACGTACACACACAATAATACGCACTGGACACGTACTACATGGTAACGAAGGTCATTATCGTAGACGAGTCGACGACTTTTATGAAGTTGGTGATGTTGTCGGATGCAGTATACACAGCACGCTGCGCTGATAGTAGCAGACACTAGATGCACTGGTACCTTGATGTGAAATTGGAGTTACTTTACCAACCACACGCATGCACACACGCGCACGCGTGCACACACATACACACACACACACACACACATACACACACACACACACACACACACACACACACATAATTATACGAAATAAACTGCCATGGATCCTTGCTAGCCCAAAACGCTACTAAAGTAACGTCTTTTGCATAGCTACCTATGGGAATAAATGAACATCATTAGCCTGAAGTGGAGACCTCACTTCTTTGGTGCCGATGTTACCGTATAGGCATGAGCAGCTGTAGTTTTGCATCTACTGTACTGAATGTGGCAGAGGAACACCTGCGCAGAGGTTGTCTACCACTGAATACGACCAAACTCTTGGAAGAGATCGCTCATTATACATAATTATATCATTCTAGCATGGAAAACCACTAGCTTGGGAATGACTCGAGAGGAAATCAGCTTCCCTCTGTTGATCCCCAACTGAGAACTGTCATACTTAGTACAGCACTACTTCTGTGTGTGTGTGTGTGTGTGCTCTTATGCATGCATTACAGGCCAGGACCTTCTTACCCCCACGGCAAAGTAGTCATGTCGGTGTGGGATGATCGACAAGTGCAGCTGGCACTGGGTGAAGTCAGAGACAAGATGGACAGCCACTGTGATGAGTTGCGAAATGATTGCATGTCCAGGCAACTGATTGACCGGGTTCAAAATAACACTCTACGGTGCATGAAAAATCCTCGAGATCAACTGGAGCACCTCATCTCAATGCTGGCAGCTGGCAGTGGACAGTCGTTTCAGATTTTCCTGGAAATCCTGAAGAAACAATGTCATAATGTAAAGGGCAAAGAGGTTATTTACGATAATTTGGAGGCTGCATCATCCCAATACGTCAGCACCAGCACATACGGTAAGCAACACTTTCATCACGTCTTTAAAACTCATCTTTGGGTGAATTCAAATTGGCTCAATGATTGAAGATCGTCTTGCACCTGCCCCACATTTGAGGGCCGCCTGCACAATTCTCTTTTCTCTGTACAGTCAACTTTGCTAATAACGACTGCGGATATAACGACAATTCGAGAATAACGACAGAATTTTCATGCCTAGAGCAAAGTCCCATCTAACTGCAATACATATAATAAGACTTCGGGTATAAGGACTCTTGGCGAATAAGGACACTTCTCTGATGCCCCGCTGAGTGTCGTTATATGCAAAGTTGACTGTGCATCTCTGACTATCGGAGTCAGTCACTGGAGCTCACATTTTCTCGAATTACCTGACACTTGACTGACTCACAATTGACATCCGAAGCATACGAGGAGAGCACATCAAACCGTCCACTAAGGTAACCTGCAACACAGCACCGAGCCTTGCTCAGTGCACAGTGTTTCAGAGTATCCACCCATCACTAGTTGAGCTTGAGTTGGCTCAGTAAATTTGTGCTCCTAAATCAGCTTTCTATGGCGTACATGTATACATTCAACAATGTTATTCGCAAAATATCAGGTGTCGAATCAGGTTAAGTTAGTTCATCCAGGGCTATGGCCGTATCTCACGAACTCATCCAACTGCTGATAGTGGTCGCGGAGCACTTAGACCTCATGCTGCTTTCTTATATTGAGGCTAAGGGACTAATCTGTAGCCATGCAGCGCCCCGCCCGCAGCGGGGATACGAGGCCAGACAGAATAAATGAGTTAAGTCACGAATAGGTGTCTATCGACAAAATTGGTTAGTCAGGTGCGACCTGCGACATGTTATGACTCCAGTTCTACTTCGGCAGTACCCCAGGGACACATCTAGCTCAAGATCACGAAGATGGCTTGTATGCATCCACAAAACATTTTAGCAGCCAAGGCTACGCATGTCCATGCGCTGAAAACTGCACTTGCCTTGTCTCTGCGCGCAGAGTACATAATCATTGACCATCGCAAGTCAGAAGCACAGTTGCGTACAGTCGGGATCAGCCCAGGGAGCCACATACTGCGATCGTGAGAGTCAAGTGACCTACTACGTGCATATGCATCCTCGGCTGATGTGCACCGTACAACTAACGTTACCATACCTGTGCAGCAGTGTATGCATTCCAGCTTGCCATGCAAGTTTCACAGTCACTTTGTGCAGGAGATAATTTCAGCTATTTTCGAACAACAATGACAGCTTTTGCCATCAGCACAGAATGCAGGGAATGGCTTTAGTGAACAAGAGCTGTTGTGTCGTCAGCTAAAAAGGACGACGTAATGTCGTCAAGCTTATGGGACGAGCTACGCTCCTCTTGCGTGATCACGCCACACGAAAACGCCAACTTGTTTACTTAGAGAGTACATTATTATCTTCTTGCTCTGAGGAGACGACTAGACAACTGACACCGAGACAAAACGAGACGAGGGAATATATAATTATAATATGAAGGCGTACAATGGGGACAAGACGAGAAAGTTTGTATACAACGGGGACAGAAGACGGTGCAGCCGCACGGACACAGGAGTCAAATACAGCGCAGCAGCGTGTACCACGGTTCGGCAGCATGTACGACAAAGAGACACAAACGCAGCAGCATGTACGGCAAAGAGACACAATTAAAAGCGCAGCAGCATGTACAACAAAGAGTTACAAGCGCAGTCACATGTACAACACTATCCCCCACCAAAAAAAGACATCCACTCCTGAGGATGGAAGCAAACAAATAATTGAAGCGAAGAAAACCCGAAGAAGACGGACCGGAGAAGAAGACATAAAGGCGTGGGATATGAAATGTGAAGCAACATAAAAAGGCGACAATAAAACACAAGATGCGGGGCCACAGCTGTTGAACATATGACGAGGAGGCAAACAAAAGTACAAATGCATGAGAAAACAGCTGATGCCCACTGCCGGGAGCGGTGAGAACAATGACACTCACGGACCAAGAAGACCGTGGCAGCAGGACCGGGCATCCAGGAATCTTGCAGCACAGGACGCGCACTGGATGGTTAGCCGAAAAACCACAACGTAGCCAATGGGGCTACGAAAACTCAGAGAGACACAGGGATACACACAGAAAGAAACACGGACTTACGCAAACATCTCAGCCATCTCCAAAAATCAGAAAAGAAAACCACACGAAGGAATGGAAGAACAGAAGCAAAGAAGAACATGTCTACAGAAACAGGAGAAGTTAATCAGTGAGAACACCAGATACCATACAGACAAATCAGTGAGAACACCAGATACCATACAGACAAATCAGTGAGAACACCAGATACCATACAGACAAATCAGTGAGAACACCAGATACCATACAGACAAATCGGTTACCAATACGCCAAAAAATAATGAAGAAAAACATTTGGGTCTCTACGAAGGGCTTCTACGTGGGAGAGGCTGTCAGTGACCAGCACAACACCCGTTTCCGTGGTAGTAAGGTCGTAGACTGCCCTCAGGCCAGCTGTTGCTGCGGCTGCTTCTGCCGTGAAGGATGTTGCGACAGCGACTGCTGGTAGATTCCCAGACAGTATCTCTGACCGCAGGGTTTCAGTGGTTTCCATGACAAGAATACCACCTTCACCAGCGTTGGTGTCAGAGACACTGCCATCTGTCCAAATGTCTAGACACCGCAAGGAACAACAGGAGCGATAGGCTTCTTCAAGACATGCCAGTGCCTCTACAAGTCGCATGCTAGGAGGGTCACACCAGGTGCAAGCGGAGTTGAGAACAGATAGGTTCGGAACGATGGACCAGGGTGGAGGACTGGATGGGAGAGGTGCAGAGGATGGTGGAAGATGCCGCTCTGCCATTTGCCTCCATGTCACCTTGGCTTTGCGGATTCGAACAGGGTATGCTGATCGCAACAGGGCATTACCTGGAGCAGGGACACTAGGTCGCTTCGCGATGTTAGCGATACAAGCCACCTGACGCTCAACTTTCAGCTGGATAGTTGGTGCTCCAGCTCAGTGACTTCGCACAGTCGGTGAATAGGTGTTGTCTTCGTGCAACCAGTGGAGAGGCGGAGGTAGCTGTTGTAGGCAACATCAAGAGGATGCAGGCCTTGCTCAGTGGCAAGACCAGAGTGTGATGGTGCTCCATACAAACCAGAAGATAGCACGTACTGGTGTCGTCGGGGGTATTTATGCCTCGACGATAGCCCTTCCGATTACTCTCTTAGTCTTACATCACACGTACGCCACACTCAGGGGACAGATTATTGATCTTACTCCAAAGAGAGTCTCAAGAAGAAGGCAAAACAACAAGAATTCGTACAATAATATGCAGGCATGCGCAACCTGCGCAGTCCGCGCACGGTCCGCACACCGACCACGCGGACCCAGCACACATGTGCCAAAAGGGGCACATACCCTACAAAAGGCAGGGACACCATACGTCCACACAAAAAAATGCATCCTCTCCTGAGGATGGGAGAGCACAACATACACATGCGGATACGCAGGGCCAAAACAGTGGGATACATTTTGGTAACTCCGGACAACGGGGGAAAAGCCAAAGCAAAGGGGTGGAAAGAAAACAGACTGAGCCCACCCATAGAGGGAACCGCCATACTTTCAGGCATGGGCCCCCGGAAAACAACCACCTCGCCCTGGTGCGAAGCCAAGGCAAACCGACGGTACTGCGAGGACCGCGGCAGCTGAACCGGGTGACCAGTCATCTGGCAGCACAGGAGTTGTCCAGAAAACCATCACGCAGCCGATGGGCTACGAAAACTCACAGAGACACACACAGAAAGAAAGAAACACGGACTGACGCAAACATCTCAGCAATACCAGGAGCCAAAATTCAGACAAAAAAACCACAAGAAGGAATGGCAGAACAGCAACGTTGAACACGCCTACGGAAACAGGGGTAGTCTATCAATGAGGACACCAGATAGCGCACAAACAAATCGGTCACCAATACGCAAACAAAAATTAACATAGAAAAACACAGGGCACTACCCTGAATAACCACAGGCCTCGAACCTGAAAAACCCAACAGGCCTCGAACCTGAAAAACCCAACAGGCCTCGAACCTGAAAAACCCAACAGGCCTCGAACCTGAAAAATCCACAGGCCTCTAACCTGTTTATCACGCGTGAAACACATCCGCTCACGAAACAAAACGAAAAACAAAAACAAAAACACCGTCCTGAACCCTACTGGGACGCACAAAGGCCAGCCAGCAAAACACGGAAACCGAGCACCCGCAAGGTGAACCGATACAAATAAGCGCTGGATCCCACCAGCCCAACAGGCAGACCGTGGCTCACCATGATCGGACGCCCCCCTAAGTGAAATGGAGAGACCCACGTGCCAAACACAAAGACAAAACAACACGCTCACAGAAAGATTGCCACCCGGACCGTCAACGAGACTCTCAGAAGCATGTCACACCACTGGGCGACAGCCGTTCCACATGATCGGTGGGGCAACATGGCGGAGCACTAAAACGCTCGACACAAAACATGAATACTAGTAAAACGAAAAAAAAGCACTTGTACTTGAAACTGGAAACGACGGAGTGTCACTACATCGAGTAAATCAATGAGGACGTCTACCAAACTGAAACAAATCGAACGACACAGGATCGGAGCAGTCCGACGACAACGAAACGACGTGCACCAGTGCCCAACACAGGGCGAGTAACAATGAGCAAACAAGAGCAAAGCTACCCATGCTGACGACCAAGCAACACGATGAGCATGCACGACAGAACGGACAACAGAAGGTGTGAAAACACAGTCAGTGCACACGACCACTCGAACAGCCAGAGGCCGGAGGGCGACAATGTACACTGGTTCAAAACACCGCACACACAAGCACTCGAACAGTGACACACACAACGTGGGCCACAATCATGTACTAACAGGAGCGAGGCTCGAACGAGAGTACATGTACACAAGAGAACAACACGGGACTTCAATGCCACGAAGTGAAACA